TATTTATATCCATTTTTTTATTTTGCAGTGACATTATTATAAACCTCTCAAATAAAAAAATAAACGTTAGGCTTACCATTAACTTCCAACACATTCGCATCCCTGCCGCCGCATTTTTCTGGTGGCCCAGCACCCTCCTTGGGCGAGTGGGAATCAGTTCTGCCCGGCTATTCAATTGAGTACCCTGCGGGCTTTCGATGTGTGATGCCGTACTTGTTGGCATAGTTGGCGTATCATCGTGATTGGTTGAAGTCAACTTTGGACGCTAGCCATCCTATATTTTTGTCCCTAATTTGGCGGTCAGGGCTACTGAGCCATTTGTCAGCACGGGTGCATGGTGATGTCATGTTAAATGCAGCTACTGGAATGGTTGCAACTGGTGTACCCCCTCACGTTACCATGATGGACCGATTGAGCCGTTTGGAAAGTGGGCTCCAGGAGTTTCAGACAACAGTGTTTGATAATATCGACGCCATCCCGCAAAGTGTGGCCACTAAAATCCAAAATCAAGCAACGGACTCGGCCCCCGTCACATTTAAAATGATGAAAGAGTCATTCGCAGAACTACGGACTCAGCTCTTGGAGCATTTACAACCTATGCCAACGGATATCCTCGGAGAGGATTCCCTACGAAGTGTAACGACGTGCGCTCCTCAAGAACAAACTGTACCCGTGGGATTAACCTATACTGGGAAATTGATGTGTCCCAACAGCAAGTTGTTTGATTGGTGGGCTGCGTGGTGGTGCGAAAATTCTGCCGAGAACATTCCGCCGTTTTACAAATTGCGGCGAAAGGATTTCCCTGGATACAAGGACAAAGTCAACTTTTCCAAGGCAACAGTTGTGGTTGACCTCATTCTAACAACCTGTGACCTCAACCGCAGCGAGGTTTTTGCAATGACAGTTCATCAACGCAACGAGGTTTATCAAACTGCGATGACGTCGATTTGGTTAGCCATCGCAGCTGCAGGCAGTAATCGCGCAGCAAAACGACGTGTCAACGAGATATCCTACCACACTCTGTACGACTTGATAAAAAAGCACAACCTTAATAAATCATAATTTGAATCATTGTATTCTCAGCTTACACTACACACCTCCAGCTCGGAAGAGGCGAATCCTTGATGGAGCTTGACGCGCAGAAAAGAAAGACTCTTGTTTTCCGCTGTGGGCATGCCTTAACATACATTTTTATCGCACCACCAGTGTATATCATTCAATCGTAATTCAGACAATACAATCAGAGCGTACATGCGGCAGTGACGTTGCACTGGTGTGTTTGGGTCGCACCAGGATCCATCGGCCGTCGCCGCGGTCGTTGGCCTGCCACAGTGTGCATGCCCGGGACACTGCTCGGTGCAATTGACCTACCTACGTATAAGATATATGAGTCATGCATACAGTCATCACCACTGTGTACCTCCCTGAGCGTTGAACAAGTAATTCGGGCGTGTTGTCGCCGCAAGTGCAGTCGCCGTGATCGCTGGATAATTGTTTCTGCGACAAACTCATAAAGTGAATATGTATTAATACTGAGAGGAGTTCGTGAATAATTCGTAAAGAGTCCAATATCAATGAATAGGCCTGGATTTTGTCTTCATGTAGCGTATTGTAGAATTATAATCCGATACCCTACGAGTCGAGTTACATGCCTTCCACGGCAGCATCTCGGAAAAAGTGTTCTTAAAATGGACTTTTACGTTGTACTTGCTTTGAGTAATTGGGCGACCACATTTCACAAAACGCGTGGGTTATTTGGACGTTTAGGACTAGTTTATGTTCATCAAATACCATCAATCTCCACATATAGTAAACGGGATACTTCATAGCCCTTTCACAGATGTACCTCTATAAAGCTATATTGGCTCGGGGCTGCATATATATCGGGGGTTGACTGTCGTACGACCTGCTTTGGTATCACGAAGTAGTTTGACTATAGTTTCCGCTGAAGCAATTGCACGACATAAAAAGCTGAGTAGGTACCACAACCACTGAGCTTTTTATCGTGTAATGGCTTCAGTCGTCACCAATATATATGTACAATGAATTTGTCATGAATTTCACACGTGTGATACAACACAGCCTCAACGAGTATGTAGCTTCGCAGCCAGTAGTAGTTTTTGCTTGAATGGACATCGTTGGCGGACGTAGCTTTGATGTAGCACACGCTGGACAACACGTGGATCTCGCGTTCCATGATCCCCTGGTACCCGACGAGTATTGCAAGCTCGAAAGTCAAGATACAGATCCCAACATTGTGTGGGCTGATAGTTCGACTGCAGCTTGTTCATGAGAGGAGAGGTCAATGTGCATTTAGGTGCTGAAAGCGTGAGTTTTGACTTCGGATTCCGGCCTTCGACAGCATGAATGTGAATAGACTTCGTCAACGCACAATCTCCATTTCAACAACATAGGTGTGAGTGCTTTGTAAAAGCACCTTCTCCTCACTTAACCACCTGCTTTATAAACAAGTGTAAATGATGTCATGAAATTGATCTCATGGCGGCAGGTAGTATGTATGGTGTCAGAAGTTGCCTTTCTGGGGACAGGTAGGTCGTGTTGTTTCAGTTAAAGCCTCATATGCTCGAGTACTTCTCTTTCAACGTATATATTCCGAAATTAACTTCATGGGAGTCTTGTGATCATCACTTGGTTGGTCTGAGTGCTTTCTTCAAGCATATCCACATGTGTGTTCATTTCGACTTCATCCTTGTTCTATGTTGTATATCCTATTCTACCTGCCGCACAGGTTAATATGCTGGCACACCATGTTTTGATGTTGTTTCATCTTACAGTGTACTCTCTACAGTAGATTGCACTAGAAAAAGTGTTCTTAAAATGGACTTTTACGTTGCGTCTTCCTTTGTCGTAGACCTTTCGAGACATGACACTTCATAGGTTTTCGATAGGATTCAAGGCCGGTGTCTTGGCAGGCCACTGGATAACGTCCACGGCAACAGCAGGCTCATCGAACCACTCCATAACAGAGCGCGCCGTGTGTATGGAAGCATTGTCTTGCTGGAAACGGTAGTTTTCGGCATGCATGCAGTCCCTTACGCTGCTGGATTGTCCAGGAATCTTTGGATGCGGCTCCGGACCGTCCCAATTCATTGGTGATATTGTTGGTGGACTTGCCTTCGCGACGATGCAAGAGAACCTCGATCTTCTCGTCTTCCGTCAAAGGATCACCCTTGGGCATTGAGTAAATGCCTAGAGTGTGTTGTGTTGTGAGTTTGACTTGTAGGTGTAGTCTGTGTGTCAATTACCTTCGATTTGGATGTGTTGTCTCAAAATGGGAAAAGGTCGTGACTGTCATATCATTATTTCCCGCCCACATTTGAACTCCCGCCGTTTTCTCGAGCCCCATGCCTCCGATCGTCAAATCGCAGTCGTCACTGGACAGACATTTGCTGTCTTTGTGATTGGTTAAAAGGATATTGCATTTAAGCCAATCACACATGAGTAACAACTGGATTCATGGGGTCTCATATCATTATTTGCACCACTTTACGATGCCGATATTTTCGCCTATATTTCATGTGATTTTCTGGATTATGAGGCAATTCCGCGGCGAAATGAGCGCTGTATGTGAGCCCAGACGTGAGATACTGTACTTGAATGCATGACTTTTATATATACTGGTGGCATATCATTGGGAGGTCTGACATACAGTAGTGGTGCATTTTGATAGGCCCCCTAGAAAGTACTAGAGCATGACGCAACGCTAACCGAACATATCGATGAACAAGGCGCAGAAATAGTCCGTGATGTCGACATAGCTAGCGAGTATGTTACTTATAGGTTGGCTGAAGCAATTACTACGTAGTAGACTCTGTGTGAAGGTGATAGAGTGAAGGTGATAACGTAAAAGTCCAATTTAAGGTGCCTGATCCATTTTAAGGTGCACGTGAATCAGCCAATCGATTCCTAGAAAGGCAGTTTTTAACCTAACCGCCCAAAAAATATGCGAATGGGTACACAAAGACTAAGCTTAAAAATGTGCACCTTAAATTGGACCTCTTGTTTTCAGCTGCAGTGGAGTGAATGATAATGAATTATAACAGAAAACAGATTTCAATCATATCTCCCGAATACTGTAGGCCTCGATTTTGGCTACATGTAACGTATTGTAGAATAATAGTCGGATTCCCTATGAGTCCAGTTATATGCCTTCCACGACAGTCTCTCCGAAAACGTGTTGTTAACTATAAATTGGACTTTTACGTAAACGCTGACATTGATTCCTCACCGAATGACTGTGAATTAAGTTTTCCCTAAACGATGTCAGGAGGATGAATTATAACAATGTCTTGAACCAAGCCAATCAACGAGGAGATCACCTTAGTCCAATCAGAAGAGATTACAGGAATGAGCTAACCGTAAGTTTGAAAAACGATTTCAGGTTCTGGTAGTATGAATCGCCCGATCTATGTCGTGGACGAAGTGTCGCGGGCTGTGTGCTCGGTTGAGAATGTGCGCGAAGCACAAAAGCTCTACCGATACGATCCCACGAACGTCGTCCCAGGCGTCGAGCTCCTCTACAGCCTCAGCCTTCCGCTTCCTATTGTGAACAAGATCATCAATTTTGTTGGTATTTGGACCCGCAGAGTCGAAGAATTGACTCACAGCATCAACGGTCGTGCTGATCTCGACACAGAAATCCTTCATCTTGTTGTGCCATTCGATTCTGCCATTGACGGTGTCGTCCAAGTTCGTCCACCGGTGGAACTCGTGTTCGATTGTGTGTCCCACGACCAAGGTTGGGCCACCGAAAACCCCGAACTGAATCACACGTACCAAGGCTGTCACAGCTGGATTGAGTTTGAAATCCAAGATGCTCACGGTGTTACAATTGTGCCTCGCCGCGATGTCTGCCGCAACTTTCGCGCCTCGTCGTCGTCTCGTCATCACATGCTCATTGTCCGTGATCGTGATGTACTGGAGAATGTCTTGCCTGGACACAGCATCGTGGTGCATATGCGAGCTCAATACGGCGGCTGGGCCAACCACGTCGATTTTTGCCGCGTTGCTCTTCACCAAGTTGCCCACGTGCGCGACGAAGTGGATCAATTTGAACTCCGCAAGTGGGCAAAGACTGCATTGCTACGTGTGGACCCGGGACAGCACGTGATGCCACGTCAACTCGTGCCTTTGAATCTGGATAGCATGATGGCACTTGTGGTTCAGCTTTTACGATCTTATTGTACAGTGAGCTAACCCATTATGTCGTAAAAAATGCCATCGCGTTCCAGTTAACCAACAATAGTGCTTGAGCCTCTGCAACACAAACGTTAACGCTATCCCTTTCAACCACGGCTCAGCATCAACCGTTATATATATACTAACTGCCAAGGACCGCCATCCAACGAAGTTTCAACCGCGGCCACTATGGATTAGGATTGACGGTTACTCCATCGGCCAAAAATCCCTCTCCACAGGAATCAACCCCATACAGTGTATAATCCAGTTGACACCGAGTTGCCTGGGTTGGGATGCATCGTCGAGTGTTGGAGCGGTCGGAGCGGTCGGAGCTGTGGCATGTAGATCCAGTGACCAAGGTAGCCAACGAGTTCTCGTCCACGGCCGCGGCTCTTCAGTCTTTTCGTCGTGCGATTTATTTGCCAGCCGACATTGCGATTATGGTGCAACTGCTTCGACGGTGCGGCCTCACCAGTGCCGTGATCCGGGTCATTTTCGATCGCGCAAACGTCTTCGCCGCGTACGTTCAAGAAACGAATGACATTCTTGATGGCTACGCCCCCATGGACGAAGCATACTTGAGACTTCGCCTGCCCACGCCAGTGGTGTCATCCGCGTTGACCACATCCCCCCTCCCCTCTGCCCTCACATTCGAATGTGTGTCTCGAGATCTAGGTGGCGTGGCAGTCACACATCAGTCCCCCGTACGCTGTCACAGATGGCTCGAGTTTGAAATCCTCGACGCTCACCAACGGGTGATATAGCCTCGCCAGGATGTCTGTCGCATGTTTCGCTCGTGCCGAGACTACCGCTGCCACGTGCTAACAGTAGACGATCCCCAAGTATTAAAGCACCTTCTTCCTGGCCACTCCGTGGTGCTCCATGTGCGGGCAGATAAGAAAGGCTCGAGCAACTACGTCAAGTATGCCGGCATCTCATTACACTTTGCCGTGACGTTGTCTGGTGATGTCGACGATGACCAAGTCCAACGAAATCGAGAAATGACGTTGCCTGTTGTCGTCAGCACAGCCGCGACACGAAACTATGATTTGGAGAAACCTGCCGCAACCAATGCGCCATCGAGTTGTGCAGTGGAGAATCCAATGACGACTGTCAGTGCTACCGACGTCACTACGATTGAAGCAGCTTCGAAGGACACCTGGGAAACGGTGGAGTCCCCTGTGAAGCCCTTGATGCCCCTTTCGACGACAGAAGAATGGGTGGACGTTACGCAGCCCAGGACAGTTAAACCACCCAAGGAAGATGCTACAGTTGCTCCCTCGCCACACGAGGCTGGACAAGCCCCCAATAATACCACCAAACACCCCGACGATAAGTGCGGCATCAGCTGAAGAAACCAACGTGGCATACTATTAATACTAGTGTAGCGTAGTATAAAAGTAACATGTTACAGTAATTGTAATTTTGCAACAAGAATGTATGTACTAGAAAGAAGAGTGAATTATTGCTTACTACGAGTTGATTGGATATCATTTGGAATGTTTGTTGCAGGGTTGCATTTTGCGCATCGTCCCAACACTGTTGCAGCGATATGCTGCTCCATCAACGTCGTATCCTGCGACCAACTCCGCCACCACCACCGCCGACGTTCGAAGACCCGTTAAGTCTTCCCGTGTGGCTAGTGGACAATGTCACGCACGAAGCGACGGAGATCCCATGTGAACCAGCCACCCGTCAAGTGAATTACCTGGCCACTGAAGTGGCAGACACTTTATCGATTCTCAGCCGTGTCAGTGGCGCGCCGGTTGCGCTAGTGAATCTCATTGCGTACATGGCGGATATATGTACAAATCATGCCGTGGACACGCACGACCTGGTCGTCGGAAATGCACCGTTGGATCGCGAGTACCTTCGTTTCGTTGTTCCCATTTCGTCGACGCCACACCTGGAAGTGCTTTCTTCGAGTCTCGTCATTGAGTGCGTGTCTCACGACCAAGGGTGGGCAAGCGATGATGCTGACAACCACTCGTACAAGAACTGCTGGAGCTGGGTGGAATTCGAGGTCGTGGATGTGTCGAATGGGTCGGTTGTCCTGCCCCGGCAAGAAATGTGTCGCAATTTGCGAGCTTCGAAACCCTTTCGCCGCCACCGTTTGCGAGTGACTGACAAGGCCATACTGGATCGCCTGCGACCAGGATGTCACGTCGTGCTCCACCTTCGCGCAGAGTTTAACGCGTGGTCAAATCACGCGCGGTACGCCAGCATCTCCCTTCGCCAGTGGTGGGGCCTTCGCGATGAAGAGTCTGCCGTTATATCGAGCCGCTAGGCATAACATCGTTGCGTACATAGCACTTGAATAGACTAATGAATATTCCCATTCACGATAATTCACTCGGCATTCTGTACTCGTGTAAGATTCGACACTACAATGTCCATATTCACAGTCCATGCTACAATGTAATTCCAGTAAACAAACATCAAAATAATGCCCATATATATATATATATATTCACGCTTACTGCAGTAAAACAGTTTGTTTTCAAATAATCAGAATATTCATTCTAATTTAAATATTACTAAGTAACAAATAAATAAAAAAGGATTTTATGAACTGTAAAACAATTTTTTGGAATAATAAAAAGGAGAAAAATTATTAACAAGTTCTATTTTATATTTATTTTTAGCGTCGCTACATCCCCACTTGAACTCACTGTCAAATGGCATACTGGTACGAAGTACTTTGAAGTACGAAGGAACGAGTTGAGGATATCACAGTGTATACGATTTATGTATGTTGTACTATTGATAATTAATTGATAATCCAACTGTATAAGATTTATTATGAATGTTGAACTATTGATAGTTGATAATATCCAATTACAGGCTCAAGGATGGGTAACATGCATGTAAATCAAGCCCATAGTCGACCCCAGGACCAACCCGGCAATCAAAAAGAAACCTGTGAACGTGCCCGCGACGCCCCGATCTCGCTCGTCCACACTTTCGTTGACCACGAGGATCGTGAGCGAGCCAAAGTACCCGTTCGAGAGCCCCAAGAGCACGACAAACAAGACCGACCATGCGTCGTGCGTGAACCACACGCGCTGCACCGTCATGACGATGCACGGAATCAAGAGCATACGCAGGACCACTGGCTTCCAGATCGTGTCCTTGGTCAAGCCAAAGCGATACGGCACCAATACACGACCGATGCAATCCATCACGGAGAACACGGTGAGGAGGATCAGGGGCCACCACCCCGATCTTTGGAGATCGGGAAAGTTGAAGCTGGTCATTTCTGTGACGAGGGGCGGCCACAGACACAGCGTTGTGAAGAACGAGAGCGTCACGAGCAGTTCCTGGCGATAGCATTGTCGAAGGACATTCCACCGATTCATGGGCGACAAAGCAACGTCGATTGGTGGCGCGTGGTACGAGGACGTGGGTTCAAACTCGACATGCCGTTTCAGACGCATGAGCATGTGGAACGCACCGACACAGACGACCACGGTGATGGCGCCAATGTAAAAGTACATCGCGCTCGACTCGACGACGGCGTCGATGGGAAAAACGAGCTTGGTGAAGACCCGGAACACACTCCCAATCAGCGCACTCAGCCCCACGCCAAATTGGAGCGCTTCTTGAGCATGCACGGGGTATGTCGCCGCCAGCGCAATGACACAACTGTCCAGGAAAGCGGTCGCGACGGCTGCGAACGCCGTGGCCACGAGCACCACGGCCATGTACGCATTGTGGGACGACACAACAAAGTACGCCGTGGGTACGATCATGAGCACAAGAAACTGGCCCCCGAATCCACCCACGATGCGGCTGGCGTACGTCGCCGTGTCGGTCGACCCAAACGCAACCACGAGGCCCAGCGTAATCAAGTTCGTGTACAAGAATACACACGTGATGTAAAACTCAATGTTGACGTCAGGGAACAGGAACTTCCAGTAGTCCACGGGCTGCGTGAGCGCCGAGAACGGGAAGAGGTACCCGATGCCAATCAACGAAAACAACACGTTGAGCGTGACCTTGTGCTTGGACCGTTCGGCCACGGTGGTCTCAGGCGTCATCAGTTCCATTATGCTTGTGTGTGGTACTTGGGATATTAGGAATTGAATTGACAGGTCGCGGTGGTTTCTCAACGATGGCGGCCGTTTCAATAGTGACTTATTTCGTGGTCACTAAGACCCATTGTACCGCGGAGAATGAACGGCCTTCAACTTGCTCGCATGAGGTCATTGGTCGCAGTGTCTTGGGACACTCGCATAGTTTACAGCATTTTGTGTTCCTGTTAGTCTTGTATTTCACGATTACCGTGGATTTACTCATCATTACATCCATAATTCGCATGGACTGGCGCAATAATGGTGGGTGCGCAAATTAGGAAAGACGTTTCAACGTAAACTGCTACTGCGCAGAACCCCAGTCGCCTGCGTAACATTACCTGTTAATGTTATGATCGACAAGCCTGATTGATGTACCGGTAACGTTATGGTACTATGTGTTGGCTCTGCTTTCAGCTTTCGGTAAGTTTACATTAACGTTGTAAGCTGGACAACGAACGGTGAGGATGTTTGCTAATCATCATACTAAGAGTGCTTTCATTGGTTGTTTTTTGGGCCAATCCAAAGTATCCAAAACGATCTTGTGAGTTGCTGGTGACGATGCACTTGCTGACGTACAGCTCTGCGTCTTCGGACAACGAAGAGCCCAAGACCCTTCCAATTTGGCTCGTAAATCCTGAGACTTAAGTTGCATCGGAACTGGCATCGTCGGACATTCCGTCGCTGAACTTGACACCGTACTCGACTGCTGACGTGGTTTCTGTCGGGTGCTCGCTGAGCCTGCGTGGCCTGCCGCTGGCTCTCGTGAACTGCATCCTTGATTCCGCAGGGGTATGGGTACACCACCAAACGGACACACGCGAAGTCGTGGAAGGATGGGCGCCAATGGAGCGGGAATACGTGCGTATGACCATTCCGGTCGACGCATACCCATCGGTCCATGTCTCAGTGTGTCGGGCTCTGACGATTGAATGTGTCTCGCATGACCAAGGATGGGCCACCGACATGCCAGAATCCAACTCCACGTACTTTGGATGCAATAGTTGGGTCGAATTCGACGTACTGGATGCCACTGGTGCACTGATGTGGCCTCGAGCAGACATGTGCCGCAACTTTCGCCCATGCCTCGTATCGTTGCCACATTCTGCACATCACCGATAGTGCCCTTTTGGATCGCCTCACGCCAGGCTGCCACGTCATTGTGTACCTCCGGGCGCTGGTTCCTGGCTGGAGCAACCATGCCAAGTACGGTCGCGTGCGAGTGCAATATGCTTGTGCCCTCAACGATTCGTTCAATGTCGAGCAATGCCCCAAACTAGCGTCGACCTCCGTTGAATGGACTCCTTAGCCCCCATGTCGCTTTATTTCCAATATTGATGGGTGAACAATCGATTGCGTCGAAGTACATAATAAAATCGAGGGGCTGATACAGTACCAATGGAGCAGACGAATGTCGCAGTTTGTGAAGCTGTCGGGCCGTAATGATTGAAAGGGAATTGACCAAAGATGGATAACCAAGAATCCAGAGCTTAACTGTACGTACTTTGAATATAAGAGTTGGGTCGAATTCGAAGAGAACTTGAATCCACATCGTTGGTTTGTGTTCTCGAGAGGCGCAACAAGTCAGCAAGCTCAACGTTGCTACCCCTTGAGCCCAATGCTGTCTTCACTCGTGATGGGTTTCAACGGCGGCCTGACAATGCAAATTTTCAATTGAACAATGTTTTGCGCGATGGGGGGTTTGAAAACTGGTGTCCTCGACCCCCCACACCATTTCTGAACTGGGGGACTGGGTATTCAACTTTGATGATCTGCAGTCCGAGCTCAACGTGGGTCCGTCAGCGTACATTCCCCCGTCGTTTGCAAGCTCGACCAACCAGCCCCATCCCGACACGGTAACACGATCGTTTCAGCGACGAGACGCCATCACAAGTATTACCGAGCACGAAGAATGGAATGTGTCGACCGAGGACGTCCAAACCGACCTCGATCGCACGTTGGAGACCATCCGGTCGGTCCCTTAAAGTCACCTCCATAGGTCGCATCCTCCAGAGCTTGCAGCGGACGCAAGAAGTGTACCTCGCGTTTGTCATGGACACGACTGGGAGCATGTTCTCAAACATGCACGCCGTCAAGACCCAAATCAGGGCTATCGCCGAGGCCTAGGGCTGGTGCTGCATGTGGCGTTTGTGAGGTACAAAGACCACGGGGACCGCCAACTCGATTCAAACGTTTCCATTCACGACTGACATGGCGGCCTTCCAGCACTTCGTTCAAAAGATTTCCGCCACCGGGGGCTCTCCCCGAAGATGTGCTGGGGGGCTCTGGGTGGCGTCGAAGCGGCTCCCCTGCCAACCAGATTGCACGAATGTGTTGTTTCACATTGGCGATGCCCCGCCCCATGGCACGACGTATTGAAATGGTGATGATCGCTTCCTCAACGGCCATCCGTGCGACCGACCAATCGCCATCGACCATCTTTGGTCTACTGGAGTCACTGAACGTGCGGTATTATTTGGAAAATTGACGAACTTGACAAACATGATGGTCGCAAGTGACGGTGTTCAACGTCACCGATCCGGTCAACGTGTGCAGCAGCGTGGCCACGGCCACGCAGCAAACGGTAGCGTGCGACCGAGCGACTGACGTTCAAGCTGGCGCGCCTGAGTTTACCTATAAGTTTGCCACGCGACCCCCCTTATGGTCATCGCTGCAAACTCGACACGTCACGGCGGCCCGATATGAGTGCGACCCCGCAAGCTTGTCCAAAGAGGATTTGTATGCTCCAATGTCCACGTTTGTCGGCCAACGCGTCATCCGCATCACCCCGCGCCCCTTCGCCCGAGGTTGCGAGCGTGCAGCGTTCTATGCTCAAACGTTGGGTTTGCAACCGCAAAACTCGACATCGTTGTGGGGGCAAAGAGTAGCTAACGCTTTCTTTGGGGCCAGGGGTGTGAAGGACGGTGTGTTGGGAGCCCCCCTATATGCCGATGATATGTGTAGGCACATGAAAACGAGGGAAGGGCAGGCGATGGCGGTGGCGTTGACGCGAGCGTTCAACAATCTCATGAACAAGAATCACTCAACGTTCATTTCGCTGACGTTTCTGGAAGCCAGTGTGGCCAAGCTTGACGAGCCCGTCGAGTTTGTCGCGATGGAGCGCTTGTTGTCCAATTTTGAGCGCTTCTCAAACAGCGTCGACTGGCACTCCCCCCTCGCGACAACTGAACCGTGCGTGCAGTATGCAGTGGCGTTTACTCACTGGACGTGGGCAGCCACCAACGGGTATTTGATGGTCGTGGACTTGCAAGGCCAGCGAGTGGACCACCACACGCTTGTGCTCACCGACCCAGCCATCCACTGCATCATCGGAGTGCGCTTCGCTGGCGGCACAAACTTGGGGCCACGAGGCATGGCCAAGTTTTTGCCACACACGTGTGCAATGACTATTGCGCAAAGTTCAAGATGCTACTGAAGCCATAAAGGCGTCAACAACGTACATCTATACTGCTTAGTACTACCAGTAGTACCGAGTAGCTGCTCCACGCATGTACTTTTGGATTAATGCACTCAGCCCTGCCTTTGATTATTCCTTCCCGTTGTACATACTACAGTAGTAACACAGAGTACTTTGTATTCGCAGCGCACGCGCAAATGCCTTGACGTTTCACACGGAGACAGGGAAGGCAACAACATTCCAATAATCCCCAACCATCGGTGTGGTATTGAGTAAATGCTGCACAGCACACGCTCTTATTCCTCACCTTCCTCTATCCAAACCCATCGACTACAGTAACTATATACGCGTAGCACTCCTCATTCTACATAGATCATCATGGGCAGCGGCCACTGATATCGCCCTTCTCTACCGCCAGTGATCTCTAACGAGGACGACGACAACGTTCATTCCATCGCGTACTCCGCAAACCATATTGACCCGGCACGCAACGGTATCGCACCTGCCTTCACTATCCAAGTGGTGAGCAAGAATGTACCAAGAACTTCATATAATCGAAGTCAACATCGTTGCCTCACTAAAGACTTCACTGCGAGTTCAGCAGCTGTAGTCCCCTTCTCCAGCACCATCGTCGTCGTCCGCGACCATTCGTCTGGCTCAAGTAGGAGGTCAATGTGGCTAAACAAAGCCAAAATGCAAAATCGACGGCTATAATTAGCGGTTTGCAACGTGGCCTTGATGGCTTTCGCCGATGGCAAGGAGCGGGTCCTACCGTCAAGCTCCAGTCGACGCGATGTCACAGAAAAGTACAAGGCAATTCTTCAACCAAAGTCTTCCGTGGACATTCAGCCTCAACACGTTGACCGAGTACGTTTGTGCATGAAATGCCAACTCAAATGACCGGTAGGTGTTCAAGCGCATGCTCACGCAACACAAGACCGTCGACACAACATCCAAATGGACCAACCGATTCGTGGCTAGCTCGACGGAGATGGCATTTCAGACGTGGAGCGTTGCATTCTACTCGACGTCTGCGCGGACACTGATGTTGTGTGTGGTGCTGGTGCACATGCTCGTGACGACAGTGGACTTTACATTCTCGCAAGTATAACAAAACGACTTCACCAGTCTTATGTAGCGAGAACTAGGTCCTCCACAGACAAATACTTGGCAACGTACGGTCACACGGAGCTGGCCCAGTGGTCGTACATTGTGATGCTGGTCCCCTTTATCGTACTCAAACCAAATCACGTTACATCCCACGCCTGGCTATGGTATATGCAAAGGTGGAAGGTATACATGCATCACATATATGTGTATATCGCATGAAATATATTTCACACGTAGTGGATCATTGCACTTGCGATGGTAATGCTGTGTACTGGACTTATGGTGCGGACGGGATGCATTTACGAAGTGAACCTGCACACCCTTCACACAAAGTAAGGGTACTGTGCATATGGGTAGCTTCATGACATTTTTCGTCGTAGGTACATGGCAAGTGTAAATGCCCTTGTTGCGAATGATCCCTCCAACGCCCAAACGACGTACGAGCTGCCACGTCACTGAAATCGCTTCATGATTCAAAATTTAGGGAGGCAATCGATGCTTTGTCCCAGCTTGATGCGACCTTTGCCACAACCCTTGGCAACTACGGCGACTTGGTCGTGGCAGTGAACACGATTTTAATCCTCGTCACGCAGGTGGTCCAATTCCAATGTGTATAAACCTGTTTTATAGAATAAATTTCGTAGGTGGTGGTCTCGGCGTCCCACTGCGACTTGGTACACACCGTGTTGGCCTGGTTTGCGTTGATTGTGGCTCTCATGTCAAATTCTGCATACTGGCATGTGATTCCCCATGAAGAGGTAACCCCGAAACTCCGAGTCTAGACAAATGGTTTGTATGTAGGCGTACGTGTACTTTATGGTCAGTGGACTGCTCTGCTTCCAAATCACGCGCGAATTGGACTTGTGCCATCGTACCAACTTTTTGTACTACTACAACGCTGAAAAGTCGGCCGAAGTGCTTCGCGACCAGCTCGACCACGTACAACTACTCGATCTTTCATTGCACTTTACACCCACTAGGCTTTGGAATTGATTGTGTACAACGAATGCAAAGCTGAAGAAATGCAAGCCGTGGCCCAAACCATCGATGAAAACGCAGAGTTGTGCGCGAAACTCCAAGTTCGTACTATCATTGATTTGGAGTATAGAAAAAGTCGAAGTAATTTATTCTTCCCCCTAGCCATACCGTATCCCCCTAGAAGAACTGACCCTGAAGCGAGTGATCGGACAAGGCGCGTACGGGGAAGTGATCTTGGCCGAATTCTGCGGCACGATGGTGGTGCTCAAGCGAATGCATCGACACAAGATCACCCGCGCCGCCGTCCAAGAGTTCACCGACGAAATCTTGCTCATGTGCCAGCTGCGGCACCCCAACATTGTGCAGTTTATCGGCGCTAGTTGGAATACGTATTCGGTCGGTACCACCTATATGTATGTACGTTTATAGGAACAGTTGTATTTCTATTGTGTAGAACATTGGCTTCGTGTTGGAATACGTCGGCCATGGAGATTTGTACGTGATTATCCACGACAAGCGCGTGGCCAAGTCGTGGTCTGACCCGCTTCATCGCATTGCGGTGGACTCTGCCCGCGGGATTTGCTACCTCCACAGCAAAAACATCATTCACCGTGACTTAAAAAGCTCCAACATCCTCATCAGCCCCACTTATACGGCAAAGGTATTAAAAAATATGATTGTCCTTTGACCCCAAATTTGGACTTTTGTGCTGATTCACGCCAACTCCATCGATCGATTTTTTGTATTGACTTTTGTATGTAAGAGTCGTCCAGTGTCACACTAATTTAAGTCACACACTGATTCGATGTTGAATTGGTCGAATAGCGGATTTGATTGGCTACTTGATTCGTGATTTGGGTTTTGATTGGCCGATCGATTGTCCGTGGATTTGGTACCCCCCACTCCAATTTCGAATCGACTTGAACGAAACCCCAAAACCCCTGACAATGCACGACCTATCAAATATATTTGATATAGATATGCGACTTGGGGATGAGTAAATCGATGGAAGAACTCAAAGCCAACGAGAAACAAGTGGGCACGCCCCTGTGGACTGCGCCCGAAGTGGTCACGGGCGGCCAATTCAGCCTAAAGTCCGACGTGTACGCGTTCGGCATCATCTTGACCGAATTGATCACACGAAAGACGCCGTACGCAGACAAGACCAAGACCATGTCTGCGTACAAGGTGGGGGGTCGTCGCATCCTCCTTGGTAAAAATTGATTCCAAGTTCGTAGATCATGCTCGAAGTGGCCGCGAATGGGCTACGCCCGGCGTTGCCTACGTGGCTCCCCGAAGCACTTCGGCATTTGATTGTGGTACAACAATTGACTACGAGACCCAGCGTGATGAATTTTATGATTGGGTTGTGGTAGTCGTGTTTGGATGTGTCGCCTGATGATAGACCCACGATGCTGCAAGTGCTGCAGTTGTTACAAACAGATGCCATTTATCAATTGCAAGGGCGGGCGTTGTGGTCGAAAGTTCGAGGACTTGGTACAAACACAAGCGAGATATTCATGCAATATATATATATATATATATGGACTCGACCGATCGATTAAAACTTGGTTGTAGTGTCCGAGCGCGCCCATCGTACGACGAGCTTTTCGATGGAAATGATCCGCGTGGCCAAGGCGCAATCCGAGCTCGAAACGTATTCCAAGCCACGAGCGATTGACTCTGACGATTCCGAAGAAAATGACGTCCCAACCCTCTCCAACTTTCACTCAAACATCGTTGAAACGACTGTCGTCGAAGAATGGTAATTAATGTAATTAATAGAACTCCGGAGTATTATTGTCGATTTTTTCAAATGTCCCATAACAGCACAAACTGTGCCGAGACATATGATTGGCTAGCATCATCCACATCTCCATTTATTTCGTCAAATCTCGAAACGCTTCAAATTGGTGGATCTGAGTTTGGAGCGCTGCGACGACGTTATTTTGTTGTGTCGTGCGCTTGTCCCGCTCGTTCGCGTAATAGCTGGTTAACACCATGCTGCGATGTGACCACTGCAGCGTTTGTTCTTGCAATCGTTGGATCTCGTCTTGCAGTTGGGCGATTTTGTCTTCGGCTTCCTGGGTCCCTTCTTCCGCCAGCACCGTCTTTCGAATGCCAAACGATAAACTACAGCGAACATGACGACTCACTGTGAAGCTTCACATGTACCTCGTGTTGTACAGCGCTTGGTATGCCTCAATTGTCATGCGGATTTCGTCCCTTACACGCAGCAACGACCGACCGCGCTCGGGGCACGCCAGGATCACTTGTCGGATGATTTCATCTACGGAATGGAATAGACTTGGTAGTATAAGATAGCACCACTAACTCTACGAACCAAACAACTGGGCGTGAAGGCGCTCTCGATTCGCGCAGATGCCGACTTTCTTGGCTTGTTCGGTCACCAAATTGGACTCCAATGCAGCCTATGACCACACATTTAAACCATGTGAAAAACAACAAGCTAGGCTGGTTTAATAGGAAGATGTATCTACCTGCAGATCCAACACTTCGGCGCGACTACTGGGGGCAAGCGACACGTTCTGTTGCCATTTGCCGCGGTCGTCCTTCCACTCTCTACATTATCCTTATGAGGACGATGGTATTTATACATATAACAAACTGCCTCGATGGAAGCATGGCCTTCATGAGCTCGGGCGACACCAATGGGTCCCCGCCCATCGTGCCTTTGGTGGACTGTGGCTTGGACTCCGTCGCAGTCAGTCGCGATGTAGAGCTCGCTTCCACGAGGAATGCATCGTCGTGTTTTAGGAGAGAGAACGGAGGGCTAGGCGTCACGGAGTCGCACATGGTTTAGTGACGATGGGTTGCCGTGAAACGTTGTATGAAACTGTCAGCCGTTACGCCTTGATGATGACAAAAAAAGGCGGTTCAACGGCCAAATGAAAACGCGAGCTTTACCTATTAACATACCTGTAGCAGTATACTATCGAGTAGTCACGATGCATGTGACGAAAGCTCATGGCTTAACAGTGGTCGAGACCATTCATAACCCTTTTTGTGTATTTGAGATTTTTAGAAAGAATATATGAAATTCTGTAGGCATACGTAGTTTTCCTCAGTGAATTCGTTTCTGCCATTAACAATACCTTGATTCACATTACTTTTCGAGTTATTGAGCAGGCATCTCAGAATATTTACACGCGCAATTCCTATGAAAATGTCAGTGAAATCTGATCAAAACGGTACAGCTCCAATCCAACGGGTACAGCTCCAAACGGTACCTTGAAAACTATTCAGGCATGCGCATTGGTCTAAATACATAGCAGTATTTCTATTTCATTGGATGAAATGTTTTAAACTCGTGGTGATTGGGTATTTCTATCCAATTAGAGAAAACTAGGTACACCCCCAACCAGAACAATATTGTACAGGACACAAATGTCTTGTCGTGGGCATGATCATAAACTAACTGTAACTTAAATTCAATACATGCATACCTATATCCAATATATCGGACAATTTGATCGGTAATGCCGTATTTGACACGGAAGCCTACAGTGAAGAGGGAATTTACTTAGTCGAGACCATCCACGACCGTTTTCTATTTAATTAATTATTTGTTCTTACAGTTTTCATTTTAATGAAGTATATTATTTTACACATAAGTGCTGTATATTTGACCATTTTTACAGTTAATAATTGTGTAATTTACCGTTGGAGATGCTCTAAGCATAGAATTTACCGTTGGAGAGCATCTCCAACGGTAAATTCTAACCTATTGCTAAAGCATAGGTTAAAGTCAAACTTCGTATTTACGGTTGCTATTTTGGCACTATCCGGACTTTTTAGAAATTTCGACTCGCAGAATTTCTATTTTCGCGTGAAATAGCAACAAACCCTCCGGATAGTGCAAGAATTTCTATTCTATATCCGTAACTTCGAATTGAAATAGAAATAAAAACACCGTTGGAGATGCTCTTAGAGCTCAAGCTTATAATATACGAAGTATAATGTTATGCGAGTTTTGCATGCGACATTTGAAAGATATTTCGACCATTACGCGAGGTGCTTTTGATTTATTGTTAACGAAAAGCAAAAAGCTGATTTTTTTACAAAAATCCTATATTGACTCCCCCCAATAAAAATGTTCGTCATTATTATTAGGTCCAACCAAAGAAAACATAGGTACTGAAGCGAGAGGTATACGGTATGATCCTATTCTACTTGGTGAAAGCACAACACGTTGCAACTCATGCGTTTCATGAAGGTATACATTTGGTAGTTTAAATATCCATCCATGCAATGCTGCGGTATCATTGATGATGTCACAACCGATCATCCTATCCACGGCTTCCACCCACTAGGCTGAAAATTTGGTGGACTGGAACACTGCGGTGGCCAATCGGTGGGCGTTTTCACTCGTCGGGGCTTCGCCATACTCGTCGGTCAGCGACTCCAAGGGCTCCTCCAGCAGAGACCTATGTGGTAAGCGGAGGATCGACCGGGTGAGAATAGCAGCATCCGTCGTGCAAAACGCCGGTGCCACCTCGAGAGCTTCCACCAAGTCAATCCATAGGAGCTTGTCCTTGCCGTTGTCCTTGACGACGATCACGTTCGGCACGCGGGGATCTCCATGGATCACATTCTTCTTATGGAGCTGTCTGAGCAGGTCAAAGAGGTTGACGACTTCCTGTAGTGTCGTCGGTCGAGGCAGAGGAGCCCCCACTGGAGTCACCAATAACGCAGCACCCCCTGGAAAATTAATGAGGCCATACTCGATGTGAGCCGTCAAACCTGTGAGCTTGGCATACTTCAGGGCCCACTCTTCGCGATAGAGATCAGACGTGGAGCTTGAGTCGACAAGACAAGTTTTAGCACTTTTTTGTCGGTTTTCCGCTCGACCTTGAACACACGACCGTGGGCACCACGACCGAGGAACGCGCCGCTCTCCACGACGTCCACCCCCAGAGCCAATCAGACTGTTGTCAACCGACGCATCCACGTTTGGTCGGATACGAACGATTCAAAAAGCGCCTTGGAGCCACCGTCTACACAATTGGCTTTTTTAACGTGTAGGATGACAGTCTTGAAGCCTCGTGGTGAGCCAAAACGAGCGGAGGTCGAACAGCACAGCACTTCCGAACCCCGTTGGGAAAAGACGGAGTAGATACTTCACCACTTGGCCAAACGCAGAGTCGGTTATACGGAGCTTGCTCTCAAAGAGGACGACGCAGCCCATCAATTGCTTTTCTGGCTCACCAAATCGAAACGCATGCTCCGACGGGCAATAATGCACGTGGTCCATGGGCGCGGCCGTGGCATGGTACATTCCACGGTAGGTCGCAAATCGAACCGGTTTGAGGTTTGTACTTGAGCGTGGCAATGGTGGTCCCTGAGGCATCCATGCAACTTGCTCGCTGTTGACGAACACCATGTCACAGTTTGCGAGCACGGCATCGAAAAACGGAGTGATAAACGCGACAAAAGCCATCTCCACCAAAATGCCGTTGGCATTTGCTTGATCGGCTTGCGACCAAAACGCTGGGGCTTCCACGTTTGGTACAAAGTTTGCAATCGCCTTGCCCTGTTCCAACTCTTCAAGCGTTTTTATTCCCAAACCTGCATCAGAGCAGGTATCCGGAATGCCTCGCATATCGGCAGCTGCAATAGCTTGCATCGCTTCCTCATGAAGACGAAAAACCTCATGCATCGCTTTGTGTGCAGTGGCGGATTGGGTCCAAAATAGTACGCAAGATCGTCCGTGGGCTCCATTCGTGGGATAGTTGCCAGATTCGCGTCCATCACTCCATCCGATATCATCTGGTCCAAGTCTTCTGCGGACAACCAAGTTGCATCCTTCAACGACTGGTAGAGGTGGAGGTCCATCACACTGGGCGATACCAACGTGGGGTTCTGTTCCTTGATCTTGTTTTTGAGGTCCGCCACAAACTGATTCGCATCGATCTTCACGGCGCAAGGCTCCCGTGCGCCGACAATATGGTAGATCAGCTTGAGCATTCTTTCGGAAATGGACGCGTGAAACACGACAACGTCCCAAATCGAATACACCGTTGAGTTTATATTTACTCACTCTACTTTATGGTGCAAGTGACATCTAAAGACTCCTTGTCTTTCGACAGCTGTACATTCCAACATTGTATAGACATTTTTTAGGAAAATAAGCCGTTCTAACGACTTAGTTGGAGATATGCTAATTACGGTTCAGATTTTCGATTGGTGAAAAATTGATCGAGTAATCGTGAAAAAAAAAGAGCTAAATCGATTTTGATTGGCTCATGCTATTTCTGAAAACTCACTGGTTTGGTACGAGCGACGATGAGAGTTTGTCACTGCGACATAATCTCGGATACAGTTGCATATGGGGAATCGAACCCTGACAATTGCGTGATCCCTAGACGGAGATGAGGGAAAAACTGGATTTTGTTAAATGCTCCAAAGAGCATTGTTCCAACTACTAACTAGTAACGTTATGCTTGCTTGGCTTCCCACTGCCAAATTGAACGCTAAGGTCACACTCTAGACTTCCTTCAATATGGTTCCTGGCAACACGCATCAATAGTAAATTAGTATCAACATGTAAAAAACGATCCTGCTACCCACTGATCGTAACGTTACCTACAACGGGATGTCCGTCGTGGTTGTTAGATGTTCTGTAAAGTGGTTGAAAATGCACCGATCCACTTCGTCGCGCACGTGGGCAACTTGGTGAAGAGCAACGCGGCAAAAATCGACGTGGTTGGCCCAGCCGCCGTATTGAGCTCGCATGTGCACCACGATGCTGTGTCCAGGCAAGACATTCTCCAGCACATCACGATCACGGACAATGAGCATGTGATGACGAGACGACGACGACGCGCGGAAGTTGCGGCAGACGTCGCGACGAGGCACAATTGTAACACCGTGAGCATCTTGGATTTCAAACTCAATCCAGCTGTGACAGCCTTGGTACGTGTGGTTTAGTTCAGGGCTGTCGGTGGCCCAGCCTTGGTCGTGGGACACACAATCGAACACGAGTTCCTCCGGTGGACGAACTCGTGCCACCATATCAACAGCATCATCGAAAGGCACAACAAGACGAAGGATTTCTGAGTCGAGATCAGCACGACCGTTGACACTGTGAGCCAATTCTTCGGCTCTGCGGGTCCAAATACCAACAAAATTGATGATCTTGTTCACAATAGGAAGCGGAAGGCTGAGGCTGTAGAGGAGCTCGACGCCTGGGACAACGTTCGTGGGATCATATCGGTAGAGCTTTTGCGCTTCACGAGCACTCCCCACCGAGGACACAGCCCGCGTCACTTCGTCCACGACGTAGACAGATCCATCCATCGTTGTACTCATGTATTTGCTCAACGGGTTTCCACTTTTTGGCGCATTCGGCGGATCCGGATAAAACATCCGGATAAACGACTTTGGGGGTCACCGCCCCATTTCATTGTCCAACGAAGTCCATGGCCCCCAGGCCAAACGACAACAAAGCGCTTCCGTTGGCGTCAAGTCGGGGCTTACACACCACGGTACGTTGCCTCTTACAACATGCTGCTGTAGTAGTACATACTACTAGTACGTAGTAGTAAGAACAGTAAGAACTAGTGGTCCTAACACTTTGTTCAATATAATTTTAATATATCGCTTCTGTTGGGTGTCGCATCATAATACAATTGTTTACTTTTCATCAATATAAGATCCTCGTTAGTATAGTGGTCAGTATACCTGCCTGTCACGCGGGTGACCCGGGTTCAATTCCCGGACGGGGAGATTGTTTTTCTACTTTTTTTTATAATTATATGTGCTTCGGACACGCACTTAACCGAATTTACGCATTAAATGCGAATAGTTGTACCACAGGCCTTGTCCGGGTAGCGGCACGGCCTGCGGCCTACCTGCCGCTTTTCCCGACAAGAGGAATCGATTGGACATTCGGTGAAGTGCACGATTGGGGCTCACTCCTCGCCAAGGCACCGCCTGCACAAAATTATACACACGACCTCCGCTACGCTGCGGTGGCGCAATTTTGTGGGCGGATGCTCTGTCGTCGCTCGCTACTGTAAAGCTGATCGTTCTTATGCGGGTTAATACAATACACAAGTATGTCCGAACATATTCCGTTCTGGACACTTTCACTCGGACAAAATATGTTCCCCTTAAGTCCAATACAAATGCCAAGTATGTCCGACTAATTAACGTGTGTCTATTACTCCGGAGTACTCCGGAGTAATACATGAATCACACAGCAATCTCTTTTTTGGCTTTGAGGCGCTGCAGGGCTTCCTTCTTTTGTTGCTGACGCAGCCGTCTATGATCTGACGCTTTCAGGCGCGAATCGTCTGGCTTGCTCTTCTTCTTCTTGGGCGGTGGTCCGTCGTCGAACGCGGCGCCCATGTCGACATCGTCGTCAAGAGGCGCTGCGACGTACTTGACTGCTTTGGGCGCCGTCTTGACTGGTTTGATGGGCTTAGCAGCAGGGACTTCAGGTTCTGCCAAGTCCTCGTCCACTTTTTTCATGCTGTTGATCGCGTTTTGAATCACAAACGACAGGGGCCCATCATCATCGTCGTCATCATCAAAGGCGGCTTGCTTCACAGGCGGGCCGTCGTCGTCGCTGTCGGCTTCGTTGTCGTGCTCGGCCACGACTTTTGGATGGCGCAGTGTCGCAGCATGGGGCGTGCCTTTCTCGTGCGTGACGATCTTAGTCAACTTTTCAACGGCTGGCGCGAGGGCCACCTTGGCTTGTTGGCCTCGCTCAGCCTTGATTTTAACTTCAACTTTCACGTTCTGGTCCGATTCCAGAGAGATTTCGTTGTTTGCGGGCTGATCGTTGGCTTTGACACCAGTCTTCTTGGCGGGCAAAAGTGGCTTCACGTCGAGCTGGCGTTCCAACTCTTGTCGCTCCTTCTTTGCGGCTTCGTATACTTTGCGCGCCTTGTCTTCGGCTGCCACTAGCGCCGCCAGTCGCTCCTTCGGGTTGTAGTCATCGCGCTTTCGTTTCTTCGAGTCTGGCTGTCCGTCCTTGGCCGGGTCCTCCAAGTGGGAATGCACAAACATACACGCTTTACCACGATGGCACTTGCCATTTTGAAACGCAAAGCACACACGCGGCTTCCCGTCCGACGGGTCACCAACGCTCGCCTTCTTGTCCCCGACCTGGCTCAACGAGTCGGTTGATTTGGCGCCACCCGTGTGCGCAAACTTGCACTCGTCGCCGCGCTTGCACTTGCCAGACTGGACAAACTCAAAGCAAGAACCGTAGTCGCCGTCCTTGGCTTCGTGCGGGTACTTGCACGCGTCGCCCTTGTCGCAAAGTCCCTTTTGAAACGCCCAACACACCCCCACCTTTTGCTTCTCGTCCTTCTTGGCGTCGTATCCGTCTCGATCGGCCTTGGGAATGACATCCCGCACGGTCAACACGCGTCCGTCCACCGACGACTGATTCATGTGCTTGATGGCTTTGTTCTTGGCCGCGGCACTCGCGTACGTGACGAACCCGAACCCACGGGACTGCTTCTTGTCGTCCAGCACTACTTTGGCGTCCGCGACCGTGCCGTGGAGGCCAAACATGTCGCTCAGCCCTGCATCATCCAAGCTCTTGGCGATGCCAATGACGATGACCTTGTTCTGGTCGTTGGACCGCGCTTTAAACGGCATCGTTTTTTGTGTGTGAATTAATGGGGCGTTGATTGGAAAGCATTCATTGGTCGTCCTTTCTTGAAATTATGTCCAATCAAGTGCCGAATTGATAAAATATCCACCAATCCAATCACATGAAATCTTCAAAGTTCGCGACGATCTAATGGTCGCCCAGCCGACGACGATAGTACATCAGAAGCCACCGGTGTACTACTGCCTCGGCGGCGTGTCCGCCATGACGGCAGCCTGCTTTACTCACCCCATGGACCTGCTCAAGGTTCGCCTTCAAACGTCCAAGGAGCTCCACCTCTCGCTCCTCGGCACCGTGCGTTCCATCATTCAAGTGGAAGGTCTAGGTGGGTTTTACCGCGGCATCACGGGTGGGTTGATGCGAGAAGGCACGTACTCCACCGTTCGATTTGGTGTGTACCAGTATCTCAAGGACGTCGCCGTTGAACGCAACAATGGCGAAGCGTTGCCTCTTGTGGAGAACATTGCGTTGTCCATGTTCGGTGGCGCCGTCGGTGGATTTTGCGGCAATCCCGCAGATGTGGTCAACGTTCGCATGCAAGCAGATGGGAGGTTACCACCGGCCCAGCGCCGGAATTACGCGCACGCCGTCGACGGCCTCGTTCGAGTGTCAAACGAGGAAGGTCGCGGTGTCCTCATGCGCGGAGTTCGACCCAACATGATCCGCGCCATGCTGCTCACGTCTGGACAAATCGCATCGTACGATGTGTTCAAAAGATTTCTCATGACGAGGGTGGGGCTTCACGACAACATCATAACGCACTTTGTCGCGAGTATGGCCGCGGGATTGGTCGCAACCACGGCGGTAAGGACGACTTGACGAACCATGGATCTTGACGGGGTTGATATGCGTAGTGTGCACCCATGGACCTGGTCAAGACACGACTGATGAACATGGCACACAGTGGAACGGCGGAAGCCGAGTACGCCGGTGCGGTGGACTGCTTTGTCAAGATTGTACGCAAGGAAGGTGTTCGGGGGCTGTTTAAAGGGTGGACGCCTGCATACATTCGGCTGGGACCGCAGACCATCATCACATTCATGACGCTGGAGCAACTTCGCAAGCTCATCTAGCATGATGCCACCCGAGGATGCGCTTTTCAGAAGGGACGTTGAATCCGGATAAATAGACTCTTTCCGGATAACGGCCAAAACGCTGTTCTTTTGCGTTTGGCCAATTCCAGTTTGGGCTCCAGTTTGAGCTCACCACTTTTGATAAAGATTCGAATGACGCGAGGTGAACAACAGCCGCTGTTGACGCCGACGAAGAAGAACCTCTGGCGCCATGGAGGATCGACGCCCACGACGAAGCTCGGCTGGTTGGCCAATACAGTGCTGGTGATCGTAGCGTTGGACGTGGTGGTGATGTTGTCGCAGCTCCCGCAATTGTCGATTGTGTGGTTTGTTGATTCGGCGCTTCCTGAATGGCGCTACGAACAACTGCCCATCTTGCTCACGCTCTTGAAGGCCGTTGTGTTGGTCGTCGCTGTGTTCTCGCCGTACGCCGTGCTTTTTGGTTTGGTGGTGATCGTTGCGATCTTGGTTGTATTGGCCAACGACGCGTTCGCCCTCGATGCCATGACTCAGCAAGAAGTGGAGACTCAAGGCCTTAAACATGCCAACTTGTTCAACATCTTGCCGCTCATGTTCTCCGTCTTCGAAGGGGTCCTGTTGATCCAAGCGTACTTGAAGCAAAAACGACGGGCCCAAGAGCTAGCAACTGCGAAGCAACAGTCGGAGGATTTGGAGACTTCCCAGAGCACGTTTAGCGAGTCGGCAACGTCCGCGTCTGGCGGCAAAGCTGGCATTTCACTGGTCAAGATGCTCATGGTACTTCGCCCGTACTTTTGGCCCCACGGGCTAAACAACCGCGTGCGGGCTATGAGTACCTACTGCTTCCTCGTCACATCCAAAGTACTCAATTTGTACGCGCCCATGTTTATGGCCCGCAGCACCAATGCGCTGGTGGCCAAGGATTACGCCGGGGCGTTGCGTGCGGTGACGTTATACTGCGCCAGCATCCTCGCGTGCAAAGTGCTGGACGAACTCAAGAGCGTCGTGTACCTCAAAGTCAAGCAGACCGCGTATGTCGAGATCGCGACCATGACGTACGAGCATCTACATTCGTTGTCGCTGGATTGGCATTTGAAAAAGGTGAGATTGTTTGTACATATATCGATTTCCTCATCGTGATGCGTTAGAAATTGGGCGACGTGCTGCGGTCTATGGATCGAGGCGTCGAGTCCGCCAACAGCGTCGTGTCGTACATGTTTTTGTACTTGCTCCCGACCATTCTCGAAGCGTACGACAATCTGAGTCTGAGTCTGAGTCTGATTCTGTGACAGGGTTGTGGTCATGATCATCTTTGCAACACACTTTCAACTGGCGAGTTTGTCGTTTATGGCGTTTTCGAGCTTGGTCGTGTACGCCCACGTGACGATTCTGCTCACGTTGTGGCGCAAAAAGTTTCGCCAAGAAAGCACCAAGCACGACAACGAGTACCACGACAAAGGTACATGTGTAGGAACCTCTATAAATATATATATATATATATATATATATCCTATTGATAGTAGTATATATATAGATAGGATCTGACGTTGTGAGTCCTACTACTACAGTACTACTACATAGGACAAGTGTTGTACACCTTTGACCCTGTATACATCGATATATATATATATATATTGTCCTTTTACCGAAAATTTGGACTTTTGTGCGAAATGGCCAAATCGAGCCAATCGATTTTTTGTAATAACACTGAATTTTGTATTCAAAGAATGTCCTGTGGTGATTGGTATCTCGAAGTCACACACTAATTTGACGTTGATGATGGTTTCTTGCAATCTGATTGGCTAACATCCATTTGCCGATGATTCTTGTGTACATATTTGGTTGTGTCGATTTATTCATTCTCCATGAGTCGCTCCAGTTTCGAATAGACACAACAATATATATATATATATATATCGACTCGCAGCCATGATCGGCATGAATGTGTGTACTGACGTTATTCCTACTATCTGTAGCGACGGATGCCCTGATCAACTACGAAACGATCAAGTACTTTACGAACGAACGACATGAAATCCAGAGCTACTCGTCGTCAATTCAAAAGTATCAGTCCAACAGTGTCGCAGTTCAAGCGTCGCTGTCCGTGTTGAACATGAGCCAGGCCAGCATCATCCAAGCCACGACCCTTGCGTGCTTGGCGCTGGCGATCCCGCATGTCATCCGCGACGACGGCCGCGGCGTCGACATTGGCGGCTTTATTGCCATCTCTGTGTACTTGAACAATCTGTTTACGCCGCTCTACTTTCTCGGGTCTCTCTACAATATGATGATCAACGTAAGTACTGTATGTGGAGGTGTTTTCGAGGCTAAAGCTGATACTGTATCTAGGCCATTGTGGACATGCAAAAGCTGAGCGAACTGCTCAATGTGGACCCGGATATTACCGACAAGCCATTCGCGCCCAAGCTGTCGCTCGACTACGAAGCACACCGCAACGGCATCACAGTCGAGTTTCAAAATGTATCGTTTGATTACCCCGATCAAAACGAAGGTAGTGGGCTGAAGAATGTCAACTTTGTCATTCCAGCAGGTACGATATATATATATATATATCCGCGAAAGTTGGACTTTGTGGTGCTAGTAGTATTCACACTAATTTGAAATCACACACATTTATACTATACTATACTATACTATACTATACTATACTATACTATACTATACTATACTATACATCTTAGGCACAACGACTGCGCTCGTGGGGGAGACGGGCGCGGGAAAGACGACCGTGTCGCGGCTGTTGTTTCGCTTTTACGACGTGCACAAGGGCCACGTAAGTTGTGAATTTTAGCCACTGGTTCACATGATTGACGATTTTGAACTGGGTAGGTCCTGATTAACAACCAAGATGTGTCTGGTGTGACCCAACTGTCGCTTCGCAAAGCCATCGGCATCGTCCCCCAAGACACGGTGCTATTCAACCAGTCTGTGCTATACAACATTCAGTACGGCAACATGGACAGCTCGTTCGAGCAGGTACAGTAGTGTTAACAAACTTTGGACACTTTGCTGATTTCCGAAATCCATCGATCGATGTGTTGTATTACTGAATTATATATGTCAAAACGTGTATAGTTGCCATCACACTAATCAAAGTCACCTACGAATTAGTGGTTGATTGAACGGATATATATTTCCTGCAATCTGATTGGCTACATAAAACTGCATTTGGCTGTGTCGACAATACATTCATTCTCCATGTCGTTCCAGTTTTGAAAAAATATATATACAACCATACTACTGTTGTTGCAGTCAGCAGACGGACGTTGTCACAGATATATATATATATATTGTCCTTTTACCCAAAATTTCGACATTTATGCTGAATCGATCGCCAAATCCATCGATCGATTCTTTGACTTTTGTAAAGTTGGCCCAGTCTCACACTAATTTCAGTTACATACTACTAATTCGCATTGGTCGACGAGTGGGGTTTTGATTTGATTGGCTACTTGATTCGTGTGGTGGGTTTTGATTGGTCGATCCCAATTCCAATTAATATCGAATACTTGACAATATATTTGGCGCACACAGGTGGTGGAAGCAGCCAAGAAGGCCAAGATTTACGACTTTATCATGCAATTACCGTTGACGTGGAACACCATGGTGGGCGAGCGCGGGCTCAAGTTGTCTGGCGGGGAGAAGCAACGCGTGGCCATCGCCCGCACGTTGCTGAAGAACCCGCCGTTCGTCATCTTAGACGAAGCCACGTCGGCGCTGGACACGGTGACCGAGTCGGAGATCCAGCAGGCCCTCACGCGACTGCAGACCAACCGCACGATGCTCGTGATTGCACACCGGTTGTCGACGGTATGTGTGACGCTGTTGAATACGAATGACGACGACATGTGGGATGATGTTAGATCCGACACGCGTCGCAGATTGTCGTGCTGGGCAAAGGATCTGTGCTGGAAATGGGCACCCACGACGACTTGATGCAAGCGAATGGCAAGTACGCGGGCATGTGGAAGGCGCAACTCGAGTCGCAGAAAGAGCTCGACGACTGCGTGTAACCTCGCGATGAGTAAACCAACTTGTATGAGATAACCAGTGGGAACGACGCGGCTTTGTGAAAGTTGTTGCGATGACGTTCTTGGACGCAAATGAATGTTCTGATATAATATTGTGTTTCAAACTGGAGCGACATGAAGAATGAAAAATATATCGACACAACCAAATATGTAGTAGTACAGCAAAAGGATTTAGCCAATCAGATTGCAGGAAACCATCATCAACGTCTAACTAGTATGTGACTTCAATTAGTGTGATACCAATCACCTTTGTACATACAAAATTCAATACAATGAATCGATCGATAGATTTGGCGATTCAGCACGAACGAACACTGCACGGATTGCCTAACGTTACGTCGAAAGTCTTTGCCGGCTTAATGTGCAAAGCCGATTCAATCGGCTATTGCACGATTCATCAGTGGTTGTACCAGCGTACTAGAGTATACTTACTATAATAACGTTAGTATTAATAGTAGTGAGGATAGTATTCATAGCTTTGTGTTTTCTGAGCTAATGGACTCCAAGCACCCCGAAACCCCAAAACCCCGAAACCCCGTTTGATAGTTTCATCAACTAAATTATCCGGACACCTGTCAAAATGCATCCTGATTGTGAATCCAACTGCAGCATTTAATATTTCTCGAAGTCCGCCCGACATGGCCGACAACGACGTGGACTTGGATGCGCTTCTAGACGGTTGAGGCAAATCACTTCATGAACCCTGTTGATCAACGTCATGTAGATGCGCTTGATGACTTTGATGACGATGAGGTGGATCCTGTGCAAGAAGCCAAGGCAAAGGTGGAGGCTGCTCAAACCCGCGAAATGGAGAACCTCAAAGAAGTACTGCGATTGTCCACCGTCACATGTCTGACATCGAGGTAGAGCATGGCCAAGTTCCTTGAAGATGCACACAATCCAGAGTTCCAAAGCGTGTTGGAACAAGCATTTCGCGAAATGAACCCCGACGACACGGCCACTTCGAACGGGGATAGCTTGGAATCGTTGTTGGGCAGTTTGAAGTCCAAGACTACCGCGGATGCCCCCGCCGCTGACGTAGACGTGGGGGTCGCACGGACATTACAGGCAAGGACTTGCTATCGTTTGTCGTTGCATCGTAGGCCTTGACGCGACGTTTGGTCGTCGTAGAGCATGGCGAAAGCGGCCGAAGACATGGAAGGGTTGGACACCAACAAGACCGAGGAGATGGGCGAAGAAATGATGCAGGAAATGATGAAGCAATTCGAACAAATGGGCGAAAAGGTGATGACTTTGTATAGAATGGGCATTCAATTGATTGTATTTCGTAGAATGACTTTCAAGGGTTGGTGGACGGCATGATGCAGCAACTGTTGTCACGAGATGTAATGTACGACCCCATGAAGCAAATCTGCGACAAGGTACACACACATATATATCCTTTCCCTCTGGTTAGTTCACGATATATCATCTAGTACCCCGAATGGTTGGCGGAAAAGGAACCGCACTTGTCGAAACATGACTACGAACGGTACTGCTTTACATAGAGTTTTGGGGTTTCCAGTTGACTCTGCGATACTGCTGTAGATATGGCAAACAATACCAGTACTTTCAACAAATCCTTGCCGTGTACGAGAACGAGCCCGACAACTACGCCCGACTGTCCGAGCTCATGCAAGAAGTAAATGATTCTTCATCTATTCCGTGGATATCGAGACGAGTTTACAGCGTCTTGCATATGGATGGACAGACGTAAGACGCTGCTTGGTATCGTAGATGCAAGAATGCGGCCAGCCGCCGTCGGAAATCGTGAAGGAGTTAGCACCAGGTACTTTGCAATTGTCTTATTAAATAATGCATGATCTATTTTCATTTATAATCAGGGCTCCAGTTTGACGACGAAGGCATGCCCATCATGCCGAATATGGTAAAATTCATTTATGTTTGCTTTCATTTATTTGCCGTGATTCACATAAAGACTAGGGACCTGGAGCGTTCCCTGGGATGGCGGGACTGCCTGGAGCTCCACGTACGCAGCACATGTTCATGCCAAACACTTGATGGTTCTAACCATACTCGTCTTATGTAGTGGCAGGCATGCCGGGCGCAGACCAGTGCTGCGTCATGTAGTGACCGCCGCGGTGAATCTAGTGACCGCCACACTCGAAGTAGAGGGTAGATTAGTGACATCGAAGTTGGGGATAAAGTGGACCAATCAAAAACACTTCGAAATTCGTTTTTTGGGTTTATGATTGTTGTGAACCGCTGCCGAGACGACCATGGACGAGCTGAATGCGATGTCGCTGCATGTGTTTGAGTACCTGGGCACGCTCTCTGCGGTGTCCAACGTCGAGTACAAGCCATCTCCAGGCATTCAACTGCACAACATTGCTCTGTGGGAACAAGTACGACACGCTCCTTATCACGACGTTCACGAACGACTTGTGGTAGCGAAACGCACCCAAGAAGCTCCCCCTCGACCTCGTGGCGTTCCTAGGAGCGTCGAACGGGCTGTCTGTGAAATGGTACACGACACTCAAGGCCAAGCAGCACTTGGTCGGTCATTTCGCGTTGAATTCGCTTCAACACATGCGGAAAATCGATGCTGACTTTCCCGACGGCAACTACCGTACGCATGCTGCTCGTATTCTTGACGTCCTTCATGCACATCCATGTAACATTAGTGGCCCTGGTCCTCGACTCGTCTAAGATCATGGGCGATGTCTGCCTGGTGTTCAAATCCAATGGTAGTGTGCCACGTCATCTCGAGTATCGGGCTTTACATTCTGCCACGTCACTAGACCAAGCCGAGGTGTGGCTGCGCGACGTCATGTCGAATTGGATCTTGCTCGCTCGGACATTTGCCGACTATTACCGGCTCATGTACGCAATTCAATTATTTATTTCATATATTTTGTTTTTCATATATTTTGATACTTATCTTATTAGGATCGTGCACTTGGGGCTCATCGGGTGGCAAGCGTTGTTCACGCCCGTGGGATTGGATCCGTTGACCAAGGTGGGTGGTGTGCCACGTCATAGCTCAACATCATCCAAAATCACAACTATTATATATATATATATATATATATATATATAGTGCCTCCATAACTTGGATGTTGGGCTGATTCACATTTACCAAACCCCTTGGTCAAGTAGTCGCACACACGAATATTCGACGTTTGATTGGCCACTTGAAAGTGTTTGGGGTTTTGATTGGTCTGTCTATTTGGATCGTCCTTGGTGCAACTATCTCATGTTGTATTTACTCGATTATTGTTACATGCTTAGCAATGGTTTCATCTGTTTGTACCCGGCCGGCTGCGCCAACTGACAAGCCCAGACAAGCACGCGACTACAAGTGCCCAGATCCCCATCTTGCCGTTCCTTTAGCTGTCATTGCGCATGTAAAACAGACTGCTGTCGTTATATGCGAGTCGGGTGAAATCTTCGAACGCCACGAGCGACGCCTTGCGCTTCACCTGGGTCGGCTGAATCTTGACCAGTTGCCGCGTCGGCGTCAGTTCCTGGCCTCGTTGCCGTCCACCTTGCACATTTCTACGTTCACACATATATATAAATATATCCCCGATTACCATCAAATATATAGATACCGTCGATACACTTGGACTTGAATGGACACGGCGCCGTCGTCGGCTTCGTCCAGACGCACCACTTGGCAAATGTGATAGAGTAAATCGTGGGGCCGGTTATCCAAATCCACAAACACCATCTCCCCCAGGCACAGGCGTAGCTTTCTATCAACGCTCTTTATATAAAAAACCAACAAATATAATGTATGACGATATATAAAGTATCAGGGAAAACACATACGATGCCGTGGGCAAAATCACTTCCATCACGCGAGAGTTCAACGTGCCGTTGCGGTCGTCGTACTCGTCAGGCACCAAATTTGGCTCGCTCGTGTCGACCAGTTTCTGCGCAAGTTTGTCACAAACGGCAACTTTATATGGGGTTTATTACCTGATGGATAAGGCATTCATTCACCCATAGAAACCGCACGACGGGAATGTCATACTCTTGGGCCAACGTACAAAGCTACGTAGATACTCAATAATCATATTCTAAAGCGAAGTATATTCATACCGGGGTGAATTCGTTGGTTAACAACACATCCACTGAGCCTTCCTCGATCGCTTTTCGTGTGACATTCTACCATAATTGCATTATATTGTGTGCTTTTCACCCAAATTATATTGCCTAACGTTAGGTTATTGGGGAAGTATTGTTGAAATCACCCAGAAATCGACGAAACAGTATGATTGGCTAAAACGAATTGTGAAGGTTGCAATTGATTGGCTCAAAAGATTGCAGCCACACAGATACACCTCTAAAACCTAGTGTTATATCATATTTCGAAGGTAAAATCGGGGGTTTCGGGGTTTATTTACCACACAATTGAAAGTGCAAACACACATATATAAGAGCATATGTATGCATATACCATTTTCACAGACACGGCGCCGCAGTGCTCGAGGGGAAACTTCATCACATTTGCAATCGACCGCTGGTACTCTTTGCGTTGCTTATTAGGAACGTCGTTCGGGATGCCAAAGCGCAAGCCTGTAAACAAGGTGTGCTACTCGATCAAGTTAATATTTTAATTCTCTTTGAGGTATAAGTACTATAGAAATAACCCCGAAACCCCGAGAACCTACTTGATGTTGCGGAATATGAACCAGGCTGCGTCGAGTGATCCACGAAAACCCAGATGGAATCCAGTACCTACGTACATACATATAAATCCCGACCACCCAATGAACAAATATCATTTCTGGATCTGAACGATATATATATATATATTTACCCCGTAACGTCGACAAGGACGCGAGATTGAAAGCATGCGGCAAGCCAGTCGGGATGCACGATGGGAATCCCACAGGCCATGGCGTACAGTGTCTTGGGTCGTCGACTGGCTTCCGCCGTGGCCACCACATAGCATCGATCTACCCCCGTTTCGAATATCAAATTGATAGCATATATCTCGAAATACAATAGGTACCTTGGACTTTTTTCATTTGCGCAATATCTTTTAGGATCTTGCCACCGTACGACGTGATTTGGCTGACCAGTTGGCCGCTCGCAACTTCTTTGAACCCGCTGAGGTAGAAATGGACGTCGGCAAAGCATTTGACTCGCGTGGCGTACGCCGAGCGCGGCGGCACGGGCGACGGCTGATCGGGCGTTGGCATCTTGCGCTTCTTCAGGCGGCGAGAACAAGTAGGCGGGGACGACGAAGTAGTAGTAGTTGGCGTTGATATCATCGTGGACGATCTCAATCGTCTGGGGGGTTTCGGTGGCGTCACAAACACATTCTTGTTGTCATCCATGATTTGGCGGGTCAAGTGACTGGTATACCCCTGCACATGCATCGCAGCGTCGAGTGTAGTGGCAGCCAATCCGTTCAAGTCGGGAAGGCTGGCTTGCGTGTCTTGCTGGGATTGGGACTGGTCCAAGAAGGCAAATGGTCGACTTGTTTGCGATGCCGAATCGTTGTTGTCAAAGTCAAAGGTTGAGGCCACGACTGGTGGTGGTCGGCTAGAATGTATGAGAGGAGTATCTGCATCTTTCATCCGTCGTTGCAAGTACACGGGTGGCGGCAGTGGCGGGTCGTCGACGGCGGTGGACATCGACTCGTCGGACTCTGGGGCGGACGCCTCGCCCGCCGCGGTGGAGCTCGAGATGCTGCTGCTGCTTGGAGGAGTCTCGATGGGGCACTCGATACCCGCTGGTTGTGGTTGATTGTCGTTTGGCTGCGCACCAATAACCATAGCATAGCTACGTGGGGACTGCCGGGTTTCAGAAGTGACCGTGTCGCATGGCTCGGACGCGCCATGCTGAAGAAATTGGTGGTGGACAACACTCGACGATTCGTGGTCGACATCGCCTGCAGATGCATCATGGGCCATCGTGGTCGTGGACGATGCGATGCTGGTGCTGCTGTGGGGGTCTTGGTTGTTCGGGGCAGCGGATGCACCTGTTTCATTTGAAGCAGATGGCGGCTCCATGAGTCGTTGGGTGGGTTCGTAGGTGTGAACGCTTTCGCTATGTACGGCGGTTCGTTTGAATGGCGCTGAGGGAGGCGGAGACAAGAGCCGCATCGTGGCTTCGCCTCGTCCAACATCCTCGGCATCACCAACACGCGGAGGACGACATAGCTGCGCTTCGCGTGGAGCCTCAGTGTCATCATCGATGTCGTCGTCGGCAATGATCTGCGTGAGTTCCATGTCGTCGTCGTCGTCGCTAAAGATGTGGGTTTCCGTGTCCGACACCTCGTCCACTCGAGGTGGCTCCACAGACTCGAGTTTCTGCGTCTTGTCCCATCCGCTGTCCGTGCTGACCTGTAGTTGTGTCTCGTCATCTTCGTTCGCTGGTGACAGGGCCACAGCGGAGTCGTCGAACGACGCTAGCACCAGCGGCACACCATCTTGGGATACACGCCGCGGCAGATGGTACGGCAGCTCCCTGTATACATCAGATGCGCTCATGCTTAGCTTGTCATCCTTGTTTTCAATCGGCGAGCTGATCCATCCTCTGCCGTCGTCCATGCTGTGGTGGTGGCGGCGGAGGTTTCTGCGAGATGCTTGCGCGACTTGGCAACAGCAGTCGTTCGCGGCAAACTAATAGACCAATCAAAACACGTTCAGACCCACTTATTCATGTGATTGGCTATAATTGGAAAATCCCAAAATTAACGGCAAAGTCGGATTTGTCCTACTTTATTTTGTAGCTGGTCGTTTCACTTTTCCACCAATCACAATTTGGAATCGAACACAGCATGAGAAAGTCCACGGTGCGTAGTGAACACGCGTTCTTGCCGTTGAAGGCGCTGCGTAGGTAACCCAAAGCACACCGCTTCTCTCCAGGCCCTCTACTGAAGGGAACAATGGATCGCTCTCCAATCTAGCCGAGACCACCGACAACCCAGCATGCCGACGCGTGTCCATTACCAAGTGCAAGTGCAGCAGCGATGCACTGACTGCGGCGGGTTCGTTGTCAAAGAATCCAGAAACCCCGAGTGTGAAGTGTCCACTTCACGACGTCGAGTACATACACACACTACCGGTAGACCGCCTCAAACTCGCTTGCATTCCGTCGCAGTCGGGCATCAAGGCCCTGCCACCGTTCATTCTGGGCGAAGAAGTGTATATGAACGGTGGCCTTCCGCCATCGTCTCAGTTGCACTCGGCCCCGCCACGCACTCCTGTGATACCGCCATCCCCCCCCAAGGACGCGCATGATAAGTGCGTGGTCATCGTTGTTGACGACTCCAAGTACAGCATTGACGGAACGTTTTCTGTCCAAACTGAAAGCGGTGTTGTCCATCATGGCATCTCTGGCTTGCGGTTGGAACCCATTGGCAAAGCCAGTGAAACCCCGAGATACGTCGACACTTTCGTGCACAAAATGGTGCGTAAAGTGTTCATAACGTCAACCTGATGCAGCATCGATAGGGAAGAAGGGGGACGGGACTCAGTCTTCGCGATTTGTCAACGTACATGCCTCATCAGGTAACATATTCGTTGAAAGTTCATAATGTTTTTGATCTAATATGAGCTCGTGTAGCTGGAGCATGGGCAATTACTGGCGATGCTCGAACAATATTCGAAGCTCATTCGGCTAAAATACGAGTCGAACCGCAATATGGCCGTGATTCTGTCGCGCCGTGCGACGTTGTATGCAGCTCTTGGCCACTACAACGAGTCTCTCGACGATGCAGAGCACGCCATTCAATTGGAGCCCAATTTTTCTACTGTACCCATCTTCTGTTAACTGTTCGAGGTTTCAGCTAACGATGCAACTAGGCGTATTTTCGAAAAGGCTATGCGTTATGCAGTCTAGGGCGGTATGCAGAAGCCTGCGTTGAGTTCCGAAAAGTACGATTGCAAGGATGCTGGTACGATATTTCATTTCAGTGGTAGGGACTGGAATACGATGCTTGCTGCCCTCACTTACGACATGCGTTGGAGGTCACGATGAATTCGTTGCATCATAAACCAAAGTAACGTTAGTCCACTGGATGCCAGACATGACAAAAGTACACGTGGTCCAGAATGAGTTGGCATTATCAACACTTGACTTGCATGTGCTAAATGTAAGTCACTGCGCGACTGTATGTATAGTAAATCGTAAATTAGTTCTTTTGACTTGTTTGTGGAATTCGTAAGGTGGCTGGCCTTTCTTCTGATTATTAACCAATCAGAGTGCATCATGGTTTCTTTGCCCATATAATTGGTCAAGACGATCATTTTTATCGACTTCAAAAATGCAGAAGTACCAAGTTCCCAGCGACTCAAACAACTCGTGCCACAATCAGCTTAATGCTCATGTCAGCAGTTCATCGCACTCTCGAGTACACTCAGTAGCATTTTTCCTTAGTGCTTATTGAAGTCGACATCGAATGACGAATGGTCGATGCGAATTTCTCGTTAGGAAGGACCAGCAGTATCACTACTACTTCATGGTTTCGGTGGACTGAGGCCAACACCCAAGGTCCTTCCAAGTCAAAATGGGGAAGTGATGGGTAAAACTACCGTCAGTAAGAATCTTATTATCGGGGCATAGCCACCAAAAGTTTGACCAAATCAAGTCGTTTGCCCGCGACGTTTCGGGGTTTCGGGATCAACGAGTAAATTGCTGTAAACGACCTATTTTACAGTACCAGTAGTTGATGAGCTTGACCCATGTGATTACTTCGTTTATGCCAAGATGCAAAACTAGTAAGACGACCAAGGTCGGGGGCATGTGCGACGGCACCCGAGCCCAGCACTTCCACCAGAGCGCCCACTACGCCAAGAACAACCACTACCTATGCTGCGGCAAGACGAGGACCAAGTCGTACTACATCGCCCAGGCTAAAGCGTGCGGATAGGAGCAAGGAATCGCATTACTATTAATAGTACTGTAGCTCACAATCCAATAGCTGCAGCCTACAGCTAGCAATTTACTCGTACCAAAGAGAATAGAACGATCCTATTGGCCAGCTATTTTCACTTTTCTATCATATAATTAGACAGAAATTTGGTAAGGCAGCCTGCCTTACGAATTCATCAATAAGATGCGTTTAAAGGAATTTAACTTTTTCCATACAAAGATGAAGCTTCATTCAATAAAATTTGAACTATTTCAGATCGATTTATGGAACCACGCCGACAGCATGTATATGCATCTTAACGACAATAGAATGTAAGCCAACCCTGCCGCCACACTAAATTCTCGATTGGTGAGAGCTCCAAAACCTCCATCGCCAGCGGGCGTCCTACGCGTGTTTGCTCCATCAGGACTACCATTTCGGCCAACCGGTGTGGAATGGGTGTGAAATGATGTACTAATTTTACAGCTATCACCCCATAAACTGGATTTTACAGTTCTACGTTTACACCAGCCGGGGGATGCTCTAATAGGATTAATATTACGATTATTTGTAAGGGCCTGTCTGGAAGCCATCTAATATCACGATATTTCTCGATATTTTTTGAAATATTGAGATATCTTGAATTACATCGAAATGACGTGTCTGGAAACCACTTCACTCACAAAAATATCTCATTATTTCGACGAAAAAATACAGAAATATCGCAATATAGAATATACCACTCCGACTTGTATATTATGGCGGATAACGTGGTATTCAGAACCCCCTGTCTATCTGCACACCATGAACAAGAAGATCGCACTGCTCTTCATTCTGCGTTGGGCGCAGCGGCGCCGACAAGCACGACAAATCTACATCCGATACGCATAGTATCACTATTGGGCATACGTACTGAAGTCCTCCAAGCGTGTGTCCATCTTGAGTGGGATCGGGTGGGTCAACGAAGTACTTCGCGGAAACGAATCAGTTGTGATCGACAACTTTCGCATGTCAAGCCGAACGTTCCACTTGCTAGTGGATGCGGTAGTCACAACAGGGAGTCTCGTTGGCGGAAGAGACGTATGCGTGCAAGAGCAAGTTGCCATGTTCCTCTACTTTGTTGGGCACCGCGCATCGAGCCGCGCGATACAATGCCGCTTTCAACGATCTGGTGAGACCGTCACTCGGCACCTGCATGCTGTGATGGCGTCCTTGGTCAAGCTGTGTCCAACTTACATCCGCATCCCACAACCTGGCGCGGCTGTTCATCCGAGTATTGCCAACAATCTCAAGTTCTCCCCTTTTTTTCTGAATTGCCGTATGGCTATCGATGGGACCAATATTCCAATTCGCGTGCCGGCGTGCGATGCCTCCCGGTTCCAAAGTCGAAAAGGCGTGACAATGAACATCCTTGCGGCATGCGATTTCGATTTGAATTTCACGTTCGTCATGGCCGGATGGGAAGGAACAGCCGGTGACGGCAAATTGTACGATGCAGCTTTGCGTATGGGACTGCACATCGACGATGCAAAGTTCGACATATTGGATGCTGGATTTGCTCTCACAACGAAGGCCCTCACACTGTATCGTGCAAACCGCTATCATTTAAAGGAGTTTGCTCGTGGTCGCCAGCGTCCTCGAAGGAAGAGCTCTTCAATTTACGGCACGCTCAGTTGAGGAACGTCGTGGAGAGGATCTTCGGCATCCTTAAGAAGCGATTTCCGGTCCTCGTGTGCCCTGTGGAGTACAACTACAAATTCCAAGTCGACTTGGTCCTTGCGCTTTGCCTGCTTCACAATTTTATTCGACGCCACGGCAACGACAGTTTGGAGCAAGAGGTCGTTGACGAAATCCGACGGCAAAATGAGCAGCCAATGGACTCAAGCGACATGCCACTATTCAATGAGGCGCTCGAAAGCTCGGAAGCAAAGACATGGCGTGACGAAATTGCTCAAGATATGTGGGATCAATATCAAATAACTCTTCGAGCGAGACATAATAGATATAGGCGAAATTTAATTTGATATTTGAGTTTTATAACGTCCTCACACTTGTACCCACACTTACCCCCGCAGTTGTCCCCACTGTTGTCCTCACACACCATGTACTCTTACTTCAAACATGAAACTCACAGTGATGGTTTGATGTGAAATTAGTTTATCCCTGGGTTTTAAGGGACAATATTTGGCGCTTCAACCACACTTCTCAAACTTCACCGCTCATGCGCAGAAATAGGGTTGCCTTTTTCAAGTCTTCCATGACCTCAAATGCAATTGTCATGTCGTCAAGTGAGAGAATGGCGCCAAAGTCACTTTGCAGTCGATCTAAAGCCATCTCGGATGCCGTATATGGAGACGCATCGTGCATGCCATGTGATGTCGTTGGTAGCACGTTGTCTTTGAGTGCCTTCACAAATACTGACATTTCTTGATGCCCGTAATCCTCAAGCTGTTTAAGTTGAGCAGTCATGGTAGACGCCAACGACGGTCTGACACGTTTTGACAACCCAGCGCCACTTGCCCGCACGCGTCGCTTCGCTGGCTTTCCAGAACTGAGTTCTACTTGACTTGCCTCAGAGTTGTCAGAAATGTTGTCCATGAAATCCATATCCGCGACGTCGTTGTCGATATTAGCATCACTCTGTTGATCGTCACCATTCTCGATTGAGCTGGTAATGCTTTGCTGTTGTGTTGTTGATGATGCATACTCTCCCGTGGCAAGGGAGATCGTCGTAGAGCTGCTGGCAGTGCAGATACTGTGGAAAGCGCTTTGTCTCCCACAACGCCCACCGTTTTGGTTTCCCTTCCAGGAAGTGTTGCTACGATCCCTCCGTGCACACGAACCGACATGTGGCTACTTCGAAGCCGATTCCTGATGTGTGTACCATTTGCGACACTTGAGCATACTGCTTCTTCATTTCTGCATTCCTGGCCTTGAGCTGGACCTTCGTGTAGTTAACGCGGTGTTCGATGTTGAGTTTACTCAATGCTGCCTGCCACGCCTCCTTCTTGAACCCACTGTTTGCACGTTTGCCAAGGACTACCACTTGGTAGATCATCTCGGTCATCCAGGAAGCATCCTTCTCGTCGGTCCAGTTTGCGCGCTCGTCGGTCATGCTTTTTGAAATCTTGCCCGTTCTTTCCAATTATCCTATATTATTGTCCAATCACATGGCAACCAGACAGTCCACCAAATAAAAATATTGCATAATGAAGTTATGTGGTTTTCTGTATTTCAAAAAATGCAGAATGCACAATATTGCAATATCATCATATTTTTTAGGGTGGCTTCCAGACGGGTCGTACTACATCGCCCAGGCTAAAGCGTGCGGATAGGAGCAAGGAATCGCATTACTATTAATAGTACTGTAGCTCACAATCCAATAGCTGCAGCCTACAGCTAGCAATTTACTCGTACCAAAGAGAATAGAACGATCCTATTGGCCAGCTATTTTCACTTTTCTATCATATAATTAGACAGAAATTTGGTAAGGCAGCCTGCCTTACGAATTCATCAATAAGATGCGTTTAAAGGAATTTAACTTTTTCCATACAAAGATGAAGCTTCATTCAATAAAATTTGAACTATTTCAGATCGATTTATGGAACCACGCCGACAGCATGTATATGCATCTTAACGACAATAGAATGTAAGCCAACCCTGCCGCCACACTAAATTCTCGATTGGTGAGAGCTCCAAAACCTCCATCGCCAGCGGGCGTCCTACGCGTGTTTGCTCCATCAGGACTACCATTTCGGCCAACCGGTGTGGAATGGGTGTGAAATGATGTACTAATTTTACAGCTATCACCCCATAAACTGGATTTTACAGTTCTACGTTTACACCAGCCGGGGGATGCTCTAATAGGATTAATATTACGAATATTTGTAAGCATAAAATATGTCCCCCTACTTTGCTTGGGAAATACTACGTAGTACTACGTAGTAGGACATTAGGACATGGCACATATTGTGAAAATCGTTGATTCCATGCTCCTGGGAAGTCCTGTATTTCCTCTTGAATTCTCAGTTTTCAGAAATCGAAACCCATTCCTCAATGCCGAGCTGCTTCCATTTCCTGGCAGCGACTCCAAAACATGGCTCTTAAATTGCAACTCTACTATTATAGTACAGTACGTTATGATAGTATTCGTTTCTATGTTATTACACGTCTCTCGATGATGGAATTTTTCATCTTTTTCAATCTCAAACGATAAAAATAAAAGTATTTCAATAGTATGACAACCAGAGACCGTGAAGCAGTCACGGCATACAGGCTTACGAGAGCGTCGCGGAAGAGTTGTGCACAGCTGCGTGATACATGGCAGCACTCTCATTCGAGGCATCGCTGCCATAGACGAAGGAGTGGCAGCGTATCACTCTTCGGATCGATTTGATGGCCTCCACTAACAGGAAGGCTGCTTCTGTTGTCAAAACACATCAGTGACTTAAAATATGGCTGCATTTTTTTACATTGACTAATTAAATTCATGTGATATTTTATATTATGTATTGCGAGTTGCCTGCAGTTTATTTTTGATCAAATTGTTTGGCATGTTAATTTAATCCCATACTGTATAGAACGTTTACAGTAATCACATTTGAAAAGTGAAGTGTAAAGATATGCCATTTGCTTTTATCAATGCAATTGTTATATGTATATTATTTGACTGCATTATTTCGTGTAACGTTAACATTATGCTTTGCTTCGAACTTAAGTGGACAATCCGAAGGTGTCAGTGAAGTTCTCCTTTACCCCAAATACCCTGGAAAGGAGTTCTGATTTTTGTGAGGGGTGGGTGCATTTGCCGGGGTTTAGCGATAGCTAACCTCTGGCGATGCGCCTAAACCCGGACGGAGAATGAACATTATGCTTCGAAGAATGTACTGTAGTCACTACCAGGGTAGAGTATTGGGGTTACTGTCTTGTGGGACACGTGCTTGTGTAACCGCTGGGAATATGCATATGGATTGCATTTTGCTTGTTAACGTTAACGTCAGAGAGGTTATTTCGAGTTGCTCAAGCGAAGACTTCTGCGCGAAGCGCCATTCCTAATTTCTGCCAGCACACTAGCGCAGCCGCGGGGTTTGTACAATTATGAAATGTAGTCCAATCATGTTCAATCTGAAATGTAGTCAATCATAATGGTGGAGTTTTATATCCTCTTGCGGTGTTTTCAGAATTATAATATTCGTCGAGATACAGGGATTTGACGGCAAGACGTTGCCGCAGTTGATATTTAACTAAGTATAAAGAGGCATGTATGCGACAGAACAAGATTAGAGGAAGAGATTTGTCCCTCAGTTCTAAAATGATAGAGAAATGACAATGCAATATATAGAGAAATGACAATGCAACAGAACAAGATTAGAGGAAGAGATTTGTCCCTCAGTTCTAAAATGATAGAGAAATGACAATGCAATATACTTTTAACCGACATCTTACTCTCTGTACGCAATATACAGTACAGGGGCAGGGGATTTATCTTGGTAATTGTATGATATCAGTTACGCATAGATTATGCGTTTTAAGGGGTTCAAGTTTAACATGTTAAACAATAAAACGTGGCCCACAGATTTGGCCTAGTTTATAGGTGGAGCGCACTGGTCATGACAGGCCGCAGAACACATGCCCCGAAGTCCGTAACTCGTCGCTTTAGGTTGCGATGACGTCTAACTACACTAAAAAGTTTCCGTAAGCCTTGTTCGGCCCGAAAAATGCCATAAACTTTAGAGTTTGGTCACCGCTACAGTACAATACCGGCTGGTACTGGCCGATACACTGCCAAGTAGCTCAACACATCATATACATGTACACTATCCGGATACAATGAAGATGCTGCGGATACCGTTCGCATCAGCTAACAGTAAAGCCAGTAAAAAATATGATGTCCAAAACCGCTCCACACAAATCTTCAAATGAAAAATTATGAGTGAAATTGCTCTATAAATCGATACTTCGAAGTAGTTTACTGTTAGCACAAGACGTATAATACAAGCCAATCGCGGAAATCGCAAAATTGACAAAACGTAAAGTCATGTTGCAATAGAAAGGTCCCAAATTGACACGAAGTACGATCTTACAATAGAAAGGTCCCAAATTGACAGTAACTGTAAACAAAATATGACCGGATAAGTGGTACTATATCCGGATAACGCCTACAGTATCCGGTAGTAGCATGTACTTTCGCAGGTTATTTACCGAAACCTCTTATATGTTATAGCTAAACCTCTAAAACATTTTGTTATCCTCTAACACCTTATCATTTCCTCAATTGACACAGTGAACCATTTTTCAGAAATTTCAGGCTTTATGTTACTGTAGATGACGTACACCGTACTTTGTGTAATCGAAGCACTCATTCTATTCGGTCATTCTTACAGCTACTGTAACAAATTGTCACAGGTTGGCTCGATATTTATCGAATTAGAGAGGATAGAACACGGATACCGCATAGTACTAAGTATGTAGTAGAATAGAACTTGCGTTGGCGAAATCTGTCTAGCGTTAACATAGTTAAGGCAGAATTTTACGTTAAATTAACGTTATCAGTAATACTGTAATGCATGACCGCAGAAAACACTTTTGACCATTTGGTACCCTTCCAATTGTTCCGAATTTATGAAGAATGACTGAATATGCATTTAAAAAGGTTTGATGGATAACTAAGTGGTGAATGAACGAATCAAATATACACGCAAATAGGTTATTGGAGGATATTAATTGATACAATATTCTACCATGCTGTTCCGCACCGCGTTGTTTGACCCACCAGCAGAACATCCTGAATACCTCGGCTGCGTCGACGATCAAGACCCCTCTCTTGCCCAGCATGACGACGAAGGAAGAGATCCATGTCTCCATCCACGGGATAAAGGAGTTTCCAGACGGCTACGACGAGCCTCGCGGACATGGTCCACGGTATTCGCAGACGGAATCCCCTGCAGAAATGGGGTCTATGAAGCGGCCACCGGCGCACTCGGCTATTCAAATGATGCAGAAGCTCCCTTCAAGCGTGTTGGGCTTCTCCTTCACATGCAATTCGTTCTTTGCCCGTCGGCTCTTTGTGAGTGGATTCACGATCGTCGTGATCGACGTTAGTGCGTTGGTCCTGCTCTACTTCTTTCGGGACAGGAAGTACCGCATGTGGAGAAACGACAACGATTTCCAGTGCGACCGATGGGTCAGCTTTGCTGCGTTTTCGTACTGGTGTGGCGCCGCGGTCTTCTTCCTCACCCTTCCGGCCACGGGCATCCGCATGTTTGAACTGTTCACTCGGAAAAAGCCGAGCGACCTGTCGGACAAAAAGTTCAAGGTCACGCGCACGTGGTACCTTCAGTTTTGCGAGGTACTCACGTGATGACATATACGTCCTTTCTCGTCGTGGTGTGTTGATCATGGGATATAAATGAATGAACCTCCTGTCTTGGTGTAGGTGTTGGCAGTGTTCTTGGTCGTGTACATGGTGTGCCTCACGCTGGGCTGCATTGGCTACCTCATCAACAACCAATTCCGGTGCTACCGAGTCTTGGACATTGCATATGCATGCGCGGCGATCGTCGTGTTTTGCAGCCAGTTTGCTTTCATTTCGCATTTTACGCAGTTCCGCGAACACATCAAGATGCAACTCGGCGCGTTCCGCGAGTCCAACCAGACGGGGGATATCCGCGCCCATTGGGGCACCAAACGGGCGAAAACGTCGGTGCAGCACATCCGCAAACAGCTATACAAGGCCGTCGAGCACGGCAACCTGGACGACGTCCAGGCGTTGCTAGACGAAGCCGCGCTGTTGCTCGGCAACGCGTTCGCCCAGCACATGTACCCGTCGGCCAAGCTCGTGTTGGGGTACTTTGCCGTGTCCGAGAAGAACCCGGTGCATGTGGCGGCGTCCATGGGCAACATCCCCGCGCTTCGACTGCTTTTCGCCGCTGGCTTTGACGTAAATGCCCTAGACAAAGTGTCCCGAGTCCGCATCAGCACGTCTGACCTGTTTTGGTTCTTCATTCGGTACGTCGTGGAGCAACCCGTGAGCTCGGTGGACCAGCACAAACACAAGCGCCTGACGCTGCTCACGCCGCTGCACTGCGCCGTTGCCACGTCACAGATCGACACGGTTCGGTTTCTAGTCGACGAAATGCACGCGGCTGTGGACACACTGGCCGTGTCGCCCAGTGCCGCCGACCGCATCCCGCCGCTGTTTTACGCTGAACACCCCAATATTGTCGAGATTTTGCTCTCGGCGGGCGCCAACTTGCTCATGGTTCCAGGCTCCGGGTGGGTATATGGACAAAGGGTTATACTGTTGCTTGGGATGCAGTGGGATTGGGATGGTTTCGTGTTCGTTTGTATTTGTTACTAGTTCAGTGCACCTATTACTTAAAGTACTGCACACTAATTTGTGTCATACACCACCTACTACATGGGGATTCTTCTTCATCACACTAATTCATGTCATACACCAATTACATTTGAAAGTGGGATACCTTCATTTGAAATGACTGATTCACACTGAGTATTCTTTTCTTGTACCCGCGGAACCACCGATGGATTCCATGTCTTCATCACTCTGTTTTTTAATTGTCGTACACTAATTGCATTTATACTTGCTTCGTCACACTAATTAATGACATACACCAATTCCATTTGAACTTGGAACCGCTTCCTCACACTAATTATTGTTCGCCAATTGCGTATAAATGCGAAATTGAATGACTTCCTCACATTGAATATTGTGGGGTCATGTACACCAATTCCATGTTAATAGTGTTACCCTTGTACAAGTAATTACATTGTTGATATGTGGGATTATGTTGTGCTCACACTATTTAATGAGAAATTCTTTGTCGGCCGTATCTAATTAGTGTACACATCGTAGGACGTCGAATTGCATCACAGCGTTAGAGGTAGCGTACCTTCGTGAAAACTACTCAGTCTGCGCGGCACTGGAAGACTGGGGCGGCGACGTCGCGCTAACTCCCATGCATCGCTACGCTGCACTGGGCCACGACACCAAGTACGTACAGGAGTAGCACTATATCGATAATGTATCTACAGTGCGATAGAATATATAAGCAGTATGCTCATGCAAGTGACGATATACTGTATGTATTGATTGTGCTTGTAGCCGATATATATATATAGACTGTTGGACCGAGTTGGGCGGATTCGCTGCCCATTTTATTTTTATTTTTGTATGGAAAGGATTATTTGGTGGTGATGCTAATAGTAAGTACACTTGTACAATTTTGGTCTACTACACGAATGAGTGGTTGATATAGCCCTGATTTCCTCCAATCTGATTGGCTCAATTCTTCTTCTTCTGTCGCATATATAAATATTTTAATAATTTCAAAAATTTAAATTTAAAATCACATAATAATTTTAAAAACAATAATACAAAAATTAATGAAAAACATTTTTATCAAATTATATTTTTTATATTTTATTAAATATTTTTCTTCTTTTTATTTTTAATTCTTAAAAAATATTATTAAAAATGAATATAAACTTTAAAAAAAAATGTATTTGGTGGTCGTGTCGATATCGTTCATTCTCCATATGTTGTGTTTTCGCTCCAGTTTAGAATAAACCAACCCTACACTCTCATATCCTGACTGCTCCATGTATATATATATATTATTGTCCTATTACCCAAAATTCGAACTTTAGTGCTGATTCGCCAAATCTATCGATCGATATACTTTGTACTGAATGTATGTCTTTAGAGTGTTGTCCTGTGGTGCTTGTACGTACTCACTAACACTACTGAATTGTTGATATATAGAGTCCTAATTTCCAGCAACCTGATTGGCTGCGGCTGCTGAATTTTTTCTTCAATACATTTAATCGTGTCAATATTATGAATATTCATTCTCGATATATGTTTTCCATTTAGAATTAAACACAATATGTATATATATATCTGTAGGGTGCAAAAGTACTTGAAGATGAAGGTGGACCCCGACTGCCTCGGCGAACACGGGTACATTGGCGTCAACATCCGCACGCCCATGCACTGGGCCGCCATCAACGGACAGGCGTCGACGGTGGACGTGCTCATCCAGGGCGGCGCCGATCCCAATTTCCAGGACGCCCGCGGCCGCAGTCCGCTGCATTGGGCCGTGCGCAATAACAAAGTGGACGCTGTCCAAGTGCTGCTGGTCAACGGCGCAGACGCCAACCTCCAAGACGTGAAAGGGATGACGCCAGTGATTTGTGCAGCGTTTGCTGAACGTGTGCACCCAGACTTGTTGCGGGTACGGATATATATATATATTGACACGATGGTATATATATATATATATATTTATGGGTGTGTGTGTGTATTATTGTTGTGGAGACATGCGCAATCTTACTCGAGTTTTAAAACGATTCGAGGCATGCGAATGGAGATACTGTATCGAATGACGTGGGATCGTCAACATAAGAGTAGTTTTGTACAGATGTATATATATATATATATATTGTCATGGATATATTGAGATGTCACTGGATGGAGATCCATGTAATCTGACTGGAATTTTAAACCGATCGAAGGAATGCTAATATAGGGTGACGTGGTATTTTGAACATAGGTTTATACATATATATATGTTTATATATTATCATGGATGTTGGATACAAAGATATTGTATTATTACCTTTTTTAGTTTTCCTTTTAAATATATATATATATATATATATAAATGTTGGGAAGAATTGTTTCTGTTGCCTATGGTATGCTTTATTTGATTCGCTAGGCGCTGGTGGAATTCGGAGGTGACATCAATTTCCAGCTCAAGTCCAGCGGCGACACGGCGTTGCACATTGCGATCAAGCATGAAAAGCAAGACACGGCCACTGCCTTGGTACGATATAATGTTTGAAAAATATCAAATCGGATATATCAAACCCTGTCGCAGGTGGGCTGCGGTGCCAGCATCATGGCCACCAACCACGCCGGCTTTCGCGCCATCGACATTGCGACGTCCACGGCGCTGCAGTTTGCCATCAAAAGCGCCGCGGGCCATCGCGACGTGATGATCAGCTACACGCATTCGCATGCCCAAGTGGCGCTCAAGCTTCGGCAGAGCCTCGAAGCAGTCAATATCACGGCATGGCTCGACACGATGGACCCGTCGGGCATCGGGGGGGGGTCGGTGTGGCGGGAAGAGATCGCCAAGGGCATCTCAAATGCGACGCTGTTGGTGGCCATCATCACAGAAGACTACACGCGGTCTGAGTGGTGCTTGAAGGAGCTCGCGACTGCCAAACAGGTGGGCACGCCGGTGCTGCCCATCTCTACCGAGAACGTTCGGTTGAATGAGGAGCTCCAAGTGTACCTGTACACGCGTCAGATTGTTCCATTTGAGCCGGCGATTACCCACATTGACAACACCAATCCAAGGTAGTACGTAGTAGTATTTGTTTGTTTTGGTCCTATTCAATCAACGTTAAGAACGTGTAGAGTGTAGTCGAACATGGACGTTGATATGCACTTTATGCGTATATATATTATATATTATTGTCTTTCTTTGACCCAAAATGTTGGACTTTTGTGCTGATTCGCCAAATCCATCGTTTATCGATTGTTTGACGTTTGAAATACTCGTCCGATGTTACACTAATTTCAGTCACACACACTAATTCGATGTTGATTTGGTCGAAGAATGGATAATATGATTGGCTACTTGATTCGAGGTCTAGGTTTTGATTGGTCGTACATCGATTGTCTGTCGATTTGGTGAGTTTGCTGGTCATTCGATTGAACACCACCCTAACACTCGAATTTCGAATATATCGAATTGAATATATATATACATGTGATGCTATATACAGCCGTGGATAATACAGCAGTATTATTCAGTACACAGGAGGTTTTGCCCAAAACACTCCAAGGGACAAAGCGAATCCTGTTGGGCAGAACTCAACATATCATGATTTTTGATTTGGCGACGACATTCGATGTGATCAACTTTTTTCTAATTTCGAACCGATTTGGTCCTCCGCCTCTGATATTATATGATGGTTTCTCATGTATAATGTTGTCGTGAACATGGATATTAACATTGTTTTGCGTAGAAATATCACGTACGAGTACAACGAAGCCAAGTACAACGTGCAATTCCGCCTGCTCTTGGATGGCATTCGAGACGAAATTGAGAAAAAGCGCAAGAAAACCGCCCACCTCCGCTCGCAACTGACCATGCTGTCACCGACCGGGTCCAACACGTCGAGCTTCTTTGCGAGTCCCCGCGCCAGCCCGAGTCCGGCGCAGGGCCTCCTCGACCGCAAGTTTGTCTTCTTGGCGCACGGCGACTGCCACCGTTCGTTTTCACGACGGCTGTACATTGAATTGACTAAACACAAGCAGGTACGTATATAGCACTCGTATATGTCGAGTAGTATTTTTGCTCATTTTTGGCTGAAAAATGGCGGTATACTTGGTAGCTGGAATGCTATTTGGATCTGAAAACCAGCCAAGAGATGAGTGTGCGTGTGCATGCAGCCAAGGACGCGATATTACGATGCTCGGCGGTGATTGTGATTTTGTCGGCCAAATCCGCCAAGTCGGAGCTATTGAACGACCAGTTGGCGTTTGCCGAAGACAAAGGTAGTTTTGTGCCAAGCTATCTATTACCATAATAATACTATATATGCTAGGCAAACCCATCTTCCCCGTGATCCTGCACTCGGACTTTACGCTCCCCCCCAGCCAAATGTACTCGCTGTCGCGGACGACCCTACACCACTTTGCCGTCGATATGGGGTTTGCACCATCGTTTGAGTACCTATGGACTTCTCTCAAGTCGCGGGTCGGGCTCGGGGCCATCGAAGAAGCGGACGAAGAGTTAAATTTGCTATCGTCGTCGTCGCGTGTGGTCAATGGAGGCATGGTGTAGCGGATTGATATATATATATACTATATGAATAAAAAATACAGTACACTTTTGATGCTGTTCTCATACTGTACCTGTCGGACTACAGTACTACTCGGAACAATACGCTCGTACTATGTACTATATAAGAGTGTACTATTAAATACATAGTACTACGTAGCATTTGAATATTGATCAGCTGTAAGTTAGCGTCAGAAGTCTGGGCACTAACGTTACCGTAGGATTATTGTCCAACTTTGATGGATCTGATTGGCTCTTATAGAAGGAATAAGTGTATTCAGTTAATCAAAAGTTCAAATGTGATTCAATATTATTAATACCAAGTGTATTTTTACTGTACTAAAGTCGGATACAGTTACTACGTAGTACTTACTATATACTAGTAGTTATTAATACTTACACAGTATCATGAAAGGATACATAGAGAGGCCACAGTAGCTTTCAATGATTTCGACCAATCCAAAATCCGAATCAACAATGAGCTCGTGTGATTGGCTACACGCGAACCGTCGCGGCCTGGCCAGTCGCGATCCAAAAGATTCACACAGTTTTCATTCTGCCATGAAGCTGTTTGTGGCGGTTGCGACGGCACTCGCCCAAGTAGCGCTTGCAGATGACGGGTACTGCCCCAACATATTCTACGATGCCGCCCGCGTGATTCTCCGCAGTCCGTTCCTGCTGTCTACGGATCCAAGCATCAACTTTCAATGGTAAAACTCACCATTGAAAGTCCTTCCACCATCCTTCTTCGTCTCATGTGACTGCTCTGTAGCCATTCGTGCATCGCCAACTTAGCCGCCAAGCAAGCTGTGGCTCCGCTGTGTTATGTCATTGGCATGGACGGCTACGACCCGCAGTACAATCTGGCCAAGGATTGCCACTGCTTGTCGCTGGGTCTCATGGAAGACTGCGCGCCCGTTTGCTTGCCGAACCCGCTCTGCTCCAAGTTTTCTCCCAGCACTGCATGCTCCGCATGCGTGGCCAAGCAAGCCCCGGCGTCATGCAACCGCGACGAATGGAATATCCCATGCTACGAAACGTGTCAGTCGCCCATGTGCATCACGGAATGCTCGCCAACTCCACAATGCCACCCCGCAGACCCCATCTGCTCCTCGTGTGTGAAAGCTCAAACACCGATGTGCGACACGACCGTCGTGTCATTCGGTCGGCAGTGGAGTGCCGGGTGTACAGGGGCGTGCCTCTCGTCCGCGTGCCAAGCCGATTGCAACCGCCGGTGTGGCGACGGCATCAAGACCTCGGACGAGCAATGTGACGACGGCAACGCCAACAACAACGACGGGTGCTCCACTGCGTGCCAGATCGAAGTCGGCTTTGCATGCACGACGTCCGACCACGCGTTGAGCTCGTGCAATCTCATTTCATGCGGCAACGCGCGGCTCGAAGGCGCTGAAACGTGCGACGATGGCAACATCGTCAACGGAGACGGGTGCAGCAGCAGCTGCCAAGTCGAGCGCGGCGCGGTGTGCACCCAACCCCATCAACTGACCAAGAGCCTCTGCTCGGCCACGTGTGGCGACGGCGTCCATGCGCTTGGCCTCGAAGGCTGCGACGACGGAAACCTCCTGGCCGGCGATGGGTGCTCCCCGACCTGCGGCGTCGAGCGCGGGTACACGTGCAGCCCCGACGCCACCGGCAAGTCGGTGTGCAGTCCCGTGTGCGGAGACGGCATCGTCACCGGATCCGAGAAGTGCGACGACCGCAACACGGCGCCGTTCGACGGATGCTCAGACACGTGCATCGTGGAGCCTGGCTACAAGTGCGAGCGCAACTCGGACGGGGTATCGCAGTGTCTGGCGACTTGCGGCGACGGCATCACAGCGTTCCCCGTCGAAGCCTGCGACGATGCGAACCGCGTGTCCGGCGACGGGTGCTCACTCGACTGCAAGGTAGAAAAAGGCTACAAGTGCACCCCCCCGTCGTTTGACGGCAAGACATCCGTGTGCGACACCGTCTGTGGCGATGCTTTTGTGACTGGCGGGGAAAAGTGTGACGATGGAAATTCCCTCGACAACGACGGGTGCTCAGCATTGTGCGCCGTGGAAACTGGCTGGAGCTGCGACAATTCGCTGGCCAACGCCGCCAAGTCTGTGTGTGGCCCTGTATGTGGCGATGGTGTGGTCAAAGGCTGGGAAGAATGCGACGAAACGTCTCGGGGGTGTGTGAATTGCAAAAAAGTCGAAATCCCGCCCACACGGTAGGTTCTACGACCCGTGATTCTACCTTAATGAGGCTGGAGTTATTGCAGTTGGATGCTAAGTAACGTTGAATTAGGTGCGGAGACGGGTACACGGACGCCGGCGAAACGTGTGACGATGGCAACACTGTGTCTGGAGATGGGTGCAGCGCGACGTGCCAGGTGGAATCTGGCTACGTCTGCAATGGCCGCGTGTGCCAAGGCCTGTGTGGCAACGGTGTGAAAACGTCGGCGGAAGCCTGCGACGACAACAACGTGGTCAGTGGCGACGGGTGCACTGGGTCGTGTGGGATAGAATTCGGCTACACTTGCAAACAGTCAGACGCGGGGCTGAGTACGTGCACACCTACGTGCGGCGACGGCAAAGTGATTGCCCCTGAAACATGCGACGATGGCAACACCGCGGTGGGGGATGGGTGCAGCACAACATGCCAAATCGAGGCGGGCTTTGTGTGCTCGACGCTCACCACGGGGGTATCCCACTGCCGCGCAGTCTGTGGCGACGGGTAGGAATTACACCACGTTATGCTAATGTGTGAGTTCTAAATTGATATTTCGTAGCATTTTGGCTGGTGCAGAAGGATGCGATGATGGGAACACGCGGTCGAGCGATGGGTGCAGCTCTACGTGCCGCGTCGAAACGGGGTATGGGTGCAGCAAGGCCAGTCCGTCCGTGTGCTCGACGATCTGCGGGGACGGTATCCGAACCTCCAATGAAGCGTGCGACGACGGCAACACAGCGAGCAAAGATGGGTGCAGCGCCACTTGCACAGTCGAAGGGAGCTTTACGTGCTCGACGCCGCTGGGTCGCGCGACGACCTGCACCCGGGTTCCCACCTGCGGCGACGGGTACCTGTCGGACTCTGAATTCTGCGACGATGGCAACACCGTGTCTGGCGACGGGTGCAGCAAGCGATGTCGCGTCGAAGCGCTGTACACGTGTGTGTCGTCCGAGGCGCATGGTGCGAGTACGTGCACCAAGAGTAGGTGCAGCAACGTCCGCAAGGACTGGTACCAGCTCTCCCCACAAGAAAAGGCCACCACCCAGCTGTGCGTGACCAAGCTGTTCCAAACTGGGCTGTACCAGAAGATGACTGGCATCCATGTGTTCAAGCCCAACGACGAGTACGCACACCACACAAATGCGTTTGTGCAGTGGCACCGCAAGTGGCTTCTCGTGGTGGAAAACATGCTCCGGTCGATGGGGGGGGTGTGTTCGTGCCTGACGCTGCCGTACTGGGACTGGGCCCAAGACGCCGTGGCCATGCAAACGACCAAGTGCGCGTCCCGCACCCAGTGCAGTGGTACAGATACACCCACAGTCCATGCTCGTACGATTGCCCGTATGGATGATAATACTGTATACTAGGGGTACTCCGCGACTGGGGCGGCGGGGCGTCGACGTCAAGCCCGTTTGTGAGCATCCCCATCTACAACGATCCCGAGTCGGGCATGGCGTCCGGCAGTGCCAGCGGCTACTGCGTTCTGAACGACGTCACTAAAGATTGGCATGCTGGGATGGACCTTCACAAGTACAAGACGGCGTGGGACCCGTCGTGTCCGATCATTCGCCGCGGATGGAATGACTTTGTAAGACATATCTACAATCACCCTATAATTGCCTTGGGAATCACGTCGTCACACATGAATCTATTCTAGAGCGACGACAGCGGAACGTATGCGACGCCGTTGGCGTCCACGTCCTTCTTGACGCTGGCCGCGTCGTTGGCTCGGGCATCGGATTACTCGACGTTTGTCTCGATCGCGTTGGGCGACATCCACGTCCTTCCTCATGATCGGTCTGGCGCGTACCTCCGCACGTTCATCTCACCCGCCGACCCCGTGTTCTTGCTCCATCATGTCAGTTGACCCTTCTTCACCAAGATCGTCATGCTCACATGTATGTGTATCCGTAGACCAACATTGATCGCGTGTATGCGCTCTGGGAAGCCTGCCACGCGTGCACGCACCCGTCGACGGCGACGAGGACGACGGAAGGGCCGTGCTACCGCGGTTCCAACTCTGGCGACGGCATCAACGACCCGTTCGTGTTCGAAACGTTCGACTTGCAGCCCAACGGCGAGTACCGCCAAGTGGACATTGACGCCTCGGAAGAATTGACTGAGTACATTCCGCGCACGTTTACCACCCCCGGGGATGTGTTGGATACGACTACGCTGGGCGAATACGCCTATACATACCAGACAAACGACATGGATGATCGGCTGTGGAGCACGAGTGGGTGCGTGAGTCGACCTGCGCCGAGTGTCCTCGCCACGCTCGTGGCCTCTCGTCCTCGCCACGTCGACTTATCATCGATGCTGCTCCAGGCTTCAAGTGATAACGACGGCACCACGATTGACGACGATACTAACGCCACGTACTCTATCGAATTGGCACAGCAGTACTTGGAATGGGTCGACGGCGTGTTTGCCAATACCCATCATGTCCTGTCGACACTGCAAGAGTCCAATGTGTTTAGCATTCCGTACTTGTCCAGTCAAGTGGGTAAACTGCAGTCGACGGAAGCGTACTTGACAGATATCGTCGCCACGTGCGAGTGCATGGCCATCAACAAGCTGCTGCTCGCCCGCAACGGCGAGGCGCACCTGACCCCGTCCTTTGTCGACGTGTCGCCCAGCACCAAGCGCGCATGGAACAACCGGTTTGAAATCCGCAGCTGCTTCCACCGCCTCCTCGATACGGACGAAAAGAGCGCGCTCATCCGCAGCTACTGCGACGTGGTTCTGGCCCCAGACTTTGCCGCCAAGCTCCAAAACCTCGTCAACGACCTGCGCAGCCTCATGACGTCGGTCATTGACCCTGCGGCGGGCGGAAGCAGCATCCAGAAGATTTGGGACTACTTCACCAAGGGATAAGGATGGTTATTAATGTGTAATGTATTTGTGTTGATATATCGTTACATCAGGCATTCTCGCCCCTTCACCGTAGTGTCAACCAACCTACTGGTTGATCCTCGTACAAACTCGTCGATTGCCTCGGTCGCGTACTAGCTGCTTTTGGAGCTAGCGGACTTACTACTTGGAAACCTATTTGTGGCGGGCTCCAGGGAAGCAGTGTGCTTAAGCTGCTGGAGGTGGTAATCCAGGGACTAGGGGGCGGCGCGGATACCGAATCGGCGGGTTGTTGCTCCCTATGTGTAGTGGTGGTAGTAAGGAGAGGCGACGAGAGTGCCAGTGTATTGTCTTGGCCGTCAGGTGGGCACGGCGGGTGCGATGCGGCGGTCATGGATCATTGGGGCAGTGTCGTGGTGATGGCGTTTGATGGTGGATCAGTCAATTGGTTGTGGAGTGTAACTGGGTTGTCGTTTGCGACTTCGGGTAGCTCAGGACATGGAGGCATGCACATTTTGGAAGGGTGAACCATCACAATAATGTCGACCACCGTGTGGTCATTCTCGCCTAGAGTGAACATAGGGCGGCGACGTATGCTTTGAATCCTTCGCTAACGTTAGGACTGTCTAGCGTCGACCTGCTAACTAATGCCACAGCGAGGCTACCCAAACACAGGATCTCTCCAGTACACTCGACATATTTGGCTATTTGGTTCTCGTCATCATCGAAACGTTCTAGCCCACTTCGACCACCTTTCACAGCTACAGTACGTACAGTAGCCAACTCTATCATCCCAAAGAATACATTCACCTGGGTGTCAACCGAATACAGTACCGCTCGTCGTTGGATTGCCATCTTGGATCCGAGTGTCCATCACAGCTTACCTGTACAGTACAATACAATATGTACTCGTTGTTATTACTCTGTAAAGCACCATGAAGTCAATGAAGATCACCAGCCAAAACGAAAACGAACGTTGCCCTTGACGTTATTGTAGCTCGTGCATGTCCAATAAGCACGATCATTCTACAGTACTAGAACATGGGTAGCTACTGTAGCTAGCTAGCTGCAGGTGGTCCCAGACTCACGAACTACATACATATTTACATTGAACAAAGCACCACCACTTCCCCCCCCCAACCGTGAAGCTGCTGCCTCAGCGATACCGTGCTGGTGGTAAATTTACCGTACAGTACTGTATCTCGTACCAAAGTCACCGCGGCGACATATTTGTGTGCTTGATATTGATGCAGCAGAAACACCTGCACTTTTCATCCATGACGCAGCGGGCGGCAAGCCAATCGCATGAGGAGGTTTGGGCCACGCACATTTATGCCGAGTTTTCTCATTCAACATTTCTGTCACTTCACACTGAGCAGTCAGTAGTGATAACAACAATCACGACAATGGCAATGGTCTGTCCATTGCATTTCTCCTTTTCTAATCACTCAAATATAAATTCACAAATGTCAGCTGTCTAATATACCATTCAAACAATGGGGCCCGCATTGCACATATCGCGTCCGACAGGTTCTCAGGAACCCCAATAATATCCACCATCATCATCTCTCTTGAGGTTAGTATGTCATTTAATTCGACATCAATTACGTACTATTATAATACTAGTATCTTGTTGGATCTACCAACTGCAACTTGCCTATCCAGAAAAAGCCATTTATCTTCCTTCGCCGATTGACTTTTCTTTGCCTTCGTTCTTCGCCTCCTCGCCACTTCAAACTCGTGCGTGCGACGTCGTTCGAGTAGCTAGCTCCCACAATTCATTCTGCCCTCTCTTGCCAACATGGCCAAAATCATCTCCACCACGCATCAAGTGCTCCTCGCCGTGCTCGGCCTGCTCTCGACGATCGCCGCCGTGTACGCCTTGGCCGAAGACACGTACCTGTCCTCGTCGCCGCGCTTGGACGTGGCCAACGTGTTCTTGCGTCTGTACCAGCTCTTCTTTGCGCTTGTGCTTCTATCGACCGCCGCGCTGGGCTGGAAGGTGCCACTCAAGTGGTTCTCGTTCCTTGAATCGTACGTGGGCTCGGGTTTGTTTGTCATCTTCCTCGGGTTCTACACGTACCGCCTCCTGAACGACTACGGCCTGTACTCTGCGTGGATCCACTTTGTTGTCGGCGGTGTGTTTGTCGTGTACGGTCTGTTCGCTGGTGAGCAAAAGGCCGAATACACGCCCATCTTGCCGCAGTAAACAACAGTATGTGCACAAGGACATCTCTTGGAACGGCATTCGCAGCATCAATGTCGTGAAGTCTGGTTCGTAGTCGATTAACTATTAACATCGTATTACGTGTTCATTCAGTGTTCAATTCTCAATCATTTGATGTTGTTTGCTCTCAGCTGGCTGTACAAGCTGTAGCTAGCTATGGCTGGCTGTAGCTGGCCATGGCTGTATCAATCAGGCTATGGCTGTAGCTAGCTACTATAAACAGTCGAGTTATACTTTATTGCTATCCCCTTTCTTCGGTCCTTTGTCTTTTTTCGGAGGTCCTTTCCGCTTCGGACTGCCTTTGGGTTTCTTCGCCTTCATCCCGCCGCCCTTGGCTTCCCCGATCCCGCCGATGTCCTTGGCCTTCTCCCGCTGTGCCGCCAGAATCTCGGCCTGCGTCAGCCCCACCAGCGGGTCCTTCTTGGTTGCAATGTCCGGCTTCTTCTTCTTCTTCTCCTTCACTACCACCACCTTGCGCCGTGCGTCCCATTCCCTTGCGCATCTGCATGGACGTGTATTGTACGATTGTGTGAGTCCAATTGCACGAAGTAACGGGCGAGCTCGCTCACCGAATCAGCGCCCAAATGCTGCAACCATGCCGCAAATGTACGTTTAATATACAAGAACTTGAGGATTGCATAATATGTACGAGTTGATAGCTACCATGGACAAGTCATCGCCAGCACGTAGGTCATATACAGGAAGAATCGGTCCCTGGCTTCGTTCTTCAGTAGCTGCGTGACCCCAAAGATCGCCAGGGCGTACGCCGTGCACAGTCCCTTGACGATCACTTCAATCAGCTCCACCATCCTGGTATCGCAGGTACAACAACACCGTGAAACCGGCAGTTACACGATGCAAACACCGTTTCATGTCATGCGTACAGTACACGTATACTGTACACTGTACAGCATTCCTGATATTCAGAGGTAATAATACTATTAGCAGTAAATACTTTGAAGTACTCTGGTACAGGACTACCGGTACTGTAGCATGTACAGTCCTGACAAAAACAATAGACGCACTCGAGTTTTTGAAATATTTAAAAAATATTCAGTTTTGAATCATCGCACTTTGGGATTATACTTTGAATTGGTATCGACTTGTGATACAAGACTAAAAATTGTGAAATCCATTTTACTTTTTTGTAAAATTGAGAAAAACCAGTTTTCAGGGTGATAAAAACTACTCCGGAGTATAGACGCACTGAGATTACATCCAAATAAAGCCAAGTTTCTAGCCACTTTTGCCCAATTAAGCAATCTAGAACATTCTAAATGTAAGCAGCTTGTCAAATCATCATTATTCAAAAACTTTCATGCCAAGAGGCAAACGTTTGACCTCGGTGCAAGTTGGCGCCGTTCATGCCCTTCACAATGAAGGCAAAAGCAATCACTACATTGCTAAAGCCATTGGATGCAGCGAAAAGGCCATAAGGACATGTTTGAAGTCCAAAACCACCCCAAGACCCAATAAACAAATTGGTCGTAAGCCAAAAGTCACCAAACGAATGTTAAGACAAATCATTCGCCTCGCCACGGTTAAGCATTATTCGTCCAAACGGATCGCCGACGCACTAAATAACACAGTAAAAGCATCTACAGTGCGACACTGGTCCGCTCAACAAAGCTTGCCAAGTACATCAAGAGAAAACCTCGCCCAGCGCTCAAAAAACACCATAAAAGGGCGAGGGCCAAATTTGCTGCCGAATGGATGTCCAAATCAAACCTCTGGGCCAACGTCGTCTTCAGTGACGAAAAAAATTCAATTTGGATGGCCCAGATGGCCATCAATACTACTGGCACGACCTCAGAAAGGAGCAAGAAATTTACACTAAGCGAGTGAGTGGTGGTGCAAGCGTCATGATTTGGGCTGCAATGAGCGCATTTGGACGCACTGAATTGGCCTTCCTCGAAGGCAAACAAAACAGTACTAGTTACTGCAGGACGTTGGACATGTACCTGTTATCATTTCTGGGAAAACTGCGTTGCCAACATGGCATAATTGACCCCATTTTTCAACAAGACAACGCCGTGGATGAACTCAAGGCCCAGATTCGCGTTTCTTGGGAGCAACTGCAGGGAAGTTACCTCGAAAATCTTGTGGAAGGTATGCCAACAAGAATGGCTCAAGTAGTTTTGAAAAACGGAGGTGCAATCGATAAATAGTGAATGAAATCTCAGTGCGTCTATAGTTTTTATCACCCTGAAAACTGGTTTTTCTCAATTTTACAAAAAAGTAAAATGGATTTCACAAGTTTTAGACTAGTATCACAATTCGATACCAATTCAAAGTATAATCCCAAAGTACGATGATTCAAAACTGAATATTTTTTCAAAAAATTCAAGAACTCGAGTGCGTCTATAGTTTTTGTCAGGACTGTACTAGTAGTAGCGTAGGACCTCTGAAATCATCATGAATTGGTTACTGTACAGTATATGCTCCATTTGGAACGAGGAGCTTGACATATTGGATACATCCACCATTGGCCCCAGAATAGAAACCTGGACGATGGAAATACCCCCATGCTGAAGTTCGATTCGGTGGTGACGTATGCCGCCATCACACAGAGGTGATCCGATTGTGATGAAGTGTTGAAATTGCAATTCATTTCGAAAAATTATCTGCCCAATTAGCGTCATATATGCAACTTATTTCGTGCCAATCCTGTCGATCTTGAAAGGTCACACGTCGCAGGCAGCATATGTAGTTATTTACAGCAAGAATTTGATCTTCTGACTCAAGATTTTACGATATTCGAGCACGCCAGCGAAGGCGCGGTCGGAACGCCAGTCGGAATGTGTCCTCGAAGCGGGTGCTTCTCATGGACGCTTAACTTGATCATCGTGCCGCATACCGGGCCACCGATATGAAGAAGGCCGAGGCGCGCCGTCTCGCGGCGCCGCAGCCCACTCGCCTACCTCGACTCTATGGCAACAAAAACCAATATCAGCAGCCCGAACCTTCACTCAAAATGGCAAATCCACGTTCTGAACGTAGCATGGCGCCAACAACTGACCACCGAGGAGCGCGAAGCCCATGCCGCTCGACTCGTACGCCTTGTGCCATTGGCACTGGAACACCTTGTCACATGGACTACAGCTACCAAGGCAGAGAGACTCACAACGTGTGGTGACCGCTCGCCTACCAGCACCCATGGAGCGCCGCCGCGTGGTCAGTCACGAGTGCGGCTGGCCCGTCTCGTGCTTTTGCCAATGGAGCACCCACGTCGCCTCGAAACGTGTCGTTACGGCCCACCTACTAGCACTCATGGATGGCCCCGTGGCTGCAAGATGCGTCCACATAGTTCGCCGTGTTGGCGCTTTGCACATGTACGCATGGAATCGTGCGTTGCTCACTGGAGGGCAAACAACCCCAGATGCAGGCATAGGTTTAGCATGTATGTTTAGGATTACAGTACTTTTAATATAAATTTATATATTCAACTTATAATTACGACCCCAGACCGACCCAATCACCCATCCATCGGTCGATTGAATGCAGGGGGGGAGGCTAGTTGCATTGAAACGACGAGAGTGCGGCAAAGAGCGAGCCCGGTCGCTTGTGCAGCGCGGGTTTCTTGCGGCTAGATGGTACATGGGCCGACTCGGCTCTTCGTTTGAGCTGGGACGAAGCCTTGTCATCCGTGCTGGCCAACGAGTCGTCATTGGTAGTTGTAAAGATAAACGCTTTCGACGCACTCTAATACATACACAAGCGGCCGTCAGATCCAAACCAAGCATGTTCATACAGTCATGCTGATGGACCTTACCACATGAAACAGCTTGCGCGAATCCACCATCCGCGTGAACGACGCCGTCGTTGTCGCTGGTCCAGACTGTATCACAGACGGCATGGGAGGAAGTGGAGGTGCCATCGCGGTACTTGTACTGGTCGACAACACCACCACTTGTTCGAGCTACACCGATAGATTGAAATATATATATATATATATATGTAACGAGGCAAATGATATATGTATATAGTCAATGTCCTAGCCAATCAATTCACACGATTAAACTGAAATTCGAACCAATCATGGTTGGCCCAACCGAAATGGCCATCAAATTTCAATTTGTATATATGTAGGATTTTTTTTTACAATATTTTTCCCCAATAATTACTACTGTATATTTTTTTATAAAAATAAAAATATAATAACAGTAAATAAAGTAATAATAAATAAAGTAGTAATAAATAAATTAATACTATTAATAGAAATAAAAAAAAGTTAAAAATAGTAAACTATTTTTGTAATCATACATTGAAGAAACTTAAAATCTGACTGACACAAGAATCCCCCAACTTTCTAACTTTATATATATATATATATATAGGGATTACCTCTTTGTCGTCGATTTCATCAAGAGCATTCAACGCAGGTTTGGGTTCGTTGGCTTGGACTTGCATCATGCGCTACGTACACACCAAACTCACCATCATAACCTTCCTCCATCATAACCTTCCTCCATCTTACGATGAGGCATTTACCACGTACCTGCATGCGGCGGTTGATCTTGGCTTTAGCCGAAAAGAGCTTGATCTGCCGCGCTTCCCGCTCTTCGTCGGAAGGAACGTCGTCGTCATTCTCTTTGTCCATTTGGCCAGGCTCCGAGTCGGATGATTCGCTTTCCGACGATGTAATGTAGATCTTGGGATGGCGCTGGTACCGCTCCCGGAGTTCGCGCTCCATGCGCTCCTCTTCGTCTTCTTCTACCTCCCCCTTCTCCATCCCATCTTCATCCTCATCCTTCTCCTCATCCGACTCAAGCAGTCCGAGCCGCGCTGCCTCGTACTTACTCCCGTCGGCGGCCACGAGCTGGTCCAAGTTGAATCGCCCGCGGGCCTCGCCGTTCAAACTCGATGAAAACACGCGCCGGTTCCGGCCAAACCCTTCGCGAACGTTGCGCATGACTTCGTGCACTTGCTGCTTGTCCTGCGCGTCCATCCTTTCGCGAAAGTACTCGTCTGCGTGCTTGCCCTGTTCGTCGTCTGAGAGCTCGTCCACAATGTTGTCGAGGTCGTCGTCCCGCAGCGCCAGGTCGGTTTCCCGCTCCTGTTCTGCCGGCTTTGGCGGCGCCGCCACACCGAACCCAAAGTCGCCCAAGCCGCCGATCTTGAGCACGTCCTCGTCTTCTTCTTCTTCGGCCTCGGACTCGACCAGGTTCAACAACCCCCCCGTCTGCAGCCGCTTGTCCCGACGTCGACCCGACTCGGCGGCTTGGTCCGCCGCCAAGATCGCGCGGTAGTTGGCGGCTTTGTCGGTTGTGTTGCGCCGCGCTTTCTCCACGACCAGATCGGCTTCGATGTCGCTGTGATCGGCGTCGTTCTCGTCCTCGTCGGAGCTCGTCGCAATGGGACGATGGAGTCGGCGTCGACGGATGGACCGAAGAGTGTTTGTGTCCTCACGAGGCGGCGTCGATGTCGGTGGGCCATTTGCAGAAGAACGTGCATCATCGTCATCGTGTTCGTCGCCGCTACTTTGCAAGTGATCGCCATCGTCGTCGTCGTCATCTGGAGAAAGCCCTGCAGCTGCCATGCGATCTGCTTGGTCGTCGGACGCCACAACACGCGGCGGCGCTCCTGCGACCAATCCAACGTCACGTTCGTCGTGGCCTTCTTCATCAGACACCGGGACTGCAGATTGGCCTGCACCTTCGTCAACGTCGCCGTTCACGCTGCCGTCCACTCCGCTATCTGCCGCGGTCGCTTCGACTTCAGGAACAAAGTCCTCGTCGCTGGATTCATCGTCGTCGTTGTTGTCGGGGATCGGATGATTGGCTTTGGCAGCTTCGTGGGATTTCTTCTTCAGTTCCATGAGCTGAATGCGCACGTGCTCCTCTTTCTCCAAATGCTCCTTTTGCTCAACATAGCTTTTGTACCCAAACAACTTGGCCATCGAGTCGGCGCCTTGCTTCCGCGCGGCCTTCTTCATTTCGCCCAACATGCGTTTCTTGCTGTTCAAGAGGGGATGGGACGTCGCGCGTGCCACGGGGATGTGCATGTGCGATGATAACGCCTTTGACTTGGGGGGAAACAACACTTGCGTCGACGCCGGCGCGGATTTCGCGCGAAGTTTCAGCAGCAAGGCTTCCTTCCTCCCTCGGATCTCATCCTGCTGCCTCACGTTGTCCTGACGAAGACTCTGAAGCAAGTTCTCTGTCTCCGCAGCAATGTCCATGGCCGTCGCCGGCCGCGGCGGTGCTTCGACTACTTGCATCTTGGTGCTTGCTGGCGGGAGACGATATCTCAAATGAGCACAGGTCCCCGCCAGAAACAAACCAATCACATCGCACAATCTGACCCAAAATGGACCAATCAAATTCGTTCAAGGACGCGCACTTTCCGCCGTCGGCTCTCAAAGCAGGAATACCTTGGAAGTGGAATGATATTATTCGTAAATTTGATATCAACTTGGTCATTGTAAGGGCTCGCGGGAATAGTCATTTAATTCGATATATTTTTACCTTCAGAATAATCTTACTTGATCTTTGTATGGCCATTCTCGAACCCGAGCTATAAATAGATTTCCCGCCGTTTCATAAAATGAGAAACGTACAACGATCTCCTAGACAATTGCTATATGATACAAGCAACTAACTCCCATGCGAAACGTGAGCAACTGGACTCACGTGCCATTCACATCACAACCAAACAACTTGGCGTCATACCCATATGGATGGCTGATTGCCATCATTTGACTGATTGTAGTGGACAAGGAAGGACCTTCACTTGATAAAACTGGTTGGTGGTAGGATCTAGAAGATACTCCAATAAAACTTGAGTACTACAGTACCTCTGGCCAGAAATAAACCATCAATTTTCACGATATTGGTGTTACCTGTTTTTGCCCTAAGTATGCTTGTTGCATACTACTTCGAAGTAGTATGGCCAGTATCCCTGTGGAATATAATACCTTAAAGATGAAAACCCTAATAGATAAATGAGTTCTACTCTATGAGTGTTGGTGGCTTACATGCACTCTACCTGCATCAACCAATATTCAGCAACAATTTAAACTATGTTTTGTACAGAATATAAATTACTGCAGGTGTATTATATAATCAGTATCAAATCGTGACAGATATCCGGGTATGTTTTTAGTCTTTATAACATAATTGATTCCGGTAAATTCTGAAAAAAACCTCCAAGAATGAAATGGCTGGTTTATTCCCGGCCGGGTAGTATATTCGTTGCGTCGGAACAAAACGGATCTTTATTCGTTGACTAACGTTAAGTACATTGTCATACTGGTCGATGGTTACCGGTAAAAGAAATACCTGATACCTACTTCGATCCGCATTCTGTAGCTGCAGGACTTGGCTACATGTAGCCAAATCGCATAGCTACACGAATATCTGTAGCCATTCGGGGTTTGTGAGGTCTTTGACTCATACTCTATCTCCAGGTGTATAAATCCATGGATATGACATAGCTATATCATTGTATCAACTTGATATTCCCTAACAAGCAACATTGTGCTCTGGAGGACATCGCAATACAAGTTCTATTACATTCACCACTTAACGTTATACTAGTACAACCAATGGACACTGGCGTTTTCATGGGAACGCGGTGTCACGTTGCGTATAAACACATCTTGTTTGCAACTTAAACTCAAGTATATTACATGGTACACTAGCCGGATGTAATCATACATTTGTACTTGTAACGAATAGAGATCCGTTTTGCATTCACCCAACGAATATACTCGGGTTTCGGGGGTTCGGGGTTTAGATTTCACTTCAAACGCTTTGGTGCCATAATTCGATTTCAAGCATCATGATCAAGTCTCACCTACTACTTGCAATAGCAGTACATCTGACGACTGTGTCAGATGCCGATGCCATCCAGCAAGAGAACTGTGCCTACGATTACAGTCAGTGCAGTGGACAGAATTGGCCGGTCAGAATCTGTTGCCAGAATTCCCAATTCCAATGCACTTACATCAATGACTACTACTCCCAGTGTCTACCCTAGTCGCCGACAACGACACCGCAACCGACGCCACAGCCCACACCTGAGCCAACCACTATGACTCCTGCACCTACTGCTTTGCCAGGACACACATGGAAAGTTACACCCCTGCCAAAAGTACCAATTGTCCAACCAAATACGACGAAAATTCCCAGAGATGTTGCAGAATTCTACTCAACCCTCTCTGAAGAGCACTTGGTCCGACGTTGAAAAATATAGCGACTACCCTGGCAACGATTTGCGCACAACTAAACGGACTAGCTCGGAGAAGTGCGCGGCAGACTGCGATATCACCACCGGGTGTGTGATGTACGTGTAGACCGCCGGGACATGTTGGCTCAAGCACACGAAAGTGGCGAGACTAGGGGCCAAAGTCTCGTTCAAGCACCACGTAACGCAATGCGGTCGAGTTCGAGTTGGTGTGTTCTCGTTTGACTTTGGAGTGGGCACGACTCGAGGAAGTTCCCCCGCCTGCGATGACTGCCACACCAATCCAAGATGCAAAGCGTTTGTATGGACTACCTTCAATAGATGAACGTGGTACCTCAAGAGTGCCCTCGGTACACCGATCCCCCACCCTGACGCGTATGCTATGCTTTCACATACATGAATGTTCTGAAGGGCGATATCAATTACGTTGTGCACTATCAAGTAGGGCTGCTTTCGCATGTAGGATCGCAAAACAAGATAGGCTTGAATGTGAGGCATTTCTCTACCAGTTAATCCCAATTAGTGTAACCGACTGTGTCTTAACGCTACATAATGAAACTGTTGGGCTGCTTTAATGTAACAGTCGTCGCGCAAGTCACCGAAAATGCCAATCTCGAATATATCGATTGTTTGTGTGTGTGTACTAGGTATAGTCGCCAACTTGTACTAAAGGGGCACGCACTGCGAGTACCACATAGTTTGCACCTGGCAGGTCGACCCTTCTTGGCATCGCGTTTGGCCACTCCAGTTGGCGCCGCCACATTTTCTCCACACCGCTACATGAGTGTCATCGGTGGGGTTGAAGAGGCAAGACGAATAGTAGGGGCTTTCGACGTGGCAGAAGAGGCCATGGGTGCAGATCGTCGAGCCAGAATAGCCAAGGCCCCCACATTGGCCCAAGTACGGGGCGGGATCACCTGATGCGCCAGCAGCGGACGACATAATGTCACCGCTGCGCAGTTGGCGGCGCTGTCTTGAGCCACCATCCGTTCCGTCGGACGACGTATGATTGCTTCGGACAGGGGTTTGGAGGCACAGCGACAGCTCGTCGTTGACGTACGAACACTCGAACGCTTCGCTGGCGCAGCAGGGCAAGTAGGGCCATTTCACGCCGCCGCATTGACTGAAGTCATGGGCACATCCTGTACTGCCGCCACCTTGGGCCACGTGGGAGGCCACCGCATTCAGCACCAGCAAGAACGTCCGCATGGCGTCCAAGAAGTGCCAAACTGCAAACTGCCAAAGATCCGAGATTGCCGTTGGGCGGAGAATGTCGTGGCAGCCGTTTTCGCGTCGGTGCCTCGAATATTTTGGACTTGCATTATTCTTGGCCACGATACTATATCCACTAGGTACAGTACAAAATTACTACTATAACTACTCTGAATAATGATCCTTACAACTTTTCGGATCCGTTTGGTTTTTTCTGCAAGATAAGCTTTTAAACTACTCTACCAGTTATTCTACTACAGTAGTATTGTTAGTCGAGTAACATATCTCAATCACCCGCCCATACCCACTTTAACAACAGGACGATCGATTATTCGTAGTCATTGGGGTAAATAAACTGCTGACTGACTGGTTGTCCTAAAACGGATTCAATATCGAGCGCACCGACATGGGGCTCGTGATGCGTAGCAGGGCCACTTTTGCGACCAACTGTGGGTCCAGGTCGGCCGGTTTCGGGCGGTCAGGGTGGTCGTAGCCGAGCTGCAGTCGCTCTTTTACCCCCCCTCCCCCTCCTCCACCACGAGCCGTCGGCATACTATTATTCCGACGATGGGGGCCAAATCCCCACGGCAGGTGCGGCGGAGACGGCGGCGGCGACAGTTGCGGCCGGCGGACGTACAGCGTCTGCTCCATTTCATGCCACGTGCGCAGGAGCCGCATGAACACGTCGACTTCAAACTCGGACGACGGCCAGATGTATCGCCATCGCAGCATCGCCGCCACCCTCTCGGCCATGGGCAGTCGAATGCGAAACTCGGCGTTGAGTTGCGTCGAGTAGGCGAGTTGGAGCAGCCGCCGCCGGGCATCGGGGTCCGGAAGTTTCGTAGCAAACCACAGCACATTGGCCGTCTGGGACAGTTTCGACAGCGACGGCGCCTCGCGGCGCGCGCGCCCCGTCGCTTTGTCCCGAAAGAGGCGGGTCTTGGTCTGCGCGTGGGTCAGTTTGCGCACGTCGTCGGTCGTCCACTGCTTGCCGAGCCCCGGGGGGCGCATCCACGCGCCCCGATCGAGAATCGTCAGGTCCTCATACGTTTCCTGCAACAAGGACGGGTACGAGAACTGCGGGCGCGGCTTTCCGCCGCCGCGCTGGCTTTTCTTCTTGAGGCACTGGCGCCGGGTATGGCCTAGACTCGAACAGACCGGACAGAACCAGTCGCCGTCCGGCACGGCCGCCAACGGCGGGTTCAAGCAGTACAAGTGGTATTCGTCGTCGCAGCAGTCGCATAAGATGATCTGCGACAAGTTGGTATCCCCTGCACACAGCCGGCACGCCTTATCCTGGTCGAACGGCGTCTGCAAACAGCTCGGACACAGCCACGGGTCCACAGTGATGGCATGGTCCCGCGGGAGGCAGTCGGTGTGGTACACGGAAGGGCACCGATCGCAGCAGATGAGCGAGCCTTGCTTGCCGCACACTTCGCACTGCGTTCGGTTGTGGATGGCTTCTGGATGCATGACTGTCCACGGCGGGCTGCTCAAGTCGAGAAGTGTGAGGCCATTGGGAAGGAGCACGGGGCGCGCGATGGGGGACGATGGCGCGGACGGCGCCGGCGATGTGGAAGGGGTGCTAGTGGCGGACCTGGTTGAAGGCCCCCGCGGTGGACTTGGAGTGGTGGTCACATGGATGATGGTCTCTGCAGGTTCCTTCGGTGGTGGTGGTGGTGGTGTTGTCGTCGCAACCACACTCTCTACAGATATATGTATATATAGCGACGCCTTTAGAATAGGGAAACAGACAACAAAGCAGAAGAGATATATGTACCTGCATGGATGTTGGTTGAACGGGGTGTTGACGGGGTGGGAGGGAGGAGGGCGGTAGTAGTAGTACTACTACTAGTAGTACTAGTAGTACTATTACAATTGGCAGTGTCAACACCCATGGGCGGAATCGCAATGTACACGCCATCGTAGTGATGAATGAGGATCTTAAGCGAGACTGTTTGCGGCGCCAGGGCCTTGTACCCGTCCACAACTTTGTGCAAGCGAATGCGAAGTGAGCGTGGGGCGTAATGCTGAGACAAAGGGGAGGCTTGGGGCGGTGCCTTGCTTGAAGCGTCGCCGATCTTCGAGAGACTCGACTTGGCCCCGACGGGGGACGTTGATGACGGGACCGACCGACGATGCTGCTTTGGCTGGTGGTGCTGTGGTGTGGGTAGCTTGGAGGAACCCGTAGGCTTGGTTTGGCTGACGTCGATGGACGGATGGCTCGATCGCTTGCGTTTACATCGACATGTGTCGCGAATGATGCGATCGGTGGTGCGCACACTCTTGGACGCTGGTACGAGCCCCACCGTGTTGTCGAGCGAGACCACTGGAACCACAACACGACGTACGTCATGACCGTAGTAGGAGGAGGAACGAGCTCGTACCTCTGCTTTTGCCGCAAGTTTCACACGATTCATAGTGCATTTGCACAGCACCACGGCCAAGTTTGAACACGCTCGTGGCGGTGGACATGGTTGTGATGAGGAAGACAGAAGGAGGTTGGGTGGTGCTTGATGAACAGGGGAAGCCGGGGAGATGGGTGCGTCGTCGATGATAGCAGACGGTGGTGGGTTTACTGGGGAATGATGAGCCGAGAGATGCACAAGTCGGCCAAGACACGAGGAAGGGAGGTCGGCGGCGGTGGTGGTGGTATGGGCTGCGTCCAGCGCGTGGAGGTGGCGCTGGCAGGTGGTGTACCTATACGAAATAAGAAACTACGGTGACAGCATCCCACCCAACCGGCTGGCAACTGGGAGAGTGGGATGTCGCGATAAAGTTCGGTGGCACTTGAGTACAAGTGGATACGAATTTTATTACATACAAATACCAAGTTCAAATAGAAATTGAAATACACACTTCATCCTTGGCCCTGAGACTCGGCCGACTGAGGGCGTGGGGGGCGAAGAAGGGGGGGCTCCAATTTCACATCACCATTGCATCGAATGCTGCTAGGGGATGTGGCCGATGCGAGGGGAAGCCCCCCTTCGTGTTAACGGAGCGTGTAGAAGTACCCGTTGAATTTGGCACCTCTAGTGCCACGACGAGTAGTAGCTTCCTTCAACAAAGTTCCGAAGGCCACCAACGACAGAGCTCAACCGAAGTAGTCTATGATCTAGTACGTACTAGTATTAGGATGCATCATACAACTCCAGCCCAGAGTCTCGTGGTATGCGTGTGGTTGGTAAGTTTGGAACAATTTCAGAAGTGGTGACATGTGAAGAAATGTGCCCTAACCCTCATGAATTGCACTTCGAACTTCGGAGCAAAATGGAATTCACGGGGCAAAAGCGAGTTGAGGGACCAAGAACGTGAGCTGCGACATCATCGGGGGGGGGGGTGCATGTGTTGGCAACAAACTTACTCCATTGTGCGTCTAGGAACGTTCATGCACACTAACTAGTTGCCCCTTTCACGTAGGAATTGTTTCGAGTTCAAATAGCACCAAGCAATTTTATCATGCGCAAAGCAGGCACATGAGACGAAATCGTCGCCATGTTCGCAAGTTTGATTTCGACACGAGATCACTTACTTTGGTACAGGTACGATGTACGGGCAAGTGTCGAACAGACGACCCAACCGACCCAGGGGGAATGATGGATGAGCTGGGTATCGCGGAAGTGCGGGGTACATACTAACTGTAAGTATCATTCAATAGGATTCTGCTGGAGTATACATGCAGTGCAGGCTACAGTACTGGTATAAGGACCCTTGCCAGCCACGTACACTGCTTTCGTTTTCATTACTAGTATATCGACTCTCCAATACATTAATTGAATTCCAGCAAATTGGCCAATGGAATTGCTTGAATTTAGGATTAGCCAATCGAAAACGAACCACTCCGATTTTGCCAGGAGGGTGCGGGAAAGACCAAACCAGCGAACCTCAAAAACGAATAATATTGGCAGCATACCACTCACACTACTCCGAGTACCTCTTATCATTTGTAGTAGACACACTGAGAACTTTCGATTGGGCTTTATAAGACTCGAAAACTGTTCGGTAATTTTATTAGATTTGAAATTGAAGTGGGAGAAATTTTAAAAACCAATTAATACAGTTTACTACTAGTACTTCGAGTACTGTAGTAGTATAACATTATTGCCTCAAATATGATTTGAAGTTTGTCACAACGTGAATTTACTTGTTACTACGTAGTAGTTATCTATACAGTCCATGACTTTGACATCGAATTTCTCTCTCACGGCTCGTCTACGAGCGGTGCAATGCATATAGATGTTGCAAACTTACGTGCGGGAAATCGTTCAAAACTAGGTAGAAATGTGGCGATTGCAACATTGACGAGTCCTCAAAGTAGCTAAAACACGCAAATATTACCTACTTTGTAAGTAAATAACTCAACGAATATGTACCTCGTAGCAATCTCTAGGATACGTCGTTCCTTTTGTAGAGGTACAGTAAGCCTAATGAACACGCGAACAGAGTTTGGGGCTGATCGGTTTACTTTAGCCCTTGTTGCGTGACTTTGGAAGTGGTGACTGTCTCAACTATATTAATATTGATATTGATATTACGCTGTAAAGTTAAAATCACTCAGCGGGCACTTAATGGCCTCGGCCGCGTACTAGCTGCATTGGCAGCTAGCTAGCTGTCTCAACTATATTAGCATCACGTAACATCGTTTTGATGTGTCATAAGAAATTATATTCACGTTGCACGCCAAATCACCAGCGCAGATGCAACGTCCAAGGTTTCTATCAACCAGGTGAAGCAAGATTCCGGTCGTGTACATAAAGACAATACTGTAGGCATCAGCTCCATCGAGTTGGTTACAATACCGTAAGCTCAGTTCCTTCACCCTCCTGGATTTGAGTGGAAATCGAAGTATTAGATACTGTGAAGTCTATTCAAGCCGCTTAATTTGTGTAAATCAAAATGCAAATGGGCGGAAAAGTGTGAAGAACGTTGGGGTTTACTCTGCAAAGTTACTGTCATATTGATTGCATCACAGAGGTTGGTTTCCCTGTAGTATATTGCGTTGACACACGAATCCGGATAACAGTGTATAAATAGTGGACTGCTCTTGGACATGTATTTTAATATTTTCTATGTGAACTGGACGCTAGTATGCAATAAAATAAATGGTGGGTTTCCTCGTACTGGGACCCCAAAATGAACGCCGAAATCATCCGGATACGTGCAATGTAAGCCCGTGAAACAGACACTCCATTCATCAATGAATGAAAACTCGCAAAATGGCGCAAGTCGCAGCGGACAGTGCGTGGAAGTGGCCGTGCGCGTGCGGCCGTTCCTTCCCAAGGAGATGCTGAGTGGAACCAACGGTGTTAATGGCTCAACGGTGGGATCCGTCGCCATCGACAAAGAGTACAACGCGATCCAAGTCACGTCAGCGTCGACGACCGCGTCGTTCTGCTTTGATCACGTGTTGGGACCGGAATGCACGCAGGATCAAATGTTTGCGCGGGTGTTGCAGGTACATGCACACCTATCCATTATCTCGTCGTCTCACATCGTGGGGTGATGTATGTGCGTAGCCGAAAGTGTTCACGTTCCTCAACGGTACACCAAGCCTCCTGCCGTTCCCGCCTTTTTGCTGACGATGGACCGTGTAGGATTCAACACGACCGTCATTGGGTACGGTCAAACCGCAAGTGGCAAGTCGCATACTATTGGAAGCGGGTTGACAAACCAAAGCGAAGCGCACTGGGGCCTCATCCCGCGCATGTTGCACGAGATCTTTCGCAAGATCGAAGCCGACAAGCTCGACGCGCAACTACACGTGTCCTTTCTCGAGATTTACGGCGAAGACATCCACGACTTGCTGCTACCGATCACGAACACCAAGACATCCAGGACCCCGCTCAACTTGCGGCAGGACCGGTCCGGCGTGTTTGTCCAGGGCATCCGCGAGGTGACGAAGAGGCTCCCCGTCGTCGTTTCGATGTCGCCCCCCTCCTCATCATCATCATGTGTGTATGTGGTAGGTGCCCATCACGAGCGCCCACGCCGCCCTCGAGCAGCTGCGCATCGGGTGCATGGCGCGCATCACCGGCAGCACGGAAATGAACGACTCGTCCAGCCGATCCCATGCCGTGTACACGCTGACGCTGGTTCAAAAGACCCAGCGCACCCAGCCAGACGACGCCACGTTTGTCGACACGGTCACGACCATATCGAAATTTACATTTGTCGACTTGGCCGGCAGCGAACGGTACATGATATATATATACCAACGCTTATTGTGTTTCTTGTATCCAAGACTTTTGGAGACCAAATCATCTATCGATCGATTGTTTGTCCTGATGCTTTTGTATGTAGGGTCATCATACTAATTGAAGTCACACACTAATTCGATGATGACATGGTCCTAGAGTGGAGATTGGATTGGGTACTTGAAAATAGTGTTGTGGGTTTTGATTGGTCGATCTTTGATTGTCTGTCGATTTGGATATTTGTGTTGATTTTCGATTGAATTTCGAATCGACATCTTGACAATAGATTGCTGTGTTGTTGGTTGTTTATGTTTTAAAGATTTCGGAAATGTTTAGCAAATAATGCATTTCATAATTATTATTTTCTATCGATGTATTGCATAAACGATTGTATATGTACTAGTAGTATCCATCCATACAGTGTATGATTGTGTGGTGGAACTATTCGTCGCGATATATATATATATACATATATAGAAATGTATGTGTTATTTGGCATATCATGGCGTCGTCCTGTGGCATCTTTTGATGAAATATAATTTATATATATATGGACGATTGATGATTGTAGGTTGAAGAAAACGATGGCAGAAGGCACGCGGATGAAGGAAGGCATTCAAATCAATGGTATATATATATATATATATATATATATTGTGCTTTTCACCGAAATTTGGACTTAGGAGTCAATTAGTCAATATCTTATTTAAGCTTGCACAAACTATACTATGCAATATATAGTATATACATATATAAGGTTTTGAACTGATCAAATCTTTGGATTGGCAGAAATCCACCAGAGCATGATTTGATTGGATTAGGCGGTTGTTTACAGTTAATTCGTTCTCTTAAGCCATTGGATTCTGCTGGCGATTCCAGTTTCGAATCGATTTGACATGACATGTATATATATATATATTCAACTGCACTCTACATATATTGTATTGGTGATGGGTTTTCTTGAATATGAACTCAATCACGATAACGTCACTTTGACGTTGGTAGTGGGTCTACTGGCGTTGGGAAACGTAATCAACGCACTGGGGGAAGACGACCAGAGCGACCCAAAGAAGAAGAGCGGCGACGGCACCGCCAAGTTTGTTCCGTACCGGTCCTCCAAGCTCACGCGGCTGCTGCAGGACGCGTTAGGCGGCAACAGTCGCACGCTGTTCATGTCAGTGTCCTTTGTGCCACGTCATAGCACATATATGACTCATGTTTTTTATTATTATTAGTGCATGTGTGTCGCCAGCGTGGGGCAACGCCGCCGAGAGTTTGAGCACGCTGCAGTATGCCAACCGCGCCCGAAACATTCAAAACAAGGTTAGTTGGTTGATTGGTCTTTTGTTCTTGTATCGAGTGGGAACGCTGTTGTACCTGTTGGCTGGATGATTGGTCTTTTGTTCTTGTATCGGGTGGGAACGCTGTTGTACCCTTTTGGCTTGATTAAACATATAATAGTATTGTGCCTTTCAGTCAAAATTGCCTATTTTGGGGATTGAGGAAATCGCCAACTAATCGAGCAAACGAGTATGATTGGCTACAAAGAATGAAGGTTGCAATTTGATTGGCTACAAGGAATGAAGGTTGCAAATTGATTGGCTAAGTAGATTGATTGTTGTATTGCAGTCAACTTCGTTTTATATAAAATTTCAAAGGTCCGGCGGTTGATTCAACCAACCGCGTGACGAAATTTTGAGTCGAACACACACAATATATATATACTAATAATATATACTAAACATGGCACTTAGGCGGTCAAGAACGTGGATCCGCGGTCTGCTGAAGTGTCCAACTTGCATGCGTACGTGAGCATATTGCAGCGCGAGCTCGTACGCTCCAAGTACTTGGAAAACCCATCAGATGACACCAAATTGAATGCGTTGTTGGCGGACCCAACTATCCAGCACTTTTTGAAAACGTTAAAGGGCCAAGGCCAGGACGCGCCGCTGTCGTCCGCTCCGCCGGATAACCGTCCCGCGCCAAACAACAATAACGAAAATGAAGACGACGACGACGAGAACCCCATGGATGTGACGCGAATCCCTGCCTGCCTCTGTATATTGGAACTCGGTCTGGAAAAGGAAGCCGCGGTGGCCGACTTGGCTCGGTGCGAGCGGGAACTGCATGTGGAGCGACAGACTTTGGAACTCAAACGAAGGCGGGAAAGGGCGCGTCGGGATACGCTCGAGCAGCACGTGGTGGCGCTGAAATTTGACCTGGCACAGTACGACACGTGGCAGCATGAGCTGGCGTCATGGCACGACCAAAAGCTGAAACATCCAGAGGACCAAACTGTGCACGACGAGTGGAAACGAGCCCACGACAGACTCCAGCCCCTGAAAAAGGTGTACGCAGTGTGGAAGTACACGACCGACCGGTACAAAACGATATAGCTTCAAATCGTAATGATGTGTGAAAACATGTGCTGATCAAGCGTGGATTTAAAAAAAATCAGATTTGATGAAATATATATATTTATTCGATTCGGGTGGGTCAGGATCACACCCCCATTATTGCCCAAATAATTTATTCGAAAAAATCGAGTAATTTGAAGAATTTGGTTGGCACTCTACTTTTGACTGTCTGGCTCAACCTGATTTCGAAAGAAACTCGACGATTCACAATTTTCAGAAAACAAAAGTCCCTTGAATCTCCTTTTTTTGGCAAAATTGGATCCAGACTGATATTTTTTCATTATTTTTTGCCGATTTCTTAGAAATCGCCAAAATATCGAAGATTTTGGCCTTTTTGTTGGCATCTAGACTCACCCTTGATATTTTTTAAAATGGGTTTGGGGTGTATGTGTAGCCTGGACGAGGCCAAGGTGACCGTGGACGCTGTGCAACAAGCGATGGAGCAGTTGGAAGACAAGCTAAACAACCAACGACAAGTGACTGCTCACGTTGTCGACACAAAAGACAAGGAGATTGAACATGTTCGAAAGTACCCGCAGAGCGCGACCAAGTGGAGCCACGTGAGCTGTATCCAGCACTTGACAGACTTGGAGGTAGCCGCAACCCCGAAATAAACAAATAAACGTGCTGGTCTTGGGGCTAACAAATACCTAACATAGACCATGTACGGCAAAGACATGCTGAAACGCATGCTTCGGCAGTTGGAAGACGGGGAAAGTCGCTTGTTGACCTGGCTTGACTCGTACACTGCCGAGACTCCGACTCACCCGAGGCATCCCCGAGCACAAGCGTATGCCACCGACGTTGTGGTACGAATAGTCGTCTACTCATGTATATATATATATATTGTGCTTTGAGCCAAAGTTTGGATACTATTTGATTCACCAAAGCTATTGAAGTTGGAGTGTTTTATTGTACTGCCTCGTTTTGTATGTATAATGAATCCAATGGATACAAGTCACACCCACATTAATTCGCTGTGTGGAATGGTTCGAGAGTTTGATTGGCTAATGGATTCGTGTTCTGGGTTTTGATTGGTCGTATATCGATTGATTGCCTGCCGATTTCGTGCTTGACATTCAATCCTGTCCTTTGCTCCCGTTTTCGAATCGACTTGACTATATATATATAATTGTCGGGATAGGTACAGTAGTAGTAGTAGTAGTAGTACTAGGAGAGATTCATCTTGTCTATGGGTACGATTGACGATGATATTCGTAGAACCGACTGCACATGGAAGATACCGAGGCGATGCTGATGCAAGCCCTGCGAAAACGCGCGAGTGTATTGAAAAAGTTGCTTCAAAAAGGGCCACTGGGGGACAATGACAAGGTGGAACTGCATGCGATTGACGAGTCGATTCAAACGCTGAGCGACACGTTAAAGCGATTGGCGTCGTCGCTGTTATCGTCCCAACCCGAGATGGAAACATTGACGGGGGACGAAGCCGCGGCGGTGATTCAGGACCTGGTGATGCTCTTGCAAGAGAGCAAGCGCATGGAGTTGTGTGCCGTGGTGGCCAAGCAACAAACCCCCAGTGTATCATGTTGTCAAGGAGGTAGTACGAACATTTCTGCGACAACGTCCACGGTGCTGGCCACGGAAGAGTTGGAAAGTCAGCTGCATGCATTGAAACTCCACCACGAGCAAGAGATGATTGACCAGCTCAAGACTCGCCAAGACAATCACGACGGAGTGTACGCGGCCCTGGAAGCGTCCGAGGCGCAAGTCGCCGAGCTCAAGCTGCAAGTGCAATCGCTGACCAAACAAATCGAAGAAGGCAAGCAGCGCGAGTCGGCGTTCTCGGCACTCCAGGTAGGTGGGACATATATATATATATGTATATATATATAGATTGTTTTGTGTGTGTGGATCCTTGGAGCTAAAAGATTTGGACGTTTATATATATATATATGCTGTTTGATTTCCCTAATCTATTCTCGATCGATGTACTGAATACAAATCGTATTTTGTACTATTGTATTTGTCGTATACCTGACTTTGCACCATGCATTTTTTTCAATTTGAAGAATTTTTTTTAATATATTCGAAGAACTGTTTCATTTTATAATCATATTTCTTTTCGTTTTATATTATATGATGCAGATCAACACGACAAATATGGTCGAATGTTACAAACGGGTGGTCCAGCGGTGTGACCCCCATTTTGAAGTCTTAGACAGTAATTAGTTTTTGATGGGTTGAACGGACCGATATGATTGGCTCAAATCTTTTGCCAATCCTTCGATACACTGTCGGTCCAGTATTAAAAAAAATAATATTTTTTCTATATATTTATATCTATGTATATTAATATCTATATACATATATATTATATCTATATATCTATATTTTATATATATATATGTATCTATAGATTTTTGTCGAGTCTAGATGGCCATTGATTGATTGACCAATGATGTGATTGTTTGCTTAGCGGTGTCAAGAAATGATGGATGAGCTGGGCATCAAGGACGACGACAGCGACGAGCCGCTTCGAGACATTACGACCAAGTGCCAGCAAGAATTCGAGCGGCTGCTGCTAAAGAAACAAGAGTCATATGGGATTCTCGATAAGCTCACCCAGGCTATTCGGCTATGCGAACAGGCGCTGGGCTTACAACAGCACGCCGAGTTGCTGCCCACGACGGCGAAGCTGACGGATCAAATCACGTCGGCGCAGTCGACGCTGGCCGAATTGGAGAACTCGGTCGCCCAGCGCGCGCTTTTGCGGCTGCGGAACCTCAAGACAGCGTCTGACTTGTGCGACGAGATGCAACTGGGCGTCGTGTGCGCGCCCGTGCCCGAGTCGTCCGAGCACGAGGAGCGCATGTCCACGGAACTGCAGCACCAACTCATGCTTCAGGGCAAGATCGCCGAGGAACTGCGGCGTCTGCACAACGACATGTCTGTGTTTTCCATGTTCGACTCGATCGGGCAAAACAACGTGCGCGACATTGTAAACCTCACGACGCGGCTGCTGGCCGAAGGCAACTTGCCCCTCGGGGAACAAGCGGTCGAAGACGACACGGTGCTTATCGCGTTGCTCAACGAGATGAAGGAGAGTCGGCTGCGCAATATGGAGGAAATGATGCACAATACGCGGGGGTTGTTTGCGGAGCTGCAGTTTGTGGCCGAAGACTTGACCCACATAAGCCAAAAGGTCGTGGACCGCCTGGCGTTTGCATTTGACCCAACCAATCTCGTCCAACGGGTGCTAAACACAGGTATGTCGAAGCTATCGTTGACTTGTAGGACTACGTTGTTGTGTTACCCTAGTGCGATTGATATATATCTATATATATTCTTACCATGATGGGTGTAGGGGGCGTCATGGATTTTACAAGCCACGGACTCTCGTTTATGCATGCGCTGTTCACAACGTACGTCGATATATATATATAATATTGTAGTCACTTGAAGTGATTGATATATGAACCCATTTCTAAAAGGATTGGGTTGGTACATGGATATATAGTATATTTGACCCACTTGAAGTGATATATATATATATATATATATATATATATACTTTATATGATTGAACCCACTTGAAGTACATGTATGCATATATTATATATACAATATTGTAGTCATTTGAAGTGATCTATACATATACATTTGAACCCACTGTATTAAGAGAATTGAGTTGGTACGTGGAAATATATATATTATTTGAACCTACTTGAAGGGATATATATATATATGAACCCACTGATGTGATATATATATGAATTTGAACCCATGATCACGAGAATGAGGTTGTGTGTTATGGATTGACTTTTATGTTTTGGTTGTGTAGGCTCTTGTCTATCCGAGAATGCCGGGTTCAAACGAGGCGACGCCTCAAGGTCAAGTGTGCGATCGCCGACCGAATGTACCAATCAGCAATGGCCACGTGTCAAAGCTGCTTTTACTCGCCACCGAAACAGATGGTCGTGGATCACCGCCACGACCACGTGGCCAACGCTGCGTTGACAGAGTGGTGCGAACACGCGTCGCTTGGCACGTTTCGAGTGCGCAAGGCGGCGCAGGCGTCGCTCCGGATGATCCAGCAAGAACTGGATGCATTTGGGATGGAGGAGGCCACGGACCGACTCGACTTTATCCTGGGCACGCGTAACCCTGTTGCAGGGATGGCGGCGCACGGGAAGAACCTGCTTGAAAAGTACATGCGCGAGTCCAACGAGGTAGTGACGGTGTCGCAGCTGACGACCAAACAACCAACCCGCGCGCCGTTGGTTTTGTATGAAGTGGACCCGTACGCTGTGGAATTGGACGCGATGCTCAGTCATGCCCTCGACAGCCAAGTGCTGGACCACCTCCAAACCGAACTGCACGAGTTTCAAACGCTTCAAACGATCCTCTCGGACGCGTATAAACGGCTCACGTCCCTTGGAAGTATCATGAAATGTGTCACCCAGGTACATATATATATATATATATATTTATGGTGCTTTGAGCCAAGATTTGGAGTTTTTTTGTGGTCGATCGATTGTTTGTACTGGAATGTGTGTCAGCTAAAGTGAAAAACGGTATGGGTTACACGAATATACTACTAGTAAGCTACTAACTACTATCTGAAAGGAGGAATATTGTCTTTCTTTTACCCTTTGTACGGACTTTTGTATGTAACGATCGTTGAGTGTCACACTAATTTCAGTCACAAACGAACTCGATGTTGAAATGGTCCAAGAGAGGATCATTTGATTGGCTACCTGATTCGTGTTGTGGGTTTTGATTGGTCGACCGATTTGGTGCGAATCGAATTCACAAGATCATGAATATCTAATATCTACCTACCTACTACTTTGAACATATATATTACTGGAATGATTTAATAAATAAATATATAGATTCGCGATTACAACAAAAAGATTGCCGAGTTTGAGACGGCGGCGAGTGACAGCGACAGATTGTTGGACCGACGCAACAGTTCACTTCGTCTCTTGGACGAGGAAAAGTTTCGCAAAACCGCTGCCAAGAAATACCCCTTGTACGCTCTATATATATATATATATATATATCTGTAGAGCATGTCGGATATATATTTTTCGTTCTTGGATCGTGGTTAGGTTGGTTCAAAAAGTGCGCGAAGAAATTCTAAAATGGACGTCCGAGACAGCAGACGGGTTTGACTTGTCGATTTTGGGCCAAGACATGCAAGCGTTGCTGCTCGATACGATGAACGTGAACACGGACCTGATGCACCTGACGCTCCACAACAACAGTCGAAGGCGAAAAGCAGCGTAGGGATTGAAGATTAGTCACGTAACGAAAGTTAAATTAAGCCAAGGCACCTGGATACGACCACGTTGCCATGGGATGGATGGACGGCACTGAGTGGTATGTGTCGTCGTCCAGTGGAAGGGGTAGCCGATTGGGCGCCTTCTCTCGAAACAAACTCCAGGCGCCCCCCAGCCACCACGGTGGACTTCTGAGACGTGGTGCAGCAACTTGCACGGCAACTCCGTGACCTTGCTGTTGTACCTGTGGTTCGACTTGGTTGTTTTCCAATGATGTGGATGGAGGTGCGGTCGTACTACCAGTACTACTAGTACTACTTGTACTGCTGCCTGCCACAGGTTGCAACTCCATGTCGATAGGAATACAAGGTCGAAACGACTTGGTCCGACGCTGTAGTCGATCTATCGTCAAATGGGCCTACGTCACACATATGGTTCAAATTAAGTGGAAACGTTGTGAAAACGAGTCCGTACATTTCGCCCCTAGTTGATGCGAATAATTTGGGGGAAACATAATCACCCTGAAATCGAACAAAGCAGTATGATTGGATAAAAAGAAAGAAGGGTGCAATATGATTGGGTAAAATGAACTTCCAACTACCTCTTCAACTTCGAAATACATATCATGTTTCGCAGGTCTGGTTAATTCACCAACAATTACGAGTCGAATACCTCTGTCAATTGAGATTGCAGCGACCGAATCGTATCGCGAAGTTGCTGGACGAGAACTTTGTGCGCTTCGCCTGCATTTTTCACTGGCGTGTTGGAGATTTGCTACAATGTAATCATATGTATTCAAATTAAGATGAAAGTTGTAAAGCAACAATGTACTTGAGCTCGCGCGGCGTACTGAAGGGTGCTCAGGTTCTCTTCGTAGCATAAATCGCTCGGCGACAAGCACACGACCATGACCGTGATGCTATTTCCCCCCAAACTACCACCGAATAAGTGTTATTTCAAGGTATTTACAAAGATATATATATATACCTGTGCTTTAATAGCGACGTTAGCTTGGAGTCTCGGTACGGCACGTGCGGCTTGGCTGCATTTGGAGCATTGTTGGCCTCGTCGCTCAAAATTTGAATCACTTGGCGGAGGACAAACAGTGATTTATTGATCCCAATCGCTTCTTGTAACGTCACTCCTATGTTATAGTTCACCCGGGATATATTTCGTCAAACTACGAATTCGTCACTTTTAACAACTACTTCGGTAGTTTTAACAACTAAAAACGGCCATTTTAACAACTAAAAGACGGTCATGTTAACAATTACTTACATACCTGTCGCCCCGGTCTTCACAACGCGTTCTGACCCGGCCAAATCCACTAGCAACATTATACATTCAGATTAGTCTTCAAATATATATGCATACATGTATTTTCATAAAGACACATATATATATATATGTATTTCTGAAAATAATATATATTTCTAGTGTACATACCCAGGCACAGCTTGGTGGTTGTGACCAACGCGGGGTTCTCCAAGTCGATGCTTTCGACGTATATGGTGTAAATACAATGCGACCGCGACGACGCGGCATTCATATTAGTCGACGCCATGATCTTTTGCTTGACGCCTTCGGTGAACTTGACTAACATCTACCGCAATAAGCCAATAAACATGAGAGAATGAGGCCGCCCGCCCGCTGGTATCATCCGACCTCTTGGCCCGTGGCGCTGTCGACTAAGCTCAAGTCTTCGACAAAGAACTCCGACTCGGCGGCCCACCGCAGCTTGAGGCACCTATATTCCAACGTGAATGAACATCACAGTTGATATAGTGTGAGAACCGTTTCGACGATGGATTGAACAGGTCCAAGATCTAATGAGTAAATGTCAACATATTATTAGTCATATACTTCGGAGAGTATCGATGCAAACTATGGTTGTTTCGTACTTGTTCATTGTAAATTTGGACAAATGAGCTTTTCACCTGGTATGCCTTGTTCTGGTAGACTCATGTGAGTCAAAGACCAATATATATATATCTATATCGAACAAGAACGTCTTACTTTGACCACAGCTGCCGTCTTGAGTGCAGCAAACAGCTCCAGAATCACCCGCGGAACAATCTGTCCACATGTCGTTTGTCAGCGAGCATACTTATGGGAAGTAGAGCATACTGACCCCCAACCGATCCGACGACACATCAATCTTGGCTTTTGTATGGGCGCGCTCCGAAGGTCTAGACGAGGCTATTCTCTACTTGTAAGATGAGGCTTCCAGTGTCGTCATGACACCTTCATTGAGTAACACCTCGTATTCAAACCCTTCCATCGTGTACGTCTTCCCAGACCCTGTCTGGCCGTACGCAAACAGTGTGGCGTGGTACCCTTCCAGCACACTCGCAATCGACTGCGCCACGCCAGTCGTGTCATACACCTCCTTCTGCGATGCCGATGGCCCCAACACATGGTCGAACCGAAACTCCTTGCGCTCCGTCACGCCGAGCCGCACGGACTGGTTGTCCAGCTGCAAGGTTGCGCACGAGTGCGTCTTCTCCGACGCAAGCTGAGGCCGTACACGCACAACCACACGAATCTAATCAATCCAGCACCCGCCGTGAGCATGGATGGCGTCACGACGGTTAAGTCGTACCTTGCTGTTCATGGCAAAGTCAGAAGTTGGCACTTCTGACATGGTTTTCAAACAAATAAAAACCTGAAAAAACGTGATTTTGCCTATTTAGGAAATCACTTGCTAGGTTCTACAGTAGTAGCATTGCCCTAATTTACTCTGATTACTTCTAATTAGGATAACCTAATATTAGTGTTTGGACGACGCATATCACGAATTTTAGAAATCCATAAAAATATATATACTCGAGTATAATACGTACTAGTAGTAACAAGTACTACGTAGTACTCCGAGTACTATGTAGTAACTATTAATAATAATAGTATTAATAGAAGTACTACGTAGTATGTACTATTATTAATAATAGTTACGTTATTAATAGTACTACAGTACAAATACGGAGTACTATTAATGATAAGTACTGTAGTACGGTAATACAGTACAATACCAGGTACTAATATCGTTACTTGTAGACCACGTCGGCAACCCCTCTCAACCTTGGTGCATTAAGACAAAGGTTTTCACGTTGGGTGGACACTGTGACATGGGGACCAGTTCCGACTCGTAAGATTACTGTAAACTCAGCAGCACAAGGAATCAAGTGACAAAAGTCTCGAATGAACTGTTTTCGTCAGTTAGTTGGCTTTCGACGGCGCGGCGGCAGTAGTAACGGCGGCGTCGTGCTTGCCAGTCTGCCAGGACGGGCAACGGTCGGCTACGGCGACATTGGCCAGGGCCGAGTCAATATGCTGGCCGCATCCGGCCCATGTTGGCTTGTGGCACACAGAGCAGTCAATCTTTCGGCACATGGGAACGTCGAAGGGTGTGCGCGGCTTGCAAAGGGGTTGTGCGTGAGGCTCCAAATAGAAAAGTGGGGACTGCAAAGGCCAAAGGGGGCGTGGATTACTAAAATATGATTGCTAAAATTGCCAAATGGGGGGTTCAAGGGAAGTGTGGTGGAGTTACTGACACTCTGTCGAACATGATTGCTAAAATAGCCCCTTCGAATCTTAACGGACCCATCTCGTTGTGGTATGTATTAACCGCCAAGCATCATCGGAATGATAATATTCCTTTTACAGCTGAGATCCATTATTTATCCAGACTTAACCGGACAAAATTCGCTTCATGCTTTATATTCGATTTTCGATTTGCCATCCATCCACACCTTTCCAAGCCGCGCACACCTTCGACGTTCCCATGTGCCGAAAGATCGACTGCTCCGTGTGCCACAAGCCAACGTGGGCCGGATGCGGCCAGCATATTGACTCGGCCCTGGCCAATGTCGCCGTAGCCGACCGTTGTCCGTCCTGGCAGACTGGCAAGCACAACGCCGCCGCCGCGCCCCCCAAAGCGAATTAACAATGTATGACCGCCTTAATAAATGGTTAAGACACATGCAAAAGTTCAGGGCCACAGGTGGGGGGCTTAGTTGCGTTTCTGCTTAGTGGCGATAGGACGAGAAGTGAAGCAGTTGCAGAAACATCCGAGGAGCAGACCAATGGTCAGGCCTGAGGCAAAGATGGCTACAATCGCGTTCTTCTTCGTTCCGAGCAGTTGCACGACGTCGCGGCGAACCACGTCCAGTTCCTTCGTGATGGTATCGACGACACTTGGCACGCCAGGCACGGGCGTATTTGCCGCAGAGGCAAACCCGCCCTCGGCAAACGCTACCAACGCCTCCTTCGTTCGTGCGGATTCGTACTCGTACATAGACCCCTCGTGGAAGAACAGAATGGTGGGGAATCCCTTGATGGCAAAGCGCTGGCCGAGCGGTGCGTTCGCCGTCACGTCCACCTTGGCCACATTCACGGTCCCCTTCAATTCTACATCGATATGTAAGTTGGAAGGGCATAGGAAGCATTCAAAACGAACCGTCGGCAACTTGCTCGAAGACAGGGGCGAGGCTCTTGCAATGACCACACCAAGGAGCGTAGAACTCCACGAGCCAGTCGCCCGTCGTGGCACCAGTGGACGCTTGCGTCAAGTGTTCAAAGGAGTCCGATGTGAGGTCAACAACGTTGCTGGCCGCACAGAGCAGCGCCATGCTGAGCACCAGGAGAAGCGAGCGGAAGGCTGGCATGTTGGGGTTGAGACAGTTGGGGATTGGCAAAGATCGGAGTGCGCAGACACGTACGTACGTATGCAACACACAAATTTAGGCATGTTAATTTTTATATCACCCTATTTGTATGTGAATGGCACGAATAAGAATATAAATACTACAGAATCCAGGGACAGGCGGCTGCAGTTCTTAACAAATGTAGGCCGAAATACAGCCTCCAAGTGTGACTGTCCATCCCAGAAACGTGGCGGAAACGAGGACTACATATGTGAAAAGTGCTGCTACAAAAGATACTTTTCTCCATACAAAAGAAAAAGGGCATGCTTTTCCATATGAACACAACAATGCCGTGCTTATACGGCCTTCTCGGGAGTGGTGCCATAATGAGGCACTTCGTCGTCTTCTTCTCCTTCTTCAATGCGAATATGGCGCACCGACATGGCGTTCTTGTACCCAGGATGCTACAGCATGGTCAGCTGGATGGCTCACAACATGTCATTCTCGGTCTACCTGGAGAATAATGAAGAAGTTGAGCAAGGCCAAGATGATAAAGCACACGCCAACGGCGACGCCGTAAGGACCTTGGGTGGGGCACCACGTTCCGATCCTACGCAGCCACATCAGGCAAGCCATGGATAGATTAACTAACGTACACAAAGAACAAGGCACCACGGCCGTAGGCTGTGTACATGAAGCCCAAGTAGTCGTGGACGATCTTGGACGCATTGGGGAAGTTCTCCCGCAGCTCAAACAACACGATGAGCAAGGCTTGCACCGTGATAAACAATGACGACATGAAGCCCTTGTACGAGTTCAAGTGGTAAAAGTGGTACAATCCCAACCAACCCAGCGCGAGTCCCATGACCAGGTTCACCAAACGGAGGTATCCGTTGATGCGTTCAATCTCCATTTGCTTGAACTTGGTAATGGCGGTGTCGCTGGAGCTGGCGGGCAACAAAGCGGACCGTTCCGACGACGGCACCGCGGCGGCTACAGGGACTGCGACGGGGACGGGAGTCGCCACTGGCGTAGACGCTTCCGCCGGTTTCTCGGCGGTAACTGGCTTGGCCACAGGTGAAGCCGTGGCAGAGGGGGTCGAGTTATCTTCCATGAGGCTTTTCGATTCTGAGACTCTACTGACTTGGTCATAAGAACTTGCCATTGTTTATTGGTCGACCCGGGTATCCGGATACATTTATTATCCGGAGGTTTGAAACCATCCCGCCCTGTGATTGGCTGTACGATCTACCGACAGGAACACTCATTGGATTTTGAATAAAAATGCACCAATCCGTCCCAGGGAACCGCAATCATCATGTCGGAGAACGAAGTGGCGGCATTGAAGGCAAGGGTAGCGACTCTAGAAGATCAGATTCGCCGCATGGCATCGGATGGCCATCAAGGCTCGCTGCATCGACCCAAGGTGACTTCCATGAGCGGAGAGGTCGTCGACAGCAACCCATACAGTCGGTTGATGGCGCTAAAACGCATGGGAGTGGTGCCAAACTACGAGGACATCCGCACGTTGTCCGTGCTGGTGGTGGGTCTTGGTGGCATCGGGTCGGTGGCAGCCGAGATGCTCACGCGGTGCGGCATTGGCAAGTTGATTCTGTACGACTACGACCACGTCGAGCTTGCCAACATGAACCGCCTCTTCTTCCGGCCGCATCAAGCAGGCATGACCAAGACGGCCGCCGCGACCCAGACCCTCATGGACATCAATCCTGACGTATCCTTTGAGGAATTCACGAAGGATATCACCACTCCAACCAATTACGAGCATCTCCTGGACCAGATCCAGCATGGCGGTGTCGTCCGCAACACCCCTGTATGCTCCGGCAATCGGACAAATGCGACTCTGAAATCACATCATGATCCTCTAGGTCGACCTTGTCTTGAGCTGCGTCGACAACTTTGCAGCGCGCATGTCCATCAACCAAGCATGCAACGAACTGGGCCAGCCGTGGATGGAGAGCGGCGTGTCCGAAGATGCAGTGTCCGGACACATCCAAACGCTCCTCCCAGGCCGCACCGCATGCTTCGAGTGCCTTCCGCCGCTCATTGTGGCCACCGGCATCAGCGAATCCACGCTCAAGCGCGAAGGGGTGTGTGCAGCTTCCCTGCCCACTACGATGGGTGTCGTCGCGGGGCTATTGGTGCAAAACGCGTTGAAGTACTTGTTGCAGTTTGGTCAGGTAAGTGACATGCTACAATATCTCATATGTGAGATACAGTATTGTAGTTTGAACTGGATGTCAAAAAAGGCAAAAACAATCATCGATATTTTGGCAATTTCGAACCAATCGGCAAAAAATGAAACGTTTTCTAGATTAACAGTTGAAAAATTTGGAGAATTCATAAATTTGCCAAAAAAAGTATGATTTTTTCACAAAAAACTGAAAAAGACGTCGAGTTTGTTTCAAAAGGGGTGTGACCCAGACAATCTTCAAAATAGCTGACAACCAAATTGTTTCAATTGCTTTGCACCAAATATTCGAAATATTATGTTGGCAAAAGTGTGATTATCAGCCCCACCCGTAAATCTCAATTTATGTGGTGTAGGTGTCGTATTATCTGGGATACAGTGCCATGACCGACTTCTTTCCCAGAGATCTCATGCGGCCAAACCCTGAGTGTGGCAGTCGACACTGTCGCAGACAGCAAACTCAACACCTAAACTGGTCCCCGACAGCATGGAATCGCGACGAAGAAGAGGTGACTCATGAAGACAACGACTGGGGTATACAAGTATGCACTCAGCAAGAGAACGATGTCACTGCTGGTTTCAAGAATGAAGCAACTCCTGACCACATTGGTAACATCTTAGGCATATATACACATATGTACTCATATGTTGGGTTATGGAGGTTTAGAGTATAAGAAGGTACGAGGAGATGTGCCTGTTGTGGGCATCACATTTGCCTATGACCAGTCTGTACCTTCAGAAGAACGAGATCTGGTCCATGTACCAATCGACTTGTCGCTCGAGGATTTGATGGGTCAGCTGCAAGCCCTCCATTGAGGGGGTTTCTATCAAGTACTAGTTTGTATTGCATGTATAAACAACCGATAATACATCTTATTACAACAACAAATATAAATAAATATAATAACTCATCATGCCAAATCATGCCAAACGTACAAGTCATTTATATATATATACTAGTATAAATATATACTAGTACGTACTATTAATAGTGTTATATCTTAACGAGGGTGGGTGGTCGCATCAACGAAACTACCTAGGGCAGGACCAATCGATCCACCTAAACGAGCTTGGAATGCCGTCGTCGATACGTCCATCGTGGCAACTATGACGTGTTCAACGTCCAATGCAATCGATTCCAACAGAGATACATAGTAGTTAACAGTTGATTGCAAGGACTTGAGTCGCCAGTGGTCACTGCAATGAGCCATGTGTCGTTGTGGGTGGTGGTGGTGGTTGAGGCGATAGTTTCAAACATGTCGTCATGCAGCTGAACAACGATGGCGATGTTGGTGAGGACTCGACGACGGAGATTATGCCATGCCGTCATGGGTTGAGAGCGTTGGAACCCGCCAGCGGCAAATGCAATCACGTCATCCGTGGCCCACTCGCCCGTGTACGTGTACAGATAGATACCTCTTCGATGCGACGAAAATGGCTGGAAAGGCAACGCCCATGGTTTCCAGGTTCCCGCCACCACTTGGATTTGTCTCCCTCGGTGTTGATTCGACCAACCAACACTTGGTCGTTGAGGAGAGCACTCACTTACCCGTTCGTGTATGATATGCGACAGAGGGGAAGCACACCCCACCACGAGCCACGGCAACGGGTCTTGGAGGAGGAGAAGCAACCGTTGTAAACGTTGGCGTCGGTAGTAATCACCGCCAGCCCCTGCGGATTTATTCTTGTTTGCGTCGTCTGAGACGTCGTTCCATGTTGGAAGGGGTTCCGCTGCATCTTGTGCGTCGGCCCGCGCAAACGCAGTGATGGCGGCCAATTGCCGCTTGGCCTTATACTTGGTCATCTTGCCTCGATCGACCAATATGATCGTGGGCAGTCCTTGGAGTGCAAACAAATTGGTCAGCGCCCTTTTAGCCACAACGTCCACTTGGCCGACATGCACGTATCCTTTCAACGCGAGCGCGAGCGACCCCTGTCCAAATCGGTTCCAACCGACGGCAATGGATGCACCAGTCGGCATGAAATTTGATCAGCCACGGCTTGGACGATCGCCGGATGCTGTCGCTCATGGCGCCCCGACGGAACGTTCGTTCACGTGGCAACGCCGTGTCGGTGTCGGCAGTGGAAAAGCCTCTTCGCCCGTGTACCCGGCGGCGGCAAACGTTTGCAGCGTCGCCACACTCCACGAGCCCGCGAACGGCGATGACAGAATCCGATAGAATTATTATTGCTGTGCCAGGACCAGACAAAATCACCCCGTTTCAATTCCACACTCCCGTTCCCATCGAGATGGATGGTAACGAAGACAAAAGCCTCCATGACAATGATGACAATGAAGAGGCTGATGACTACAACGATATCGCAGACGATGACGATGTCGCAGACGACTTGACGGAAATAACCGACAACAGTCTGCCAGAAGACGATGTCGCAGACATGGAGGACAAAGAGAATGAGAAAAAGGATGTAGACACCAACCGATGTTGAATTGACCTTGCAATGCCACCGACACCGTGTCCCACACAAGCAAAACGTCGTCGCATGGGGCGCAGTTGGGGGCTTGGAATAGGATGAACCAGTCGCCGGCTGCTCCGGTTTCAACTTGGGTCACAGCGTCAAATGTGTCTGGAAACAACTCCATGGCTGCGGGTGGCGTACCCGCCCCGATCAAACGCGAGGAGGTCGCGAACTGTGCGACTGCCTTGATACGCGTACATACTTCTATGGACAAACACCATGATGCTGGGATAAGTGCGAATGCGGAAGCGGGATGTGAGCTCGACATGCTCGCTCGCGTCCACCGTGGCGAGGACCGGCGCGAGCGAGGTCGTCGAATGCGGGTTTGAGGGTCTTGAAGTGGTTGTACCACGGAGCTTAAAAGTTCACAAACCACACACCATCATCTTCACTTGTTGCTTGTGTGAGTACATCAAACGTATCCGCCGTGAGCGTGATGACCATCGAATTCGAGTTGGAGATGTCGAATTCTCGGAGTAACGCACCATCCACCGGTGGTTACGGGTATACGGGGTCGCCTTGAATCCATTCAATGTGTACTGGGTCAATCGGTCCACTGCGCGGTCTCCTTGGGAGCGAGCATGCACAATGCCTGCCCTGTGAGAGCAGAAGCAAGGTGGGAGATCCGATCCTATGAGTCCAAATCGCGCGCTCTGGTCGGGATTGGCGTCAACTTTGACTTCAGCTACATGGACCTTTCCTTGGAGTGTCACAGCCACCTCACTCTACACAGCAGTCAAATCCCTGCACACGTCGGACGTACGAGTACAAAAGAGGACGAACCAGTCTAGGGGGCTCTTGTCAGTTTACCCCCCACAGGACTATATAGCATACTATATATTGTGCTTTCCAATTAAACTTGCCAATTCTGAGCCATTGTGAAAATCGCCAACAAATAGCCGCGATGATTTCATTGGTTATAATTTCGAAGATTTGGGCAGAAAATGGGCATCCAACTCAGTTTTCCACAACTACTTGGGCAGTACGAGGTGTAGTCGCATGTTGCGCGGGCGTCCAATTGGTGTACTTGAGATGTCTGTCTGTACATAGGTGTGTATGTGTGCTGGGGATACGAACAAACTCGCTTACGCGGCCTACGCGCTGAAGTGTTAATGCTGCAATTGATTGGATCATCCATTGAAGAAATTAGTGGGCGGGCAAGTCATTTTACAGGCATTTGTGCCCACCAGAAATCCGGATAAAGTATTGGTTAACCGTTTTTTAGCACCGCCATGAATTCACCAGAACTTTATTTCCAGAATGTTGTCGCAATTGCACAACTACCTTCGCAAGTGGCTCTGCCGCGTTGACAACGGCATTTAGTGCGACAAAGCGTATCCTCACTCCAACGATGGATTCAAAGTCCATGTGCATTCCGTGCAAAAGTTCAAGTGGCCTCGCAAGGGCCGCACTATTTACGGCTCGATGATCCTGGTGACTCCTCTAGTGGTTACAGCAACAGCATTAGCATCGTCGCCTACTGAACCTGAAGTGTCCTTAGAGTCTGATATCGAAGACAGCACGAAGCCAACCTTGTCGCGTTTGTCCAACGAACATGTTTCTCCGGTGCTCCCATATCATGTAAGAACATGCGTGCACATGATTTCGTTAGGTCTATATAGATTATACAGGGTATATAGGCTATGTTATAACCGCGTTGTAGGATTGCCCCGTACCCCCAAGCATGTTCGCGGATATGTGTGACGAAGACCACGACCAGTACACACGGCGCACTGACATAGTGCTCGACACGTCGCCGTATTTTGAACGTCCCACACAATCTTCTGTTTTTGACCTGATGCGTGGGCATAATATCTCAATTGATGTCGCTATCATTTTCATGTTGGACTCCCTTCTCAAGAAGCGTGGTGGGGATGTCCGCCAGCTCTTTGTGGACCATGCCCTGCGTTGTGCCATGGAACAAGAAGCGATGGAAAGCCAAAATGAGGAAGTGCCGCCGCCCGTTGCAATGAAGTCATTGACGTCCAAACAAAAGGCAGCCAAGCGCAAAGTGGCGGCAGCGGTGAAGCGTAGCAGCAAGAAGTAGCCAATTGAATCACACTTTAACTTGGAAATATTTCGACAAATATTGGAAACTATGAACTATAAATTTATAGGGCATACTAGTGTAACCTATAGGTTGGGAGCATAGCATACTAACGGCTAGTATTGCCTAGTGTTTAATAGTCTATACTAGTGTATACTGTGATGATCACTAGTAACACCTATAGATAAGTAGGTTTAACTAGTACTCATGGTACAATAATTATATTTATTTTTCTACTGTTGAGGTGGTTCATACATGACTGTTAGCGACGAAGCTTGGTTAGTCCGTTGCTGTTTTCTCATGTTGTTCACTGCAAGGATCGATTTGCGGTACGCCTGGATTGGATGAAGCAACTTCTGCACTTTCGCCAGTTGACGTGGTGCGTGCTGGATATCGCTTGCATGCTGGATGAGCCACAATGACAGTTCTTGTATTGTTTGGGCAACGTGCGCGGATGCCAACAGCTGCGATTCGTCCAGGATCGAGACAGTGTCGTGGTTATGTTCGGCCCGTGCACTAAGTGCGTTTACTTCTTTGTCGCTGGATATTTTCGTGCACTCTTGCCGCACCATTTCGTCCTTCGTCGTATGAAACACCCACATTGGCGGTGTTAGCTGCCACACCTTGTAACGCGGCGGCACCTGATGGACGCCTCGTTAACTCCTGGTGTGTGGAATGTGTAGTTGCTACCTTGGTGTTGCGTGCTACAATGTTCTGTGTACGAGATGCTTGCATAGGACAGGTACAAGTCCAACGCAGCACCGACGTGTCGTACACGTCATTCAAATCGCCTTCATCGGCTTTCGTTGCGAAAACGTTCCACTGTGCGTTCATCCTGGATTCCCAAGATGGCAGTGCTACAAATAACCAATGATTGTGGGCAATGCTCTTATCACTATATTCCACTAGCCATGCATAGAGGACGCTAGTATGGCCTAGCCATAAATAACACCCACTACGTACAACTAGTGGGAACCATGGCAAAATAGTGCATATCAAGGTGGTATGGGTGGATAATAATACTGTACCATACAAAATACGTCCATCTGTCACACGAATGAACTTGTCGATGTACCATTCTTGTATGTTTGTCACGATGATAAAGCAAAGAAGGTCGAGTCGTGGTCGTGGAAAGTCCTGAACAAAGGTGTCAAGATGATCAACAGTCAATACCTCCATACCTTTAAGAATCGATACTTCAGACAGTTAAAGTGCGCCTCAGCCATCATACTGGTTCGAAGGATCGCCAATGTAGTTGGACACTGAGACCTCGCCCATCGCTTGAATTCATTCTCTGAGTACCAGTTGCTGAACTGGTACACAAATAGATATGATGCGCTGCATTCCTTGCAAAAGTTGTAGATTTCTTCCACAACACGCGAGCTTTGTCGTGGGGGGGCATAGCATCGTCCTAGTTATCACTGTGAGTACTTAGCTGGGCCTAGGCAATCCCAGTAATTGCTAGCGATGTCCTAGTAATCGCTGGTAAACACTAGTTTATATGTTAGTACGCACATAAATCGACATAAATGGGTGGGCTTTGTAATGCGACTTCATTAGTGATAGCAACGGCCCCAGCACCGATTTGTGACAGAAGCTTTCCTCCAACACGTGTGTTCCATGCACCCACACTGCTGGAAACGCAGGCGTGTACCCTTCAACATGGAACAAGGTATTCGTCGGGGAGAACCTTAATCCAAGTCATTTGTATTAAGTAGCTTACACACGTAGGTGTAGTACCGCACTACCTGCGGATATGTGGAAATACCTTTCCTTGCATGAAGCGTGCTCGAATTGCTCGATCCATGTGCCACAAGCACAAGGACAATTTCACGCCAGTCCAAACCACCGTTGCTGCTGCAATTTGAGCGCTACCCTTGTCCATGTGGACAAAGGCTGGATTCAACCCAAAGTCATCGAGTAGCAATGCAAGCCATCGCTGCAAGTAAGCGACCTTGACTTCCGCTGTGTCTACGTTAAACATTATAAACTTGCATCCACAAAATATATATAGTACACCTAGTAACCACTATGTACTGTACAGCTAGCAGCTAACTAACAACACATGCAACCACGTAGTGACACCTACTAATCCATCGTAGGCGCTAGTGTTACACAGTGAAAGCAATGATGTACTATTGTTTACAAATGCTTTACCGTTCTCTTTCAAACAAAATACGGCACAGGGTACCCTTGACCACGAAATGGCACCAGGAGCGCGTACAATTCAAAACCTGATGCGTTGGTTTTGTGCGTCGAGTCCATCACGCACTCGGCACTGTGAGTCAAGTCGAAGGTGTACTTTACTCCACACACGGACTTCAGCAGCTGCGATAAAACCAAAACCACGTTTTGAGCATTGCGCGCGTCTGCAATGGCCAAAGTCGCGCTGAAAATGGCCGGGGACTTCTCCAGGTACTGCATGGTTGAAACGACTGGATCGTTGTGGGACTTGAAGTGATCATGCATGTTCTATATAATATATCATATTGACTAGACCCATAATGCAAAATAATATATGAATTGAAAAAACCTTTCGCCAATGATACGAAATTTGCGATATGGTCGGCAACCTTGGTTGGGCATTACTGCGCATCAAGTTCAAGCGGATTTGTGAAGGAGACAACATCAGTGCAAACTTCTCAATGTACTCCAAGCAATCATGGGGCATCTTTACTATGGAGTTCTCGCCTCCAGGATGGTGTTCATGGTGAAAGATGCGAACAAAGATAGCTTTCGCCGTTCAAGCAATCGCCAACGTTACTATTGTCGTAATAGAAATTACTGGTGTTTACTAGTTCTAGCTGGTGTCAACTAGGCATACATAGAACATCACATGAACACAAAGGGGTCAATAGTTTACCTTGACATTCGTAGGAGTTGTAAGCTTCCCGGTTTCGTCGCTTTGCAGGATTATCGTTTTTGAACTTCTCGACATTGCGCTGGTGGACTTTGAGCTGGCGATCTTTGTGTTGGGAGCACCGAAAGGTAGCAACATGTGTGCCGCCGTGGCGATCAATTTGCCTCGTTTTGGCGTTAACCCTAGAACGTAACTAGAAAACCTATTCTATACTAACTAGTATATAATATTGTTTTGCTACCTGAAACCAAAAGCCGAAGCTATTGGACAAACCAAGGAGGACCCACGCATGGATGTCCACCAGTGAACTGTCCTCAACACGGGATATGGCGAACATGACAGCACTAGGGTGTGAAGCCAGTTTCCAGATGAGCTTGTCAGAGAAAGCCGCCAATGACCCCGCATCGAATGTCGGCACGCTGTGGGCCGAGGGGTTGGACAGTGATGGCCTACATGAATTACACTGTGCCCAAGGAGTGTCAAAGTGAGAATCAACAAACATGAATTACACTGTGCCCAAGGAGTGTCACAGTTAGAATCAACAAAAATCATCCATGGCATTTCCAACTTGCAGCGGCAGCACCGTAGCGCAATAGAAGCGTTGTCGACGGCACCAAAGTCAGTGGAAATACCATCCATGATGTAATGTGTGTGGAAGTGACGAGCCCATAATATATTCTTAATTTATTTATATAATTAATCATAAATCATTTATATTTCCCTTTCCGATCGAAATACAATGGTACTGTGGATTGAGGACTTTTTAGATGTACTGTACCTTAAAACACCTCGTAACCGTAAGATTTTCTGATTTGAAAAATAAGGTCATAAAGTTTAGGGGTCATGACGAATTAACTATTTGACTTTTCCGGAACATGAGGTATCAAATCAATGCTGCAATGTGTATCTATCGAATGAGCCAATCCGCTTGCGATTAAACGAGAAATGAAAAATTTAGTCCAATCAGAAGTCAAGTGCTGCAATCATTATGGAACTTCTGTAGTAGTAGTACAGTATATAATAGTATATAGTGTACTACCTCTGTCCAATGATGATTGCGACTGAATATTCGGCAGCACTTTATATCTTGCTTTCAGTATACAATATAGATTGTTGAATCTGAAAATACAATAAAAATATAGGTTGGTGGGGTATCACACGACGATGAGGGATATGATATGACGCAGGAATATTTTGCAAATTCGGCTGCAAACTACATGTAACGTTAGCTCTAGTGCCAGACAGTCCACGTCAGTCATTAAGTGGCATCGAATTCAAGATCACTCGAGATTTCATGACGATCGAGTGATGTTGAATGTATCCCGCTTCACTCGTGCGTTCACTAAAGTCATGGTCGGTGTGTGTCATCGGCCTTTGCAAAGCCAACAGTAGTACTAATAGTAATTAGTTTATCGCACTAATTGGTGGTTTCGAGGTTACACTAATACGTGCTTGTTTTACACTAAACCGACTTGCCCGCACACTAATTTCTTCGACACGCCATAAAACTCGTTTAACTTGAATATACCAGTAGTATAATATATTTTATATATAGCTATGCTATATACCGTATTTACCGTACATCTGTAACCCCCAAAATGTTTCCGATATCGTTACAACTCAATGGTAAAGCTGAGATATATACCACTATTGTTTCCGCGCATTTGAATAACTATGATTGGACAAAATGTTTCGCGCGGTTTCACATTTACAGTATTCAAAGTGCACGACATACACGTCACAGGCCAAATGACTGCAGAACCAACACGTAGCCGCTCCAAGACAGGGAAGCGCAAGGTCATATCCTTACGAGGCTGCACTTGGCCCTGCCAAGACATTCTATGCAATAGGCAAGGCCTTCGGCGTGCAGACAGGCCAAGTGTCGCGTTGGGTCAACGACAAGACCCTCATTGCCTCGCGGGCAACTGTGAACCCTTCGGCGCTTGTGATATGCAATAATACATGTTATTCAACATCAAAATACAATATTGATTGAATGGATTGATTTTGCATTATCTAAGATCTATTGTACTCCTCAATGTGGTCCATCAGTACAGCTCTTACAAGTCCAAGGCACCTATTCGATCGATTGCGTTTCGAAGCACTGTTATCGACTCTGTAGTCTTCTACAACAATTGCAAATTTGTTCGCATACTTGGCTTTCGTGTTGACCAAACGACGGGGAAGAACGCGACATGGCAGAGTTGCTCCGCACCAATAATCTTGTAAACCTTGAGGGTTTCTTCGAGCCCATCAGCATTTAATCGCATGACCTCGCATCAAAACACAACCACATCGTTGACGGCCAGACTGTCACCGCAAACCTCGTGTGCAGGGCATCTTTCGAGTCCCTTCGCCGCTCGAGCAGCCAACAATGTCGACGGCCTTCAATTCCATCCAGAAGCAAATTGAAATTTGATTTTAACATGGTTTTACTGGTTAAATAATATCCAATCATGGCTGGGTAGTTACAAGTCAATGGTAAAACTCAAGTTTGCTTAATCAGATCTGACTTTTTTTTATCTTGAACAAAGTATTGTAAATTTTCATCGTTACAACTTAATGGTCAAAAATTGGGGTTACAGATGTACGGTAAATTCGGTAGTCCTGTGGGGGGTAAATTCGATAAGAGCCGTCCAGGGCATGTGTTGTTGACTTAAGAGCTCTATCGTCAGTTCCATGCGTTCCTGTGCATGCGCGACGCCGACGAGGGCACACAGAAGAAGGACCGTCAGCTCACTCGCCTATCTAATGTCATATTATCACCACATTATTGCGCGCAATTTTGTGACTACTGTCCACGTATACTAGTAATACTATTAATAGTACTTCATTTTAACCACGTTTATTGTATTGTGCTTTGCACTTGTTTTGGCGTCGGTTTTACTGTACTGTACGTGGCTAAAAGAGTGGTACTTCTGCTGTAACCGTGTTACAAGGTTGGATAAATACCTGGTGTTTTAGCTAATTCACTGTTATTGTGCTTTTCACTCGTTTTGGCTATTCACACCATAAACCTGGGTGTTTGTTACATCGACCCCAGTGTTTTAGATCATCCGTACCGTGATTTAGGATAACGTTTCGTTACAGAATGTAATTATAGGGAGGTGATTTATGCAACTCCCTCGCTTTTGCACATTTGAAAAGTGCAAATCGAAGTTATATCTGCTATTCTTGGGACCAAATTGCACAATTCACTGGTCACCATAAACAACTTTTGATAGTACAAATGTCACACAGCGAGGGCAAGCACCAGAGTTCTACCATATAGTGATGTACGTATGGTGCCACATCGTAGAAAACCACGCCATCTTCTTGTTCCATCGCCATGTACTACGCGATGGAAGAACAGCCAAGTTGTTTTGGTCACTTCAGCATCACATGTGATTATTATTGCTCAGAGTTATCAGGCATTTATAAAACCCCAGTGAATTAGCTAAAACACCAGGTATTTATTCAACTTTGTAACACAGTTACAGCAGAAGTACCACTCTTTTAGCCACGTAAAACCGACGCCAAAACAAGTGCAAAGCACAATAAAATTCAATTTTTCTAGAAAACATTTTGTTTTTGATTTTAATATATATATATATATATAAATAGGGTTTTATCAATGCCAAATAACTCTGAGCAATGATAATCACATGTGATGCTGAAGTGATCAAAGCACCTTGGCTCTTATTCCATCGCGTAGTACATGCTACCTGTATGTACTACGCGATGGGACAAGAAGATGGCGTGGTTTTCTACGATGTGGCACCATACGTACATCGCTATACGGTAGAACTTCGGCGCTTGTTCTCGCTGTGTGACATTATAATATCAAAAGTTGTTTATGATGACCAGTGAATTGCGCAATTTGGTCCCGAGAATAGCAGATATAACTTCGATTTGCACTTTTCAAAAGTGCAAAAGCGAGGGAGTTGCATAAATGACCTCCCTGTATATACATTCTGTAACGAAATGTGATCCTAAATCACGGCACGGATTATCTAAAACACTGAGGTCGATGTAACAAACACCCAGGTTTATGGTGTGAATAGCCAAAACGAGTGAAAAGCACAATAATAGTACCTATTATACTAGTACTCGGAATAATATCAGGTAATATTACAAAACTCTGGAAATTGCGTACTTTTGCAAATATACCACCGATCCATGTGCCACTGTTGTACGAAGTACTACTACGTAGTAAGGTTAATGTTACTACACCTTTTTTCTATTGACTTGGGACTTTTTTCAACGTTCTTGGCTTGGCGCTCATTCGAAAGGGCGATGTGTCCATTCATTTGGCCTTGTGGCCAATAGAATTGACACGTCGTGCCGCAACACCCTTTGAAATGTACCATGCTACCAATGGAAAAGGCTCCACTACCTAGCAATGTGCCAAGTAGCATTTCGAATCTGCCGTGCTTGAAGTTGAATTGGATCGAATATAACATTATATTATCAAATACGCGACGGCATGAAAAAAGCAGATAAAATCATCGAAACTTGCAGCAAACAGCTACATGTCGACGTCCATGTCTTCCATTCGGTCCGCACGACCGTAGAAGTACTCCAGACGAGGGGATGCGCTTGTATTTCTTGCGTGGCTATGAGCATGGCTAGTGTATCGTGAGCGACGACGTCGTACTGGTGTCTGTGGTGCAACGCTCTCCATTGTTGCACGGAATGCGATTTTGAAAAGTGAAAAAAATGGGCGCGAAGATCGCCCAACTGCAACCTTCTAGAATAAACTCAACTTCAAGCACGGCAGATTCGAAATGGTACTTGGCACTTGGCACATTGTTGGGTAGTGGAGCCTTTTCCATTGGTAGCATGGTACATTTCAAAGGGTGTTGCGGCACTAAGTGTCAATTCTATTGGCCACAAGGCCAAATGAATGGACACATCGCCCTTTCGAATGAGCGCCAAGCCAAGAACGTTGAAAAAAGTCCCAAGTCAATAGAAAAAAGGTGTAGTAGTGTACTATCTCTGTTATACTACCTGTAGTAGTGCTTTGAACCCGGGAGCCCCCCCTCAATTCCCGATAGAATTGCCCCATGCTTGCGACAATACGATGCGTGTAAAAATCTTACTACACCTTTTTTCTATTGACTTGGGACTTTTTTCAACGTTCTTGGCTTGGCGCTCATTCGAAAGGGCGATGTGTCCATTCATTTGGCCTTGTGGCCAATAGAATTGACACGTCGTGCCGCAACACCCTTTGAAATGTACCATGCTACCAATGGAAAAGGCTCCACTACCTAGCAATGTGCCAAGTAGCATTTCGAATCTGCCGTGCTTGAAGTTGAATTGGATCGAATATAACATTATATTATCAAATACGCGACGGCATGAAAAAAGCAGATAAAATCATCGAAACTTGCAGCAAACAGCTACATGTCGACGTCCATGTCTTCCATTCGGTCCGCACGACCGTAGAAGTACTCCAGACGAGGGGATGCGCTTGTATTTCTTGCGTGGCTATGAGCATGGTTAGTGTATCGTGAGCGACGACGTCGTACTGGTGTCTGTGGTGCAACGCTCTCCATTGTTGCACGGAATGCGATTTTGAAAAGTGAAAAAAATAGGCGCGAAGATCGCCCAACTGCAACCTTCTAGAATAAACTCAACTTCAAGCACGGCAGATTCGAAATGGTACTTGGCACATTGTTGGGTAGTGGAGCCTTTTCCATTGGTAGCATGGTACATTTCAAAGGGTATTGCGGCACTAAGTGTCAATTCTATTGGCCACAAGGCCAAATGAATGGACACATCGCCCTTTCGAATGAGCGCCAAGCCAAGAACGTTGAAAAAAGTCCCAAGTCAATAGAAAAAAGGTGTAGTAGTGTACTATCTCTGTTATACTACCTGTAGTAGTGCTTTGAACCCGGGAGCCCCCCCTCAATTCCCGATAGAATTGCCCCATGCTTGCGACAATACGATGCGTGTAAAAATCACGAACAAATTTCAATCCCAATCCGGAAATATCCGGAAACCTCCATCGAAGCGCACTTAAATTGGTTTAAGTGCGCATCCGGTACATATGGTCGTCAATTCGACAATCGAACATGCGCACAGTTGCTTCGCTCGATCGCGTCCTCACAGCGAAGAGAGGCCTGATTGATGAATGCACTTCCCAATATTCTCCATAGTATCAACGATGCGAACTGGTTTATGGGTACTTGTTGTCATGGTGGCCACAGTGGCAGCCGATGTCAAAACCCTCACGGCGGCCACCTTTGAAACCACCACACAAGCCACGACTGGGTCCAACGGCGACTGGTTTGTAGCGTTCTACGCACCGTCGTGTCCGTACTTCAGAGAATTGGCCCCCCAGTTCGAGCAATTGTCCAAGCAAGTGAAGGGCAAAGTGAACTTGGGATGGGTCGACGGCACATTGCACTCGTCGTTGAAGGACCGATTCCGCGTCACCCGATCGCCTACGATGCTATTGTTTCACCATGGCCGCATGTACAGCTACAAGAACGCACGCACGGTCGAGGACATGGAGGCATTCATCACAACTGGCTTTGAGATGCGTGACAGAGAGATGCCCCAGTTCAAATTCTACGAATCCGTCCCCCCTGCCAACAACACATCGTTCGTTCCGGAGGCACCGATTGTGGCGAAGAGTGCGACAATCGTCAGCATATCATCCATTGCGACTTCGTCTAAAGAAGAACTGTAATATCGTGTTTTCCTTTTACTCATGCAATCGTAAACTACAGTGAACCACGTAGGAACTGGTGCAGTATTGCACTCATGTATCCTATGTATTTGATGTAACCATTGGGTGTCCAATTGATGGCGCAAGATATTGTCAAGTCGATTCGAAATTGGAGTTGGGGTGCAAATCGGCAGACAATCGATCGACCAATCAAACCCCAGAACACTAATCAAGTAGCCAATCAAATCCACTCTTCGACCAATTCAACATCGAAGTAGTGTGTGAATTAAATTAGTGTGACATTGGACCATATTTATTTACAAAAGTCAGTACACTTCGATCGATACATGTGGCGAATCAGCCCAAATTTATTATTTTTGTATCATTTTTTTATTAAAATATTATATGTAGATAAAAAAATTATGTTATATATTTTTGATAAAGCTATTTCTAATTCTAAAAGTATTTTATATTCATTAATAATTTTATATGGTATTAATAAATATCAAGCTAAAGGAATTTGTAATAATTTTGGAGTAAATCCTCAAATGGAAAAAATAATAATAATGAATTAATACCTAATTTATATAAAAATTGTATTTAAAAAATAGTTTACTTAGTTTAACTAATGAAAAAGGGCAATTGAAAAATTGATGGAATTTTATGAAAGAGTCCAAATTTGGGTAACGTTAAAAGGTCAAAACTATTTTTTCATAGGATATATCTTGGCTTGTTATTTCGTCTCTGCTTTACTCATGCTTTGGTAATGTAGTCGTCGGTAGCCATCCAAGCTTGTTGACGCGCCTTGTACGTCATGTACACGGACATGACAAAGAGGATGGAGCTTGTAATCGCAAGCCCCAGGCAATCTTGTTGGCCAGAGTACAGGGCACTTTGGGCGGCGTTGGGGAAGGCCATCATCCGACCATCCTGTGCATTGTTAGGGACAAGTCGTTGGCTGCAGCTTTGTACGCCTTCGGCAGACAAGCTTATATCACACCATTTGTTCGAGAAGCCATCACACAGCCACGACGGGAGGTTGGCGGGCTGGTCTTCTGGTGTTTGGGCGCACACGGCGCAGGCAGTTTTGTACTGCTCAGCCAGGGCCACAGCTGGCCCGAACGCTCGCACTTGACTCGAGACGTTGCGGCACATGGCTCGAAAGCCAACGGTGCCATTCACTGGTCGCAGCAGCACGTCAAGGGTAGCATTAGTGTACTTTCGAGGACCAACCCCCCAGACATAGTGCTCTTCGTTGAGCGGAACTAGGCGGTTCACAGAAACCCAAGCGAGGGCTTCGTTGCAGGCGTAGCGTAGCTCCGCATGGCAGACAAAGTCGGCTAAGCCCGTGGCTCGAGATGGAAGCGATGGCGTTGAGCTCATGAACACGCGGGCGTTGAGGTCATTCCGCATGGAATCCGCGTCGGCGTATAATGTCCAGCCCAAAGTGGCCGCAAAGGCGACGATGATTCCCATGATACCATAACGAGTGATTTGAACCTTCTTCAGTTGAGGATACGACGCAGCCGCCACACCGACAAGGCCCAGAGGTATGAGCAGCACCCCCGCGAGGATCAAGAAAGTGGCGGCGGTTGGGAGGAAGGTGTCGGTAAAGGCGACAGTCCATTGGTCGCGCTGGGCAGTCGCGCCAAAGTATATGAAATAGCCACCAACGCCAACAAACGCAGCATTGGGAATACCCGCAACTACCTTCTTGGCAACGATTTTCAAGGACATTTGCCGAGGAGATTTTAAAAGTGACGAGTACGCTGGGGATCATCGACCAGTCTTCGTTGTGTCATACGACCATGGACTGGGTGATGGGGATCCAAAACTCCTAAAAAGACTCCTTCAAATATTCGAAAGTGCTTGTTTTTGGTCGAAAAATGTGATAGTTAAAATGCAACAATTTCAAAAAGTAGTCGAAGTCAAAGTAACGGTTCGTTAAAATGCAACAATTTCAAAACGTAGTCGAAGTCACAGTAACGGTTCGTCCGGTTACGTTAATCCGGTTACGTTGACGACGTTTCGACAATTCCCATCGCCGCCATGGCGACGACTTTCGGTAGTCCCAGCGCAGACACAACCAGTCGGATAGTGGAAGCCGGTCAAGACCCGCGTCAGCACTGTCTCCTCTTTGGTCTGCCGATTGTCCTCTTCAACCAACAACTCCCAGGTACATATATACATACTGCATCGAGTGCACAAAGAGCAATCCTTGCACGGTGACAACGAAATTCACTAGGCTACGTGGGCGCGGAAGGCTTTGGAGATTTGCGTGTGACGCTATTGAAGACATCTGCCCGGCCACTTCGTTCTAGTGGGGCGGCCTCGTCAACTGACGGCGACAACGACGACGACGCGGAAATCGACGTGGAGCTGATCAAACACAACTTTAACGAGCGCGTGTTCGTCGTGCTGCCAGCCCAGCAGCACGCTGCGTCCACCGCCCTTCAAAAGTACTTAATTGACCACGAGTCGGACCCGTCGTCGGCCCTAGAAATCCGGCTTCGCGAAAGGTATGAACCCAAGCGACCACCAAAACTAAACTGTCCACGTCTGTCGTCAGTGCTCGATTGGAAAAGCGCCTCAATGATGACGCAGTCCACGCGTCGCATGGTCAAGTGGTTACGTATGGCCAAACCATTCAACTCCTTCACGTCAACTCGTCCAAGTATTGTACATCATCACTCGACTGCATGATGTTCCTTGGTTCGTTATCCATCGCTTTCTTGCCTAGATACATCGCAGTGCGGCCGCGGGTGCTGTCCGACACAGAGCGAGACGCGATGAAGGTGGAGCTCGTCGCGACTGCGTTCGAAGACGCACACTTTCAGATCCAGTCGCCGTACCGCCATTTGAGTCCAGGTGACGAAGTGTTGCTGCAGGACGATGTCACGTTTGCCAGTGGTATACTCTACCTCTACAATTGCCATATTTTTGCCAACAACTGAATGATACGTTTTTAGGAACGTGGCAGGTGCAATTGCACGTTGGTCATGGCTTGTCCGTTGCCCAGCATTCTGCGGGCGGGGCTGAATTTGTCGAGCTCAACGGATCGGCCACCGGCGATGCTTTCTTTATCCACCGTTTCGCGCATATTGACATCCCTCCGCAATGCCTCCGCGGCGGCGACCTTGTGCGGTTCATGCACTGCCGGGCGGGGGCGTTCTTGTACGGCAACGGGGGGTCACAGGACCTGTTGCAAGTCCGGCTGTGCCATCAACCTGCCGACGAAACCGGGGGTGTTCATTCCGTGCAAAGTCTCTGGCAGGTCCAACATGTGGACATTTTAAACGGCAACGAGGTGACTGTGACCAGCGTGTGCTGCGTTCGCCACGTAGCGTCGCGTCAGTTCTTGGTCGTGGACGACCACAATGTAATACATGATGCATTCGTCCGTCGCCATTCACAACGTGGGATTATAGGGCATCCAGACATGCTCCTTGACACCACATCGAAGCTCGAGGTGTCAATTTACACTGGCGACGGAGTCCTTTCTCAGCGGTCGACTCCTTCGCCACGACCGACCGCTCTTCTTGAAGCATGTGGCCACCGGTATGATATAAAAAGCCATCGATTATGCACATAATTCGGCTGGATGGTAGGCGGATGGGTGGGCCTGCCGCCTGGCGCCAGCGACCCCACGACAACATTCTTGGAATCCTCGACAGGTTCGAGTGTGGACAAGACCAACGCGTTTCGTCTGCAAATCATCCAGCCGTCCGAAGCCACCGAGTCGTTGTTTCTGCTGTCGTTGCTGCCTCAGCTCCAACGCGTGAACGACGAGCTACATCATATCCTGCATCAGACGGTCGTAAACACCCATAACCTTCGGAGCTCCACGCTGTGGATTGTGCACATTCTGGACGAACTTGCTCGGTTTTGCATGGACAACCGAGACGACGACCGAGGCACCCCGATCGCCGCCCGCCAGAATGTACTTGTAGAAATGAATTGCATCAGTTTGGTCGTGGGGCTGCTCCAGCGTCCATTTGTCGACTGGTCAGGACCGTTGGCAATGTCCATGTGCAGTTCCCAAGGTTGTATACTACTTCATGTGATTCCGCATCGATAATACATATACGCAACTAACTACCACCATCCATTCTCATTCAACTCCAATTCTTTACCATAATACCCCCATTTACACTCTAGACGGCGAGCCTTCGTCGCCCATATCGTCGTGGGACGATGAGCTGCATGGTAGCATTCGAGCCATTTGTCAACGCAGCTACAAACTGCTCGTGCATCTCGTACGCCTCAACCCAAAGACATCCGTCGTGTGCGCCGCCCACATTGGGACGTTTGGTCGCCAAGTGGGCTTTGACTTGCACGCGGAAGCTCTGGTCCAAGAGCTGCTGTGCTCGTCCGAATCGCTGGTCACGACCATCTGCGACAACGTTGTGACGCTCTTCGTCACGCTGTTGCGCGAGCGCGGGCGGCGTGCCGAGTACGTCGACTACCTGACCAAGTTGTGCCAGTTCAAGACGACGGGCATCCCCGCCAAGCAAGTGGCTCTTTGCGGGCACTTGTTTCCCACAGTGCCGTCGTCACCACCCTGTCGCATCCTGCTGGAAGTGCGCTGCATCAAGCCAAACGTTCTCCACGTCTGCCACCCAGATACAAATGAATGGCTGTCGATCGCTGACCTGATCGCAACGGACAAAGCACTGGCACGGTACTTTCTCACGACCATCCGCATGCTGTCGTCCATGAGCTGGTCGCGCAATTACATTGCCATCCACGCCGTCGAGCAGCATTTCCCAAGGGACGCGGTCTTAGCTGTCGTCCGAGACTGCCACGTACACACCAAAGTAACGATATATATCATTGAGATATAGATGTATAGTATTTACCAATCGCCTTTGAAGGTGTTCTAGATATATTGTTTCAATTTATATATTATTAATTTGGTATGAATTTCCGTCAATCGACCAAACCGATCATGAATCACTCCCATTAGCCAATCTGAAATCGTTTGTCGCTGATTGGCTCCATATTTTTTCTGGTTTTCCTTCGAGCTGTCTGTGGAATCGGAAAAGACAAATCGCACAGAATTGGGATATTTGTAGAAAATGAATAATATTATATATATCTATAATTTGCTTTCACGGGATGGATTGTATCGTTTTCTAGATGCGTGCCGCGTTTTGCAAATTGCTCGCGGCCGTGTATGTAGATCGACTGCCCCATGAAGTGCGGCCGCGGCCAAAACTGATTTTTGTGTCCCCGGCAGTGTCTCTCGGCCCTGAAACAGCTCAACGCCCGGCTCACCAGAACCACGACGCCGGCGACCGGCTTTTTTTCGTTGCGTTAAAGCAAACCCTCAATGAAACATTGGCAGCGTGTGAAGGCACGTTGACGGCATCTCAGAGCCACCTTTTGCTCGGCATGCTACCGCTATGTCTTCAAATGATGTCGTTTGGGTGTTATACTGACGAAACGGAGCTCAAAACACTTGTGCAAGTGCTCGTGCCCTTGCTCAAAGATCGCTCAGCATTGAAGAAACCCGTCATGTCGCCCACTTCGACCATGAATAGGCTTCGGAATTACTCTCTTAGACATGCCCTTCCGTCCACCGATGACGTCCGACCGGCAGTGTCCACTGATAAACTCCATCCCCATACCTTGGCTACTACGCCACCCATCACCGGACCATCCTTGACGGTAGAAATGACACTTTTTTCTAGCGTTGAAAGTGGGTAAGTTTATCGAACTTATTCTAGACCGAGGCGAGTGCGGCTAGCCCCATGGCAAATTCCCCCCAACGCCAAAACACTCCGCGAAAGCAACACTCGATAGTCAAGTGCAAACTGCTCGTGTGTCAGATCCTCACGTGGAGTTTGCACTTGAGCCTGGACGCACAACTGGATGCACTTGTCCACTGGTTTTTCACGCAATCGATCGTTCACGTCGAGTCCCATGCTCTTGGTACAGTATAAACAAACCACTTCTCCGAAAGATCGATATTTCCACTGTTTACCGTTGATTGAGTATTGCAATAAACTAGGCGACAACGCGCGGGCGGTCGAGATAGACGCCCAATGGACAACTCACCAGGCACCGTTGGGAACTGCTTGCGAAGCCCTCTTCCGACATGCGACACTGTTTGACCGACTCGTGCACGGCCACGACCTGACCAGTGCGCTCCTGTCGCTCTTGGCGTGCGAGTACCCCGCGCTCGTGTCGGCCGCTTTGGATTTGCTCGGCAGTTCATTCAACGTCCACCGCGAACTTCGAAAGCACTTGGACCATGTCATCGTCGTGCCCTCCGACCGCGTGTTTTCCATGTACCTTAAGTTACTTGTTGCCTACAAAATAGTACTATCTGTATGCTTTCGCCATGTATGTAGCTACACGACAATGCAAGCCAGTGCATCCGTGCTTCGACTCTACGAAGAAACAAGCGAAACGTGGCTAAGTGTGCGAGCGGGGGAAACGTGGAACGACGTGCTGGGCAGCCTCTTGTGGTTCACGGACGCCCTCGCCACGACGGACGACCTCGTGCAAGTGCAGCAGCTCGTGCGGGGGCTCGGCGTCGATGACCTCGTGCTCAACATCACGCGCAGTCTCGGCACCTTCCTCCTCACCACCCCTCGGACATCGTCCAATCGAGTATTTCTAAGGCGGCAAGAGCACCTCTTGGACGGGTGCTATAGGTTTTTTGTCTTGTACACGTGGCACCACCACGACGCGCAAGTGAAATTGCACCAACAAGTCGACTTTTTCAAAGACTGCGTGGCCCATCGCCACATGCCAGCGTCCATATTGTATGCCTTGTACCACAACAACTTGGTTTTATGTCGGTCACGGCCACCGTGGCTCGTGTCATTTGTTGTCGATATGGTATTTCACTATGCATATATATTTATAATATACACATATTGTACATATTATATTTATAAAATACCTAAATATATAATATCAATTATTCATTTAGAAATATTTATTAACATATATTATATACATATATTATATTTATTAAATACATATACATATATATATGATCAATTCTTAATTTAGAAATATTTATTAACGTAGATTGACCAAGGTGGAGCAGTGGCCGAACACGTCGACATTTTAACAGCGTTGGCCGTGTGCAGTGGTGTCCCGATTAAAGAAAACCAAAACGCCATCAGTTTACAAATGGTACTATTATCCATATATATATATGTATATATAGTATTCAATCAAAGTTCTCTTTGGTAGTTGGCAAGTCATCGCAAGCCGCACGTGGTCGATGTGTCGTTGGAGTGGTCGTTTGTCAGCAACGACAACGAGAACATAGCAACGCTGGAAACGTTGCTAGAATCGCCGCAGACAGATGTACTGCGAGTGCGTCGCAAAGCTCTGTTTGACGACACCCATCCCGTTTCAACTGCCTTCAATAACCACACCACCACAACCCATTCCATTCAGGAACGCATTCTAAATCTCGTGGATCGATACATTTCTACGGGAGACGAATCACACGTAAAACAACCACCGTTGATGCCGTTTGTGTTTTCACACAAGGCGACTGCGTGCAAACTCGTCGGCACGATCGACACGCCGCCGCGCCCTGGGCTGTACCAAGCCAAACTTTTGGATCTGTTGGCCAATCTCACGCTGGGGGCCAACTTTGTGTGTGAAGCGCGGCTGCAAGGGCTCATTCCGCTGGATGTCCTTTTGCGCACCCTCCATCGCAAGCAATTGCGACTGCCTCTCAAGTGCAAACTCGTCAAGGTAAACCGAAACATAGTGATATACCAGGAGCGATATAAATATATATCATTTTATCGAGAGTGATACATATCGTTTTGTAGAGAATGATATATATCATTTTATCGAGAGTGATATATATCGTTTTGTCGAGAGTAGTGTTTTTACGATGGCGGTAGGTACTCCATGAAGGCTGGCTACACACGGAGCAGTTTGTAGCCGAAGTGGCAGGGAGCCACATGCTGGTTCAGTTCATCGTGTCGCAGGCGTCGATTGTACGCGACATGGTGCCACGAATGAAACCAGGACGGACCCACGAAAGCATTTTCGTGTGGGAGTGTCTGTTGCCAATGTTGTTGCATTACTTTGAGCACCATTGCGATGGCTCGTTGAACGCCGAACTAGTCGGCCCTTTAAACGATTTTGCCGACATGTTTCAAAGCGTGGTGGACCAGTGGAATCCGAAATGGGTCGATAACAGCACCACCACCAGTTGTTCCGAAACTACCTTGGAAACTCTCGATCGATTCCTTCACGTAGCCAGCACGTTGTTGATGGATCGACCAACGCCGTCATCGGCAGTTCAAACTAAACCCACCCCCACCAGCCATGTCTTGGTGCGTTCCAAATATATATACATGGATTTTGGAATTTCTGTGGCTAACGATGTCTCAGCCCAGAGCGGGCTTGTCCCTAGCCCAATCCACATTGAAATCGTTTGCAAAATGGCTGCATGTCGCGCCCTTTTTCGCCGCCAGCATCGACTGCGACAAGGCACTCATGCTGGACGCATTCATGCGCACGCACACCGCCGACGCGCTCCGCCGCCACACGCGGCTGTCTGTCGTGCGAGTGCACCCAGCCAAGCCCAACGCCACTGGCTTGTCTGACTCGGTGGACTTCAAATTCATCGTCGCCCGGCTCATTGCGCACGCCAACAACAGCGAAATCCGCGTCGGCCTGCTGGCGCAGCACTCGACGCTGGAAGTTCTGACCATTCTCGAGCAGGTGTCGAGCTCGCGGTCGACGCAGGCGCTGCTGCACTTACTAGGTGCACCGAAAATGGTCGTCGAGCTCTCGTGCCGTGCATGCGATGTATGTACCCTTGATGACGTCATCGCGCGTCGATTGTCTTATGTGTGTGTTTTGTGATTGCGTCATTTCTCGCCAATGGTCGCATGTCGTTTGTTTGATCACGTAATCACTCGTGAAGTATGCGTCAACGCTTGCATGTGATCACGTCATCTGCCAGTTGGATGGATCACATCCCTGTCTCATGTGACGTTATCGTGCTTTGTGGTATGTCAGACTGACGTGGCCACACACAAAGCCCTCGTGTTGCTGGCCATGTCGCTGCTTCGAAACGGCGGGTTGGACGCCCAGCACCAGTTCTTTGACCTGTTGAGTGGCGGAAAGAACGTCAAGTGGTTCGAACGGGTGGGGACGCACCTTCGAACGGCCATTGCTGTCGTGGACACTGGCCGCCTGCATCCAAAAACGGATGGTCAGGACGCGTCCATCGATCGCAACCAAGATACCACTCATGTATTGGAAATGCTCCGGCTTCTATGTGAAGGTATACACGATATCGAGGCCCTTCACGTTTTGGATTTTTAATGGTTTGAATATGATATATATAATATATATATATATAAATAGGCCACCATACCAAGTTTCAAAATCTGCTGCGCCACCAGCCGTCGAGTCACCCGTCCGTCAACATTGTCGAGCTCGTTGTCCAACTGTTCAACGAACTCGTGCGCACGATTACGCCGGCGTCGGTGCCCGTACTCAAAAAGACGTTTCAAGCGATCGTCGAGTTCATCCAAGTAAAGAATTATATCGGTTTCCAACGCGTATATACATACTATTTGCCTTTTTCCGTTTTGTAATATAGTACTAATACCATTGCGTTTCCATTTTGTAAGGAAGTGTCGCATGAGTGACACATAATATAATATTAATGGTATTTCATAAAATGTACTAGCATTGTATATGTAATGAGAGTTCTGAAACATCATTGCTTTTCGTGTTTGTCGTGATATTTATAAAGCAACAGTCCAAACAAGAAAAGTCATATATCCGTACTATATATGTATAATATATATAATGATATTTCATCAATATTACATTATATAGTAAAACTGCTATCCAACGACATTATACATATAATATATAGTTATATATGAAGTATCAGTCCAAAAAAGAAAAGTCATATATCTGTACTATATATGTATAATATATATAATGATATTTCATCATATTACATTATATAGCAAAACTGCTATCCGACGACACTATACATACTATATATATATATATATATATATATTTAATGATATGTCATCAAACGAATATAGTAAAAATGCTATCCAACGATATTGGTGATAGGGTCCTTGTGAAGGCAACCAAGTCGCTGTAGTTGACCCGACCGAACATCACCGAGGCGGCTGTAACTTTATTGACTCGATCAACGCCCTGCTGAGCATGTCAAACACTGACCCTGCGTACTCTCCAGGCGACCTCTACAGCCTCAAATACATGTACACAAGCTTTTCCCTTTCCGAAAATAAATCTGTGACACGGTCGTACTTGCCAGGTGTTCGTTGGCGCTAGTGGCGCTGGTGGAAGGACGCACGGACACGACTATCCATGATCGCATGGGCAGTTTGCTGTCGATGCGACTGCTCAAAGAAACACTCGTCGCCGTCTACGCCAGCTTTGCAGTATACGATATATTTTGATTATCAATTGGCTTATGCGACGGATTTGTAGAAATGGCATGAAGGCCACTACACAGAAGCCGCGTTCGACCCCGACTTGTTGTCTGTGGAAGGGCGCCAGAGAGACAATTACATTGTCCGCTTGATCAAAATCACGCTGGGCCAAGCTCATGTACCGCCGACGGAACCTCAGACACCAACGACAGGTCCAGACAAACCATCTGCCCATGATGAAAATGGCCCGACGGCCACGCCGAGGCTGGGCTCGTTGATGCTGTCGAGTAGTCCACCCCCGTCGTTCCAGTTCATGCTCAATGCTGGCTTCAACATCTACATCCTCTTCCATCGGCTCCTCGAAGTCCCCGGTGTCGGCCACGTACTTCGCAGCAGCCTCTTGCCGTCCGACGCTGAACTACGAGAACTAGACGAACCCCCCATCACGTTCGTACAGTCGACCCTTTCGGGCATTATATTATAGATATATATATTGTAGGTTTATGAACCCCGTTGTGGCCGCGTTCAGTGCGCGCCGACGCCTGCGCCGACTAACTTTGCTCATGAAGTCAGACCGGGATGTGTCGTATGCCGAAGCGTATGCATTCTTCCGCAAGCATTGCGCATCCGTCGAAGTACACGTGGGTGGCCAAAGCAGCCCCCTGCCCGATCATCTCGGCGGGGCGGCCGCCTCTGGAGGCACCACTCGTCGACTGCAGCGCTTTTACTTCCCCAAACCCCCCGTCTGTGCCTTCCTCACATCGGACATGCGGGATACTGTCATGGAAGACATCAACCGCGACTCCCCCGCGGAAAAGATCCAGGATCTGTTCCAGCGATCGGATGCGGTCAGTGGCCGCTCGCTCCCAGTTTTGTCGACAGAATCTGAACTTAAGTCAAATGTAGATCATCGCGGAAATGACACATCGGTACTTGATGTCATTCGCAGGCGACAAGCTGTTTACGTGGGGCAAACTGGTGTCGTTTGGGGTTGCGATTGTGCTCAACGTGCTGCTCATCGCGTGTTATGTAGACATGGTAATACATGTATTATGAATGCTCTATAATAAACTTGCAAAATTCGCGTGGTTTGTCTGATCAATATTGAATCACGCTGGAAAGTTCTGATTGGTTGAATATACTTGTGTTTTTTCTGTAAGAGCCAATCAAACAAATCCACTCAAAATTGGATTAGCCAATAGCGTCGATTTTTAGAAATGTGTATACCGACTGCATAATACCAAGATTTCTGTATATATTTTTTAATAGACAACAATATATCATAGGGAGACCCTCGGTTTAAGGACCTCACGCTGCCGTTTCAAAGCCAAGACGACAGGCAATACCATATTGGATGCGTGGGCACAATCGGCGGTGTCCCCACCATGTCCATCGTCCGAGCATTTGGACTGTTACAAGTCATCGTATCCGTGGGCATTGTCGTCTTGTACGCGTTTACGTACGTGAGTGACACTAGTACCATCACCAGATCGCATGTTAATACATGTCATTTTGTATTATAACATGTAGGTACGGCCCGCTGATCATGCTCGAAGGATGGAAGCGGCATGCTGCCAATGGGAAAACAGTGTCAACATCGCCAGGACATGCCGACACATTTCCGTCTCATCGGTCACCGCCGCCCTTGTCGCAGCCATCCACTTCCATCACAGTGAGCAACGTCGTCACAGAACTACTGACAACTCCATCGTCTTGTGCCATTCGGCTTCTTGTCTCACATATGCTTCGTAGACGTTGTCGCATTCGGCTGCAGCGTACACCTGGACAATTGGCGGCGTGCAATTTGAAAACGTCCGGCTCACCAACATTGTGCGGTCGCTCGGGTTTCTCTTGCTGAATCCGGTTTACGTGTACTATGTCGTGTACCTGAGTATGGCCATCTTGGGCTTTGCCGGCCACAACTTTTTGTTTGCGTTTCACCTGTTTGATATTCTCCTGCGGTACGTTCATGATGACGAGGATTACGTCATCAATATTGTCGTCTGTACGAACGTGATCACGTCATCTTTTCAACACACGATGTCACATGACGGCATCCCTCGGGTTGGTCATCAAACGTGTTGCGCCTGTTTCGAACAAACGATTACGTACCCGTCTCGTGGTCTACTTGGATGACGTCATACTCAACGTGATGACGTCATATTGAACGTGATGACGTCATCCCCGCTTGTGTGGTCGATCATTTGATCACGTCATGCGATGCCGTAGGTTTCCCGAGCTCACGATCATCGTGCACGCAGTCGCGTGGCCGTGGAAGAGCCTCGTGCTATCGTTCTGCCTCATGATGATCGCCATCTACATCTTCGCCATCGTCGGCTTTACGTACTTCCGGCACCAGTTCCCAACTGTAGCGTCCAGTGTCGTCAACTCCACCGACGCGGTCGCCGAGTGCGGCATGCTTCTGTCGTGCTACTTGACCACGTTCGACCAAACGTTCAAGAACAACGGCGGCATCGGTGCGTCTCTTGTGGTGCTGCCACGTCATATATTAGGATTACTATGTACTGATATGTGGAAATGTTAGGTGCCCACCTGGCCACTCAAACCCCCGACGACCTCATGAATTGGGGGCCCCGCCTCGTGTTTGATAATTTGTTCAATATTGTGATCCTGCTGATTATTGTCAATATCTTCTTTGGCATCATCATCGACACGTAAGGAATTGCATATATGAACCAGAGGGTAGAAATATGTAGGAACTAGATATGTAGTTTTAAAAATATATTATTATTTTTGGAAAACATATATATATATATATATATTAATCCTGGAATTCTATTGAAAAATATATAATAGATTCTGATATTTTGTGGTTGGTTATTCTAGGTTTGGAGACCAGCGAAGCCGCATGGAAGCACGGCTGAACGACATTGCGGGGAAATGTTTTATATGCAACCTCAGCCGCGAGACATTTGATCGGTTGGCACCGCTCGGGTTTGAGGTTGGTCCTCATAGTAATAATATGTATATATATATATATATTTCCGATTGACCTTTTGGATATATATATATAATTTTGGTCCTAGCATCATGTCAAGAACGAACACGATTTGTGGAATTATGTGTTTTTGGTCGCGCATCTGCGGTTCAAGAGCGAGACCGAATTCGACGGCGTCGAGCAATTCCTGTGGCGATGCATCCGCCACGATGACTACTCGTTCGTTCCATTGTATCATGCGCTGGCCCTGAAGAACACGCTTCCCGACAAGCAGCATCGCCATGGCATCGTGTAGGGTCGTTGACAGGATAAATATTTTGAATAGAAATAGAATATGTTACTTTTATAGTTAATAAAGGATCAAAACGACTTTAGCCATAGCATATAATAAAGAAAACGAAGGAAAAAATACATTAACTATGTATACATAACGTTATTTAAAGTGTTTTCTATGGGAAAAATCCTTTACCAATTGACAGAGGTCTTCATAATTTAATGCACTAGGATTTATTCATAATTGAAGCCATTTCGATTTAAATGAGTGATTGTATTGCGTTTCGACATAGCAGGGATTTAAAATATTCGTAATTTAATTGTCAATTATTGAAATAATAATTGTACGCATGTACAAAAGATATAAGATCAATTATTATTGGTGGGCACAGTGATAAATTCCATATTTCATTGGATCGCGCAACCCATGATAATCAATAATTGCAATTATCGCGCAACCCATGATAATCAATAATTGCAATTTACCAGCGCCTTGCAATCAATGTTATTCTGTGTTTACAGCGGTCGACAACTTGGAGTATTCTGTTAATCACAATTAATTTATTTTCCTGTGCTGGGCGTCGACAACCAGTCATTTTGAAAGAAATCACCATGGATGGCTCTGTGCTATGGATATGGACAGCAAGGAGAAAACGCGCCGTCGGTGCTTGTAACAACACTATAAAACTACCAAACTATCCACGGGGATTGTGTCATTCGTATCGCTCAATAGAATTTCCGTCGCAACCAGCATGGTGAAATCCAATTTCAACGGATGATCCATTTGAAATAGCATGACTAGGTACACTCAACATCGGCATTCTAATGCTAGCGAGAGACGGTCCTGACTGAGATGCTAGCCTGGTCTCTCGTCGGTCATGTGGACTACCATCAACTACCGTTGTAGTCACACTCAATCCTGTACTACCCGTAGCCGCCGTGGCCTCTGAAACGCAATTATGAATTTGCTACATATTTCCCACATCTGCGCGATTCGTAAAACCGATCACAAATCTCGTCGCGATATTTGATTGGCTTTCCCCATTCCGCAGAAAGCACGAAGAAACAATATAGCCAATCAGCGAAGAGTAATTTCAGATTGGCCAATGGGGGCGATACCATTATTTTCTTGAAGGGTTAGCATATAAAGTTGTTTATTGACAGCTCAATTATCCGGTCATCCGGATAATTGAATTCCTGCCACATTGGATGACACGAAAAAGAGATGGGAGAAGCGGAAGCCTACATCCAACTGCGTTTGGCGGAGACGTTGTTCCATGAGGTGGAGAAGCTCGAGAACGAGCTAGGCAGCGGCAGCCTCCTCTTCCAGGAGAAGCTGACCGTGACGATGGAACGTCTGCACAAACTGAAGGCGAACCCGGCGCTGTCGGACCTGTACAGTCCCAATGAATCAGGTCACGAGCTGCAGACGGCCCAGCTGCAGTTTCTCCTGATCGACTACTACCTGGGCATGCTCGCACAAAAGATCAACACGATCCATGTGGGTGGTGGAGAGAATGATCGAAGCGCGTTCGTGCTGGCGCGACTGAAAAACCTCACGTACGCGTCGGCGCTGCTGGACGCGTTCCTGGATCAATGTGTGGGCGTGGAGTTGCTCAAGCGTTCGGAGCGCGCGGCGCAGCTGAGTCAGCTCGAGGAAGGACGCAAAGAGACCCGCGAAGACAAGATCCGCAAGTGGCAGCTCGCGCAGGAAGCCGACAAGGCACTTCAACATGTGTTGTACATTCGCTCCAAAGCCAAAGACAAGGACGACGTACGTACGTACGTTTCAAGACAACTCCTTTCTCATGCATGCACATGACATATAGGACGACGACTTGGAAGACATTGAGCGCGAGTGCTTGTACAAGTTGGTGCAAGTCGCGATCTTAAAGAGCATGGAGGATCAAGCGGCGATGGCTAGCGAAAGTGAGATGCTGGAAACCATGGTAAGTCATCGTTCAAGCCATGGGAAATGACGGACTCATATGCTGCTGCCACGTATGTAGGTCCAAATGGCCAAGCTGAGTACGAACCAAGTGTTCAACGCGGCGGAGCGGACGCCGCCGTCGCAAGGCCAAGGCATTGTATGTAAAGAAGCGAGAACTTCAACAACTCTGAACCATGCGGTAGGAAGTGACGCACATCAACCCAAAGATGGAGATGAAGCGGGAAGTGATCCGGGGCGATGTGTTCCAGCCTGGCCATCGGCTGCCCACGATGTCGCTCGAGGAGTATGCGGACCGAGAGCTCGACGATGCATTGGCGCGTCAAGAAAAGGAAAAGTACGGATGATATATATCACTTTGGAATGGATGGGTTGGAATGGTGTGGATGATGTTTCGTGACATGACCACATTGCCGTATATGGTTGGAATGACGGGTTGGAATGAGATACATGTCTCATTTTCAATGGGCGTAGGAATGCGCCGGCGGGACCCCGTCGCATCGAGCAATTGGAGGAAGATGGCGACGAAGATGACTTGGGGCTGGTGGACGAAGCGACCGCCCGCGACCGCGCGTGGGACGACTGGAAGGACGCGAATCCCCGCGGCATTGGCAACAAGAAGGGCACCCAGTACTAGTACTAGTACTAGTAGTAGCTACTAGGACTTGTATACTAATAGGAGGTACAGTGTATTGTTCCTACTGTACTACTATTGAAGGGCTATTGTTGGATTACATGGTGCAAAGTGAGGGAGAGTCGACTTGGTTGTCAGACAGTATAACTTTCTGGCTACATCTGTGAGGGCGCCACGTCATGGCATTGGTACGATATCGTTTCTCACTTGGATGACCTAACCCAGATTGAAAATGTGTTGCTCCAGTTCATAAGCGGCGTGGATGCGGTCGGCTTCGAGTTGTCTGGCCACTTGCACCTACATATTAACTTGCTGAGCAACGACGGAGATATGAGGACTAAACCTACCTTTTTGTCGCCGATAACTGTAAACGCGTGCATGTGGGCGTCCTGGAGCATGTCCAGCTGCGCCATGCTCAGACCATCCAGCTCGTGCAGGGCAAAATGGGCAAGGGAAATCCCCATCGTTCGAAACAATGGAAACGTGTCGTACAAGACGTCTGCTTCGTCGTCCGTCACGTCCTTCTGGCCTTCGTCGTCGTCGTTGTCAGATGGAACGTTCGAGTTGGGCTTCACTTGTGCTGTGATACTGTGTTGAGGAGATGGCGGCTTTTGCACGCAAACAACTGTAGGCTCATCTGTAGAGTCTTCTTTGCTATCGTCCGTGAAATGCTTGGTGACCAGGGAATCCTTGTTGGCGCCTGCTGCTGATGTCCTTTGTCGATTCGTTTTGGCCTTGCTTTTCTTCTTCTTCTTCGTAGAAGCGGTGGTGGTGGTGGTGGTAGGGATGGCGGGTGGTGTGCTGGACACGAGGCACTTCGCTTTCGGTTGTTTATGTGGCGTGTCTTGTGTGAAATAACTCGACAGCAGCAGCTCCTGGCTTCGCTGGTCGGCTGCGGCCTCGAGAAGTACCCACGCATGCTGCAGCAACTCCAGTACCTCGGATGTACGCGTCGAATGGTTGGAGGACCCGTTGATAGCTGTGGCCAAGTCCAATGCTGTCAAGCCAAGGCGGTTGCGAATACTGCTGTCCACGGATGGCGCTATTGCAAAAGTATCGATGGTTTCAAAACAATGTATACTTCCTCTGGTTACATGTATTTTGAATTGACACAGCCTCACTCAATTTGGACGAATGATACAGGGAATTGCATGAATTTTCGCAAAAGATTGGTTTATAATCAGCACTTAAAGCAATTGTAAGCCAATGAAATGTCATAAATGTTCGATATTGAGAGATTTACAGCCAATGAAATGCAAATGTCGCGAGTAACTTGGAACATGCGAATTTTGAAGTAACCTGGAACAGAGAAAGTAGGTTGGATGATCAAATGTCTACGGCAATCGTGGGTAGTCTTTTTGGTGCATGTGTGAATAGTAAGTACCGTTGAGAAGGATACGGACGACATTTGGACGACGGCTCTGAACGGCAAAGTGCAATGCCGTGTTGCCGTCGACGTTGGTGGCGTTCAATGTGGATGCCACGTCACGAGTGGCCAGCAATCGCCCAACCAGTTGGACAGCTTCGTCTGGTGGGGAATCGCAGGCTTCCTTTGCAGCACACATTAGCGCTGTGACGCGGTCTTTGTTTGACGCGGTGACGTCAGCTCCGTGCAGCAACAGAGCGTTCACGGCTTGGACACACTTGGTGGTGCAAGCGACCATCAGTGCTACGACAGGACGTTTTGAAGTCGAACTATGAAGGACAGGGACAAGTACGGGTGTCGCCGTTGGCGTTGCCGACGTTGATCCATGGCTGCCACTTGTCGACGTCAGCTTCTAGCAGCAACCGAAGCACATCGGGCTAAACACAGGCGTGGTAACTTCAACCATCGTGGTTGAGGGCGTACGTACGTGTGTGGAGAGTGCGGCAAAGTGCAACGCATTGTTTGCATTGGCGTATGTAGCCGCGGCTATATTGTTGGTCCTGGCCACCAGTTCATGCAGCAATGTACTTCGATCTACACATACTGTCAAGACGGCGGCAACTGCGAGCGAGTTGTTCAATGGGATTGGTACCAAAGGCGCAGGCAGTGATGAGCAGCGTGCATCCCTGGGCGTTCGGGAGGTTCATGTCAATGTTGTTCTCCCTGATAAACTTGCGACATTCGTCGTCGTCGCCTGATGATAGCAGTCGGTGTGCCTGAGCTTGTGCCTTGTTGGGCAGCGGCGATGGCAGCATTTTGGCGAGTTTGGTATCTCGTCTCTGATTGGTTCCCACAGAAACACATTCTGATTGGCCACAAAAGAGTCGTTACATTCTATACAAAGGGAAATTTCCTAAGTATTCTAGACTTTGCACACAAGAAAACCCATCGTCAGGATGTACGTATAACATTGAGCACCCTTTCGAGCGAGCTCAGTTCGCATGCATATTTGAAGGGTATGAGCGACATGATTTGATGGTGCTGCCTTGCCTTGTGTGATAGCACGAGCAACTGCTCGCTTACCTCAATACAGCTAAACGTCACTTACTGTATTGAAGGTGCGTACAGCAGCATTGGATATATATTTGAATCCCACTTCAGTTTCACTTGGGAAGTTTCCCATCAAAGAAGTGTGTCATGATGTTGTATCTTGGAACGTTTCAGGTGGTACTCTCGGTCTATTTTGATCCATCCCATCCGTGCGCAGTTCAGTCCTCGGTGACATGAGTCGGGAACTAGATGGGCTATTGGACATACTAGCCAAGATCAATGTCGAGATGGGCGGGGAGGAGACCCGGGAGAAGAAGGGGATGAAGAAGGGCGACCGGTTCGGCGAGCTTCGCGTCAAGATCAGCGAGCGGCTGCATGCGCTAAAGATCGTACGTGACCCCATCATGCTATTATCCATCTCGCTCTTGATGGACTATGCTCACTGCCATGTAGAACTTGAACGACATTTCGCAGCCCGTGTCGACAAAGAAACCCATGCATCCGCGTGAGAAGATCCAGCAGCAACAGGCCATTCGGAACGACCTCCAAGGCCTGGAGGAAGATCTCGAGGAGTTGCGGTCTGTCTACGACGCCGAAGCCAAAAAGAAAAAGGTATGCATGTTCCCCCCTCCATGACGCCATGACGATAATGGTGAATTCCGTAGAGCAAATTGACCAAGGAAGAGCTGCAGATCCGCAAGGATTTCGTCGACCAGTACACGTCCGAGCTCGAATTCGTCAAGGAACAAGCATCGAACGCGTACTTGAAGGCGTCTCCGGCCGGTCGGTCTCCCCAGGGAGGTGCGGCGCATGGTTTTGACCGCGCCGCGCTGTTTGGGACGTCCACGGCGGTGTCTCCGTCGGCAGGGCAGTCGACATTTGCCGCCGGATTCAACGGAAACGGCAAGACGAATGGATGGACAGTCGGTAGTGGCGGCGGAAGTGGTGGTGGTGGAGGAGACGTGCATCAAGAAGAAATCACCACAGAACACCGAGATGTCATGCTCCAAATCGAGCAAAAGGACCAGCACCTCGTACGTCCATCCTGCTGGCCATGTACATATAAGAGCACACATTTGGTAGGATGGCCTGGTGGACCAAATCGGCACGGGCGTGATGGAGCTGGGGCAGCTGGCCCGCGGGTTGAACGAAGAACTTGTCAAGCAAAACATCATGCTGGAAGGCTTGGAGGAACGAATTGACAACACGAGCAACAACGGTACGATCGAGAGTGATGTATGTTTTACCAGAATGCGTGTATCACAGTGGAAAACTTGAACGCCAAGATGAAGAAAACCCTCACCGAGATGGGGCGGTCTGGCGACAAGTGCATGATGGACTTCATCTGCCTCGTCATCTTGCTTGGCATCCTCGCGGTCGTGTACAACATGTTCGTCAAGAAGACCCCCGCCACAAAGTAACTACTTGTAACGAACATGCGATCAACACTCCTGGTTGAACCTCCGATCAACACTCCTATATGATGAGGCCGGGGTTTCGGGGTTTCTCGATCGATCCACCTCGTCCAGTATAGTACTCGGAGTTCTGCACTACTTACTCTATGGCGCGAAGGTGTACGTTGCTAGGTACAAAACTACGCTGTCCAAATGTATTTGGAGAGGAACGTGGTGATCGGAGGGTACTTTAAGCTGAGCATGTGACTGACGTCTGGTTCGTTCCCTATGGTCTTGGATATGCAATACAGAGCTCCGTGGGAGATGTGGCCATGGGGACGCCATGTGAACCGACGACGGGGAATCTCAAGTATCTTGTTAAGTTACAGGCGGTGGACGCATCATCATAGGAACCATTCCTGGAGGCGGGCCACGTGGAGGAGGAAACATGCCACCTACATGAGTCAACGTGGAGGTGAGGGGAATGAAGGGTGGAAGGTCGACGATGTACCCATCGGAGGAGGAGGTCGCATGCCCATCATCATGGGCGGAGGTTGCATGTTCATGCCCATGGGGTTTATACCCATGCCCATAGGAGGCCGCATGTTCATCATGGGCGGAGGTCGTGGCGCGCCGCCGCCGGGAGGACGTGCGGCATCGGGACGTAGCCATGCACCAGCTACGTAGTCGCAGATGAGACGGCGAGGTTATGTACGAGATGCCACGAGGAGTTCCATACGTGTCATGGTCGCTCCTTGGCCCTGGAGCATGGCTTCGTAGTAAAGTTTGACGTTTTCTCGATGTTTCCACCCGCGGTTGTGTTGCTTGCGCCCAGCTTGCTACAAACACACATGAAGAAGTCCGTTCCCTTCCCCATGGAGAACCCATGCATGCACTTACCGAGTCATGGGTCAAGTACGTATCGCAGTAGTCGCAGTAGTATCGCGGCATGCTCTCTTTCCTTCACCGATCTCGGCACTCGTCCGTCGGTGTGTTGTATGCCACACACAAAGTACCCCTCCAATTTGGACCAATCAACCTCAAACAAATTCCAATCTTTTTTACCAATCACAATAACCCAAATGAAAGACCAACATTCCTGACCTTCCATCGAAATTGGAAGCAAAATTGGGGATGTGTCATGCCGGATGATGCTACATGGACATTACATGGACATTGCTGAAAGCACCGTGATAAGGCCATATCCAGCAAGCCTTACATGTACTAACGATACGAGCCACCTCAACCTCCGCATAGTGGTATTGAGTTCCCTGCTCAAGAGCGCTACATTTGTGTTAGCACCACACGAGAAGTTCGAATGGCTATTGAGCTACCTACGCCATGCTCAAAACTATATCATGGAGGCGTTATTGATGGGGATAGAATATATTAAGCACACAGTCATCAACGAAGACTCTCCATTTACTCGTCCATGTCCGCGCCGTCGTCGCCTCCGACGACGTTTGTCTGTCGTTCCATATCTTGTGCGTTGAGTTGGTTGGCTTCCCGGACACGCGCCATGTCGGGTTTGATCAAGCTGATGTTCACTTCCAGTTCCTTCAAGTCCTGCGCCTTTTGCTTGGCCTTGCTGTCCTTCATGCGGTTCTTGTAGAAGGCGGCTTCGCGCTTCTCCTTGATCTGCGTCACACGCGCAATTGCGTGCAGCGTGGCGCCGACCAAGTCGCGATCGTATTTGACGGCACGGTTGCGCACCTTTTCGAATTCGAACGTCGAGTCCAACGCCATTTCTTTACCCGCGGCCTTGCGGAAGGCCTTGGTCCACTTGACCTTGCGCGGGTTACGCTTGCGGTTGAAGTTGCGATGGCACTTGGACCGGCAGAAGCGGAACACTTTGCTGTCGTTACGCACAAAGGTCATGCCATGCCCTGGGTACACCGGCGACGAGCAGAAGTAGCATGTGTGGATACGCATGACAGCGGCGGCAACGTCGAGGGATGTTCAAGTCTGAAAATGTACTCCACCAGCAATTCCACTCGATGCCACCACCAATACCCACCAATCAAATGGCTCGCAAATACTGTATGTTTGGATATAAAATCTGTTGTTGCGGTTTCTTCAGGATATAATATATAACAGGTATGGCTTGCCAAAGGATAATGTTTTGAAGTTGCCAACTCCCTCCGGATAAATTTACGTGGCACACGGAACACAGTACAGTATACCAATATGACACAGCAATAGTACCCCTTCGATCGATGGTGGTTGTGCCTTGCTTCTTCAGTAACGTCAATATAGGCTTGAGAATTGAACATGTTTGAAGTGGTTGTTGGCAAGAGATGAGACAGGACGTTACACGACGGTTCTAGCGAAACGCTCGGACGAAATGATTCGAACGTGATGCCCAGGGGGGACGGCGATGCGCAGCGGACGATGTCCAATGTCGCGAGTGAGCTGCCGTATGATATTGTGTACGCATCGTCAACAGACTACGCCCCGATCTTTCCCAGTGCGGTCGAGTTGATGCTCATGCAAGCTGCACCTGGTGCGTTGCCAGTCCGATGGATGTCGTCGAAATCGTGTTCGTATCCCCAAGAAATTGGGCTCATACTGTCAACGCGAGCATACGTCAAGTCGATCCGCATTGTCACACATTTGCTCTTTGCGCCGTCCAAAGGTACGGCGGCCCCACAACATGCCAGCTCACATGTCATTGCCGTCGTCTTAGTCGAAGTATGCGCGTCGGACGATGCCCGAGTGCAACGGTACATGGACCATAATACTTCCACAGGTGACCTGCAACTGGCCATGCAAGTATATTGCAGCACCGATTGTCCATCCTTGTGGTACGCTTAGCAACTTGTGTAGCAACGAAAAGATATTCAACTGGTCCGAGAGGGAATATGACTATACAATGTAGCTCCATGGACTGGCCGTGCGCTGGCACGAACGCGCGACCGACCGACATTCGAATGGACATTCACGAACCCCTCAACGTGCTCAAGTTTATGCTGCACGCTCCACGAGTAGTCGGGTCTAATCTATACCACCAGGTAACACCATAGATGTAGCTATCTATGAACAACGCCAAACGTTTACCAACTTGGGTGGGTGGCTAGGTCGCGATCTTTCAAATCCAAGTCCTTGGTGTGCCCTTACCCCAACCCCTCCACATCAGCAGTATTCCTCTTGTGGGGACAGAGGATGCTTCTTCCCCGTCGACAAACGAAGAAGTCTACCAAGCGCTGCTCGACAGCGCTGTGCCCATGGATCTCATCGCCCAAGTCTTGGACGTTGCCACTGACGTCGATGCGTACACTGCCAAGGCCGTCCAACATGCCACGATGGTCAAAGCTTCGTGTATTCAGCAAGACGACTACGACCGCGCCAAGGACCTGGCCACTCGGATAGCGTCGCTCATAGACTTGGGCAAGCAAATCCACGCGATAGCCACCCTTAAAACCCACGCCGTGGCCATGGAAGCGTTCGACCAAGCGCAGATGTACCACATGGTAATACCATGTTACACACAGGTGGTTCGATCCTCTCCTGACGACTGGCTTCATGCGACACAGCAACTGGAAGCATTGGCGGTTACAAGGGAGAAACGCATAGCCGACACGTTTGCTGTTTGCCATGCCAGCCAAACAAGTAAAACGACGGACACGTCAGTACTGGACGTACCAGTGGCACCTCCAGACCCATACATCGCCACGATTCACGACGTAGCTATCCGACGATGGCTGGTCGACGAGAAGAAGATGACTGGTTGTCCTGCATCGGGCAATAGTCGTCGTCGTAGTCCTGCCGATGCGTTTCTGGCTACCATGTGGGGACGAGACTTTATGGCTTGTACTGGTAGTCCAGTGTGGAACATTCGCCGCGCATGTGTTGAAATTGCAGAGCAGCACGTGGCGATCCTTGTCCATGTATTCGACGTGGAAACGTTGTACGAAATGTACATTGAGCTTGTGCGCACAACGTTCCTCGTCGATCCAACCATTCCCGTGCTCATCGCGACACTGCACCTTGTCCGAACCATGTACGAAAGGCCATGTATGCTGCCGCCAACCACAACCCCCGTCGGTCGTACTTCGAAGGGCTTGGGATTTGGTACGTGGGGGCTCCGAAGGGGGGTCCTGCGCCCAGGTATTGAACGTATTATCGACGCCATCTTCCAGTGTTCAGCGTACTTCAACACGCTGTTGCGGGAAGATTGCATCCGCACGGTGCGGTTCCTGGCCCAACAGCCCCACGTCGCAGGTTTGGCTTTGGAATGCACGTGGCAGCGTACCGTACAAGTCTCGCCCGGGTTTGAACGGGTGCTGGGGCTGACATTTCTGCAAGACCAGCTGCAAACCATCCTATGCTTGGCGATGGAATCATCTTTGTCGTTTAATGAGCCGTCCAAGGCGATGGGGCAGCTATACGAGGACATGTCGGCTTTTCTGACGTCCACAGTGATTACCACCGACGACACTGTTCGTGGCGCAGCGTTAGAGTGTCTGTCCCTTGTGCACGCGTGCCAGCAACGAGACTTCCGCGGCGTCGTCGCCATCTCTCGTACGTTTCGAATAGCTTGAGACAGTTTGAGGATGATGCTATCAACATATTTTGACTAGGCGAAGTCCATGTGCCGCTGTTTCGGACGTTCCCGTTCTCAGACTCGGAAGCAGATCGATTAGTAGACCAAGCCCAAGTGTTTGCCAACAGCCATCAACTGCCCGTCCAACTGGCCACGTACGAGTTGGACGCGCCTGGCTTGGACGGATTTCACGAGTTCCACCAACTCAAAAAAGGCACGGTCGCGTTCGCAGGACAAGTGTCCCCTCGGTATCTGGAATCCACTACTCGGGTACAACTGATTCCGACGGCGGCGTTGGCCAGCGACTTGACACTTTCAAACACGATCTCGTCGTCGCTACAACAAACACCTACTACTACTACTACCACTCGACCCCAGCAGCAGACAATCAACTGCTCAACCCCCCACTCCATTACACCGTCACAACCCCCGCTTACTACCGTTGAGGCAACCCCCAACAGACCAGTTGACCTGTCAATTCCTTCCCAGCCCAAGGAACTTCACCCCCGAGCGAGCCCTTCTCCGTTTCCACCAACGACTGTATCCCCCTTGCATCCATCGCAATCAATGACGTCGTTCCTTCCTGGCACAACAGCTGAGCCCTTCCCTTCGCCATCGGTGATCCCCTCCCTGACTTCTAACGACCCCTTACGTCTGGCTTTCGAGCTTGAACCATCGTCGCCAATGCCAGCAGCAGCTCCTGTAACTTTAGTCAGTGCACAGTCGCCACATTCCTCGCAGGATACTAGTCTTATCGTGGAAAAGGCAGTGTCGTCCCCTGTCAAACCCCTCGCCGGTCGAAAGAACCAGGTCGCCCCTGCGACAACGTTGGAAATTCCGCCCTCGTCTGTATCAGTGAACGGGACCCCACGGACGGCAAGGGAACGCATCGAAACACTCCAAGTGGTCGCAGAAGTTGCCAAGAAAGTTACCCACGCCGACGATAAAAAAGCAGGGTGTTCGATCTCGTAATGTCGTAATTCAACAACCTGATCAGGCAATCAACTCAGCTCTGGTGTTAACTGTTAGTCGAGTACTAGTCTTCTCGTCAACCAGCGTGGTGCCACTCGTCGTCGACTACGATTTGCTTATACGTGGCACGCTGAGACGCGGGTACACATGCCAAGAGCGTATCCGCCTTGTCCGGCCCAAGGTTCTACAAATAATAAGTATGTACATTCAATGCAATATACATGGAGACAACCCATTGTTGTTGGGGATATGAAGGTACTTGATAGAGGGCGACTGCGAATTGCGTAGCCACTTCGGTAACTTGCGTCATGGCATGGTCAAAGCCATTTTGCGCAGCAATGAATGTCACTATAGTCTACACGAAATACCATCAGGTCTTTACTAAACAATTGCAGTTGTTTACTGCAATATCGAATGGCTCCACTGGGCACTCGTACGCTTCAAGAAGTGCCGTGATCGCCTACAGCATCGTTCCATGATGAGGCGAAAAGGAACGAACGAGTGCTTACTCGCACGAGCCCATAGAGCAGTCGCCAGTCGACAGTGCGGACGGATTGAATAAACGCAAGAACACAGGCGAGGACAGGACGAGGGCCGACGACGCTGCGTGCAATCTATCGAGTTGGCACTGTGTCACATACAAAAATAGAAAACAAAAGTACCTCGAGCATCGCCACGCCAGTATTGTTGCGTACTTTTGACGACGGGTCGCCAAGCCGTTGGATAAAAATCGTCACCAGGGGCGGTAGAAATACCTCCTTCGGCAAAACAAAGTCCGTTCAAATGAATACAAAGTGGATGCAATTCGTGTACAAGTTGGTCTGCAACTGCGGCGCACGACGTGATGGCCACGACGACAAACGTACATCCCGACGCAAACGCCTATCCCCATGTTATAATATTGGGCCCTCTGTTCATTCAACATGTACATGGACGGGTTGTTGTAAAATGCCAGTCGTGAGCCATGGCAGCACTAATTTCTCGAGCGCAGAGGTCGACGATCCATTTTGAGAAAAGTGCCCAAGTGTTTGAATGGCGTGTACGATGGCGGCAGTTGCTGGCTCGCGCAACGTTCGATGGCGGCTATAAGCGCAGCAGAACGTGCGGCCGTCGATACGTGTGAGGATGCCACCGACGCCTTCACACGCCTAATAGCACCATCATATTATACAGTACAAATAACGTCGGGTATATATTATCCTTACCGCGGCTAGCTTTGGCTCGAGATGTTCTGGCTCGGATGGCTCCTCTGCAAGCTGATCGTCGTTTGCTTGTCGGCTAGTAGCCAATGCCGTAGCCTTCATCAAATCGACTTTCGGTGGGCTCCTACACTTGTGTTCCCTTCGTGTTTTTGGGCTACTCGATTTGCTTTCCTGTGGGACGAGTGGCGACAAGGCCGTCGCTTGAGCTGCTACTGCACACACTTGGGCTATGACAACGTCCATCTCGGCCTTGACGAGCGACGCGCCGTCATAGTTTTCAACCTGCAACACGCTGTTCTTTTGCAGATGCAGCCGCTCCAGCTGGGCGAGGCACTGCAGCACAGTTCGTTCCAGGTCCTTGGTATGTTTAGCCGCGGCGTAGTCTTCCGCGTCGACACATGTGGCTCGTTGGATGCGCAGTGCTTCGACGAGTTGCCGCAAACTCAGTCGAGTCCCAGGACGTGATGGATGGGGTATGTGATACAGTTCCAGCGATGCAGTGTCGCACTGTGTCCGAGGGCTGTTGCTGGCGGGGTGGTTGTTGTTGTTGGGCAGGTGCATGATCGGGTTCAACGATGGCAACGAAGTAGTCGTGTCGCTAGCTTTAGCAGGGGAACCCAAGAGGGTGATGTCCACCAGCCCCACCTGGGTACGTACGTACACGATTCGGCAATGTGTGACGACGTTGTTGTGTGTCGTACAAACGAGCGTACAATACATACCTGATCAAACACATTGAACCGATTGCGGTGGCATTGGTGCAGCGACAGCTTGAAATATGCGACAGCGCAGTCGATGGTGATGCACTTGAGTTCGCGCGCGTTGAAATTGGAAGATTCGTTCGAGTCCAACGCGACGTACCCGAGCTTTCTGAGCTTGGTCACGGCCGACTCGGCCACAAAGATGTCGATACGCGATGGAATTTTCGTGTGATGCACCAACACTTGCATCTACATTCAACACAGCACACAAGAACTCATACTGTAGTCATCAATTAGACAACCAAAGCCAGCCAAGATCTAGCGCAGTCAGTTGGCTGTACTAGTTGAGAGTCGATTCGTACTGTCGCAATGTGCACTGGCGTGCCGTGGTTGACCATAAGCACGACCTCTTGGGGGTATTCACAAAGCCTGAAAGCGTGTGTCAGATCTGTTGTAGTATGTACATCATATATGCAAGTGTGAGAGGATACACGAACAACTGACTTGGTGGATTGCCAGCCTGGACAAGACCTATCGCGGACTTGAAGGTGCAGCGCGGGGTGCTAGGTATGTATGTACATGTGACGACAGCGGAAGAAGGTTGGGCGAATCACCATGTCATCTTCGGACGTGGCGGCGGTGACAAGGAAGGGAACGCGGCAACCTGGCGCAGCAGCCGTCGAATCACCCATCGACATATTAGTTATCCCTTCGTCGTCCTCACTGTGCCAACAACAAGACGACGAGGCTGGCTATATTTAGAGTCACTATATCGACGAAATAGACTCTGGGCGACTCTCGATCACGTCCGTAGACCTAATCTCGACTACGTCCTGCGTCGTGCCACTATGGTCGTCGCCAGTATCCTGAACGTTGTCACATGGCGCGTCAGTTGTTGTTATAGTGTGACAGGTCTGGAGGTCGGCGACAACTTGCTCTGAAACGACTGGGTCGTCGACTACCTTGACGGGTCTCGTGTACCGCTTGGGCTTGGGCTTGCCGATACTGTTGGTCACGCGCAGTTTGGTCACGGGGGATGGCGTGCAAAAATGAAGTCGTGCCGGATGCGAGTCTGCCGATCGCACTGGGCTTAGCACTGCAGTGGCAAAGGAGGAAGAGGCCTCGGGCTGGCCTGCCAAGGGCGACTGGATGCTCTGTCGAAGGGCCGAAGCGGATGGAAGGACGAGGGTGAGGTTGGTGTCGGACGTGCGGCGCCGTTTTTTCCGCCGCTTGAGCACGGCATGCATGTGCTGCGGGAACTGCGTGGGGTCGTAATGGATGGCGGCAATGCCGCACTGCGCGGCTAGGAACACGTTGTCTTGGCAGTCGTCGATGAGCACTGTGTGGTGGCTTCGGATGGGATCGGCACTTGACATCGACGACGATGCTTCGAGGGCCGCAGACGCAACGTACGGGAGCTTGGTGCGTCGGTGCAGCACTAAATGATGGGAGTCGATGCCTGTGAACTGCACGGCGTCGTCTCGGGATAATGTCCATCCTTCGACATCGCCGCGAACGATGATCGATTCTGCATGTACAGTATTAGTGCTCACGATGAGTAAGGACGGGGAGGAGCAGGGAGTACGGACCAGACACGGAGGGGTCAAAGCACAATGACAAGACTTCGCGAATGAGCGGTACTTGCGGCGAAAATGTCACGACAGCCAACGACACGTGCGCTGCCAAGAGCGGCAACAATCGAACAAACAACGGGCTACCATAGGATAAGATCGTCGCCATGCACAATCGACGAGGGACGAATAGATAATAGCACCGCACCGAACATATGGCAGGAGCTCCGCGGCAGGGCGGGACCACGATCCATTCGTGTGGATCCGAAGGAACGTCGAGTCAAAGTCCACACACACCAAGCGACATCCGCTGGACACGAGAGACCGCATGACTTGATCCGCCAATAGCTTCAAGGACGCAGGATCCTCGTCATTGTCTCCTGCGATCATCAGCGCCGGAATAGCCTTCGTCCGATAAACCTGCTCGCCATCCCAAGTTCAATACTTTACACACACACACAACGCCGGTCGTGATGGTGCGAGGTCCACAAGAACATGTTTCCTTGCCATACATCCATGTCCACATGCCCATCAAACACTTCCAAGGAATATTCAAGACAGGTAAATCCCCATCTCCATCAAGAACACTGCTCTCATGCACACACATAGTACCTCGGTTGGTGTCGCGGCGGCGTTGATGATCAGTCGGTCGCTTCGTTTTCAAAATCCAAACGAAATGAAATTTGAGCCAATCAGAACATAGAAAAGGGTAATAAAAAAACCTCTCCGGATACTCCATATCATAAGAATAAACAATGAGTATCCGGATGACCCCAACAGATGTGAGAAAAGCCAACCCCATTTTTGAATTCCGACGGAACGATGTCTCGACTGATCACGCGGGGGTTCATTGGCACCATCGGGAACACGCCGCTGATCCGCATCGGAAGCCTCAGCGACGCCACGGGATGCAACATCCTTGCTAAGGCCGAGTTCTTGAACCCTGGCGGATCGGTGAAGGACCGCGCCGCGCTGTACGTCGTCGAAGAAAGCGAGAAAGCTGGCTTGCTGAAACCTGGGGGGATCGTTGTGGAGGGAACCGCCGGGAACACGGGCATTGGACTCGCGCATGTGTGTGCTGCTAAGGGTACTGCTCTTGTCTATCCACCTCTATGCATCTCATGGGGAGACTCAACTTGTGTAGGGTACAAGTGCGTGATTTTCATGCCCAACACCCAAAGCCAAGAAAAGATCCAAGCATTGCAATTCCTTGGCGCAGATGTACTGATCGAACATTGTGTCCTCGTATGGTCGTCTAATGCATATTGTGTAGGTGCGTCCTGTGCCTGCGGTGCCATTCAGTGACCCGCTGAACTACAATCATCAAGCACGCGATTACGCGGCGCAGACTCCCAACGGTAATAATCCTCCTCAACTATCTGTATAGGTTTGACGAAAGTTGTTTATATCTAGCCGTGTGGACCAATCAGTTTGACAATGTCGCTAATCGCTTGGCGCACACCAAGACGACTGGGCCTGAAATTTGGGAGCAGACCGAAGGCAACATCGATGCGTTCACTTGCGCTACGGGCACGGGTGGTACCCTCGCAGGTATGCCATGAAGCTCTTTCCACCTCGAATCTTACCCTTTCTCACGTATTGATGCATTAGGAACGGGCATCTACCTCAAGCAAAAGAACCCGAATGTGAAGATCGTCCTCGCCGATCCTCCTGGCAGTGTCCTCTTCAAGTAACCCATGTGTTTCCCATCCTTTTTGCAGCGTAAACGATGCCTATCCATCGTGTTTGTGTAGTTTTGTCAAGAATGGCGTGTTGGAACGTCAAGGCACGGGAAGCGTCACGGAAGGCATCGGCCAAGGCCGCGTGACCGACAACTTGAAGGACTCGCCCATCGACGATGCCGTGCACGTGGAAGACCACCGGTCCATCAACATGGTATATTGTCCTTTTACTCAAAACTTGGTTGACTTTTGTGCTGAATCGCCAAATTTATCGATCGATTATTCTATGTACTGAAGTTTGTATGTAAAGTGTTGTTTGTATTCACACTAATTTCAGTCACACACTAATTCGATATTGGTGATTGTTTGCTGCAATCGGATTGGTTCAATTCTTCTTTCGATGATTCTTGACTTTTGTGCTGAATCGCCAAATCCATCGATCGATTATTCTATCTACTGAAGTTTGTATGTAAAGTGTTGTCCTTAGGTGATTGTATTCACACTAATTTGAGTCACACACGAATTCGATATTGGTGATTGTTTGCTGCAATCGGATTGGCTCAATTCTTCTGCCGATGATTCTTGTGTACATGTATTTGGTTGTGTGTCGATTTATTCATTCTCCATGAGTCACTCCAGTTTAGAAGAAACTCAAAACCATATATATCACATCCATCCTCGATCATCATCTTCTCGTGTACTTGATCAAGCGTCTATGGTAGGTGTTTCGCCTCCTCAAGGACGAAGGCATTTTCGTGGGTGCGTCGTCGGGACTGAATGTCGTGGCAGCGTGCGATGTGGCCAAATCCATTGGACCGGGGAGTACCGTGGTGACGATTCTGTGCGACTCGGCGTCGCGGTACCAGTCGCGTCTGTTTAGCCGGTCGTGGTTGGAGTCCAAGGGGTTGTTTGATGCTGTGCCCGAAGATTGCCGCCATTTGGTGACTTTGCCATAGTACTGTCGTCTTGTATCAAGCGATATGCACTGGTGCTGGTGGGTATAGTATGTAGTAGTACTGTACATACTGGTGGGACGAGATGCTTTGGTTATAGTTTCTGACAAAACTAGACCTTTGATTTTCCATGTTATGCGTCGACACGTGGCACGGGCAGGTGCTTGATAGCACCCCCTGCAAGCCACGGATGTTGCATCGCTTGGTCTAGTGACCATCGGGTCGCGGCTGGAGCTAACAACCCGTGCACAAATTGTTTGGCCATCGGGGACACATGGTCACACTCGTCCAGCCTAGACAACAAATCATATGAGACTTGAGGCTCTTACGGACTCAAACGCCGCCACCGCCGACGACGAGATGGAGAGTAGAAACACATTACCCTGGCACAGCCATGTCTGGATTTTGGAGCTTGTGAGTGTACCATGTTTGGATGTTGTGAAAGACGTTCTAACATCAACATTACGACAAGCAACATGAGGTCGACACAACAGGTAAACTCGAAGGGGAGGAGGAATCACGTACGTCGCCGCGAAATGGCGTGTGTCCCACGAGTAGTTCATACGCGACAATGCCGACACTCCACACGTCCACTTCGACGCTGTACTCTTGATGGTCGACGATTTCTGGACTCATGTACTCTGGCGTGCCGCAAAAGTGGCGCCGCTTGCGATTCGGGGGCGGCGCATGGATCGCCAAGCCGAAATCGGCCACTTTGATCGTGTCAAGTGTCCCCAAGAGGAGGTTTTCAGGCTATGTTTGAACGTTTGAACGTGGATTCTACGTATGAAGAGGTGTACAACGCACGCACCTTGATGTCGCGATGGATGACATGCCGAGCATGCAAATATTGCACGGCGCGCACGACTTGGTGCACGAAAGCAACGGCAACGGCTTCTGCAAAGTACCCCCGTGGCTGGTCCGACAAGAGTCTTTGCAAACTGCCATGGGGCGCATACTCCAGCACCAAATACGCCAACGAGTCTTCGTGAAAGTACCGGTATAGCCGGAGGATATGGGGATGCTTGAGGCGCGACTAACAGCAATTATTCCACTTGCTCAACAAACGCTTAGCATCAGTCCGTACCTGGATTTCCACCTCCATTTTCAAGCTACGAATGCCCACTTCGTCCATGTTGGACTTGGTCAAGACCTGTGGGAAACACCACGTTAAAGATATATACAGAACGAAACAAATAAGGGTTGTTGTTGTACCTTGAGCGCCACTTCAGTTTCAGCTGCGGTCCGTTGCTTGGCCAAATACACGTACCCAAACTTGCCAAACCCGAGCTTCTTGTCCGTGTACTTGAAGTCGTCCAACGTGAATTTCGCTCTAACAGTTAATAGTTGTGTTGGCGCAACAGTAACATATGTGACTCTGTACCTTGACTTATCGTGGTTTTGCTCTTCAACGGAAGGGTCCAATGACGTCCGAAACGGCGCTCGTGACACGCTTAATCGCGAGCTCGACGACTTCCTTCGCAGCTGGCCCCGTGCATGGTGTTGTGGTAGTTCCCTGTCTTCGGGAATGCTGCTGCTCAGGACATCGTCGTCTTCGTCGTCGCTGCTGTCGGGAGGTTTGTTAGCAAGCACTCGAAGTGCCCCCCCGCCATTCCCACTGGTCAAGCTTGATCGACGCTTCGACGGGGTGACTTCGTACGATGCTCGTCGGTCCTCTGTTGGCTTCGTCACCACAGACGATGGAGCGTCCAGACTCACACGGCGGAGAACGCGGGTCGGGGAGTCGTGCTTTGCAAGGGCATCCAGCATGGCTTCGTTCGACAGCCGCCGCTTGGTCAGAGACGAATGAGTACTGTGGTGCACTGCCAATGTGGGTAACGAACTCGACCTCGACGTCAATTTGGATGTCGATGCTTCTATTGCGGTTGCGATGTCGGACTCCCAATGGGCTTCCCCATGGGACAGTCTCTTCTTGTTGAGGATTCGTCGGGGAGCATCATGAGTGTGTTCCAGCGACGCAGATCCAGTGTACGATGAAGCTCTGTCGCTTGTCTGGGTCGTATTAGTTGGGGAAGTCGATGACGCTTCACTTGCCACGTTTGATGCATCGGATGAAATGGAAGCGTCCTTGGATTCGTCATGCGACGAGAATGCAGATGGAGGAGGTGCTTTTGTCGATGGGTTGAGCATTCTTGCGTTGATCCTTCCACTCCTTGCAGGAGCGACAGCTACTCGAGGTGTTGATCGCGCGAGCGTCCCTAATGAACTTGTCCGCTTTGCTGCAACGATACGTCCGTTCGACGCATTTGAAACAACTAGCGGCTTACTCGCATGGGCATGCTTAAGTGTCGGCACCGTTTTCAGGGTCGACGGAGCCCGGAGTTTGCTCGTGCTCCCGTGTCCTGCTGCAACCTGTCCTTTCTTGGCTAGTGGACCTCCAGTGGCACTACATGCAGCCACGTTAACCACGTACATCTATCGAGAGAGTGATGCCATGTACATGTTCTTCTTCGAGCTGCTGTTTTCGTCACGTTTCCTCTTCTTCTCTTTCCATTCCTCGAGCTTCGCTTGCATGTCCATGTTGATGAGGGGTGACAAAATAAATGCTGCTTTCCCTCCAATTTAATTCTTCAACGCGAGTTTCTGGTATTATTTATTTCCCCAACCGAATTCATTTTACTAAAAGCAAGTTAAAATTCAAATCAAGAAATAAATTTGATTGTATTAATTTGTTTGGCGAAACTCGAGTTCGCGCCATTCTTGAATTTGAATTTGTGGCCGCAACATCGCCCGCGGACTTGTCGGCGCAAGACTTTATGAATGAGGGAGAAGGGAGTCCATGGAACATGCATGAGTCGACGTGACGAGCATTTCGCATGCAAGAGGCACTACTGCAAGCATGGTGATGGACCACAGGTCACGATCGAACTGCACCGATCGAACACTCTATTGTATATTGAATGAATCCATGTTGTGCAGCTTAAATCTCTTCAACATGCCCGTCGAATCCGTCAAACATGTCTTTCTTCCTCGATGGTGCCTTCGAGCCCGTTGGAGGTTTTCTCGAATAACTATGATGTGGCGGTGGTGCCTGATGTGGTTGACGGTACGGAGCGTGCACTCCGTTGTCATCGTTGTCGCTTGGACCAAACCCAAAGCTTCCGAATCCAAATGGACGCAACATTTCCTGCATGATATCGTCCATGCTCTCAAACGGGTGCGGTGGCTGGCCCATGAATCCGCCGCGGAATGGCGACATTCCACCGTCGTCATGCTGGATTCCGCCTCGGCTACGGAACAGCTGGAACGGATCCAGAACTGCATCATGCGAGTCTGAATCCGTGTTTGCTTCGACAGAGTTGTCTTGCGTTTGGTCTTTCACGTCCAAGATCAACGCGGGTTGTCGACCAGGGCATTTCCGAAAGATTCGGCGGAGGGTCTCGCACTGGCGATCTCCATTGATGCTCCGGCACGACGACGATATGGTGGTGGAATGCGTGCACTCGGGGTGCTCCTCCCGGTCCTTTGCCAACACGGCCTCGTCTGCTTCGCTCAGCCTCGGCATGGTGGCGTCGATGGTGGCAGTGGTGAAGCGAAAGTGTGTGTTTTTGTGTTCCTCTAACAGTTTATACATCGACGTTTCTTATTTCTATATGATACAAAGATTTGATTGGATAATATTCAGGGTTACTTATACATGATTGGTCATTATTTCGCCAATCAAAGCCGCGTTTCTTCAACGAGATACATTTGCTCTCATGCCACAGCAAGTTGAGCTCCTTGACGGCGGCACTGGCGAAGAGTTGTTCCGCCTTGGGGTCCCAGACGACCGCAAGACATGGTCGGCATATGCATTGACCCATGACGAGTTCCACGGCACAGTCGTCGACGTCCATCGATCGTACCTTCTGGCTGGAGCGACGTACATCACGACAAACAATTACATGGTGACGCCAGCGGGCCACTTTTCGCCCGAGGACATTCCCAATTACGTCAAGGTTGCTGGACAGCTCGCGCGAGATGCCATCAACTCATCGACTTGGAACAGTCCTAGGAAAGTGTGTGGGTCGCTGCCTCCGTTGTCGGAGAGTTACCGCCACGACCTCGTGCTCCCCGCCACCGATGCCATTCCCTTGTACACAGTCATTGGGGAGTCATTGAGTCCATATGTGGACCTTTTTTTGGCGGAAACCATGTCCTCGATCGCCGAAGCTCGCAACGCCCTGACAGGGGTCCAGCATCTCGGCAAGCCCGTGCTTGTGTCGTTCACGTTGAGGGGCGACGGCGTCCTTCGCAGCGGTGAAACTGTCGCAGATGCTTTGGCCATGTTGCAATCCATGGCGCATCCAGTGGTTGTCGGGGTACTTTTCAACTGCTGCGAGCCGGAAGCCGTCACAATTGCCTTACGATCACTCATATCGTCTTCGTTTGAGTTTCGGATTGGAGCGTATGCCAATGCCCTCACGCCCGTCCCTGACGGATGGGTCATGGAGGGTGCCAGTCCCCAGTCTTTCCGCACCGACTTGTCCCCGACCGAGTACCTCGAGCATGTCCAGGAGTGGATCCGTCTCGGCGCTTCCCTCGTCGGCGGGTGCTGCGCCGTGGGCCCGCGGCACATCCAAGCAATTCATGACGCCGTCATCGTGGGTGCTGTTCCCGCTGTACATGATGGGACTAGTGCTATTCGTCATGGCTAAGCACACTAGCATACACCTGACATGCATAACGTGTTTGGTGAAGAATAGTAGTTACTCCATAGTAGTGCCAAGTCGTTCAATATCGCATGGCTCAGAAATTTGGATTCGTGACAGGTTGGTCATTGTACTACTCCTGGTCCGTTGAGAGTAGTTGTAGTTTTTAAAAGCAGTCAACGTCATCGCATATTTTATTTGCCAGAACCAAGCATTTAGCACTTGGGTAGTTTGGTGGCCACCTCATATTGGACGTTTCATCGTTGTTACCCGCCAGAGATTATTGCGAGTGCCTTCGCTTCACTTTCCTCGCTTTATCACACACAATGGCTGCCCCGAGGGAGGGTATAAATTAAGGGCACAATCACAGTTGAACTAGTTGGCGAGGAGTTCCTTCAGTAGCCACATACAGCACGCGTTCACTTCTTCTGTCCAAATGTCTGGATCGCACGCCTTGGCTTGCATCAGAGTCGCCACTTGGTGCAATGCCGCCTTGGTCTTCCACTTGCCATCTTCATGCGCGAGGACCCGCAGCGCATCCGCGGCCGCCGCGACGCCGATGTCGTCATACGCGCTCTCGAACGCTTCCATGAACGACTCGAACGAGAGGCCGAGCGCCAGCATGTCCTGGACATCCAGGTCGTTTGTCGGAGGTGGCGACGCGGTCTGCACGAAAGCTCGGAACTGTGTGTGAAGGAGTGGCGTCAAGGCGTCCTCCATTGGTCCCTGTCCAGTGATTGGTCAACAGTGAACGTCAAACACGCAAATGCTGTACATCGTGGTCGGAGTAAAACGACGCTTGGCTGGCATGGGATGAGAGAAGCGATGTGTGGGATATGGCCGCCTACACACTCACGAAATGAGCTACAACGTACAAAGAAAAGTGTATTACCGGAAGCAATGGATGGCTGCTGTCACTGTGCACCGATGGGCTGGTGGAGCTCGCAGGTTTCTACCACGATGTAAGATCCTATTACTGTATCATGGCAGGACGAAGTAGGGGTCGTACCGTGTCACATATAAACGAGCTTTGGCTGTACTGATGCAGCAGCCGCCCCGACGACGATGACGACACGGGCGACGCCTCTGGCAGGACGTCATCTATCCTGGCATTTGATACGTTGTTGAAGTCACCAACACCCCCGGGCTCGTCCAAGGGGCGGACGGCGGCGATGTCATCGGAGTAGTCTATGGCGCAGATCAAAAGGTCGGGCGCAACGACGGCCTCGTTGGTTGATGAGATGTGTCTTGAGCTATCTAAAGCAGCACGTGGTTGATGTAGTCGAACTAGGAATCCCTTGACAGCTGCTTGAATAAAAGTAGCTGCGACGGTGTGCACAGTCGTGTCGACCAACGCGTTTTGGCTGCTTTGTTTGATTGGCACAGAGATTCGTACGTGCTTGCCCGCCAACAGTGTCACACACGCATGTGCCAGTCGCTGGGCCATATTCAGATCGTCATCTTGGTCCATTGATTTCATTTCCATGGGTACAAAGCAGGCGGCTTGACCGAGTCGACTGGCTATCGTTTGTTCGTAGGAATCCACAGAACGACACTTGCCAGCATCTAAGCACGCCCGTGCCAGTCGGTTAGCCGTGTCGAGTTCGAGGTTGTCATCTTGCCGACGACGATGCGACGCTTTCACCACTGCCGCTACGCATCCACGTTACCATGAGTTGATGGTCCAGAAGTAGACGATTTTGATATGTTATCATAGCTTCGTGATGAATCTATCTTATGGGATCGATGACTGTGTACATACCTTGAATCACAGACGCAGCCACATGATGGACGGCGATGTCGTGGCTGGTTGTGCTGGCCTGATTCAAACTCTGTGGATGGTCAGTAGTAGTAGCCCACAACAGGTCCCTGCCCTCGGCCATCGCGCTCGCGCTCGACACACAACGACCGGCTGCTATTCGATTCCGCAACTGGTGCAACAAGACTATCCGTTGGATCCTTCTGGCGGCAGCGTCAAAGCCAGCACGAGTGGCGAGGGCGAGCAGTCGACTCTGACGGCCACGGACGATGCTTTGTATGGCGGTGGCAGCTAGGGACTCGACATGTCTTCGCATGGCGCCGCCTGGCAGATCGATGGAACTTGATGGAGTTGAGCGAGTGGTGGACTTGTCCGCCACTGAAAGCTACACATATCACAACTTGTAAATGAAAAATGGAGCCAAAGTTGAAAAATACTAGAACATATTAATGGAATAAATAAAAATGACGAATATATTAGTACAAACTTTCTCGCAATTTGGTTCTGATTTATTTTGGTAGGTCATGTACTAGGGTGTGTGGTGGTGAAAGGCGAAGTGTCGAAGTTGGTGGAGTTTTACTCTCGTTTGCAGCGTCAAGCTGAATGCGACAGAGCATGCCGCGCACATGCTTCTGGATGAGCATGGCGCTTTCGATCACACAAGACTCGATCGCTAGCTACACAAAGACCGATGAGAAAGTCTCGACGAAAAGTGCCAGCTTTTTACTAACCGCGTGGTTCAATTCCGTGTTCACGTGAAGTTGGACGATGTAGCTGCGACACAGTTTGCGTGCGAATTGCGTCATCTCAGACGTTCGTACCGCAGCTCCCTTGTACACGCCTTCAAACCACAAACGTTTAAAATTGACTTCTTTTGACCAGTGTTGGTACCTTGAATGACGCCAGCGGCCAATTCTCGCACTTGTCGTGTTTGAGTTGCTACGGTCGTTGCTTGTGCCTGTCGAGCAACGTTCTCCGCTCGCAGCAACTCTTTCAACTGCCCTCGTTTGGCTTTCGCTTGAACTGCTTGTGTTTTCCACCGAACTATCCGTTGGATCCTTCTGGCGGCAGCGTCAAAGCCAGCATGGCTGGCGAGGGCGAGCAGTCGGCTCTGGTGGCCACGGACGATGCTTTGAATGGCGGTGGCAGCTAGGAACTCGACATGGCTTCGCACGGCGTCATCTACCGGGTTGATGGAACTCGATGGCTTTGTAGGTGATGGGAACGATCTGTCACCCGTTGATGCCTACACCAATACCGAGGCGAAATTAATACAAGGCGTCAACGTTGGCGGGTAAGGTGCTAACCAGGCTGGCTACAACGGGGTGCTTGTCAAGTGGTGGTGTGTCGGATGACTGGCTAGAAAACGTCGATTCACCGTAGCTGTGTGACAGTGATTTCGTCGAGCCCCCAGTCGTAGCGTCCGGTGGTGCAAAATGGGGTGATGACGAAGTTGATAGAGTTTTACTCTCCTTTGCAGCGTCAAGCTGAATGCGACAGAGCATGCCGCGCACACGCTTCTGGATGAGCACGGCGCTTTCGATCACACAAGACTCGATCGCTAGCTGCACGAAAAATGAGAAAGGCTAGATGAAAAGTGTCAATTCTACGAACCGCATGGTTCAATTCCGTGTTCACGTGAAGTTGAACAATGTAGCTGCGACACAGTTTTCGTGCGAATTGCACCATCGCAGACGTTCGCACCGCAGCTCCCTTGTACACCCCTACACATCACAAACACCCTAAGCCCATACACTCGTTAGAACTACTGTATCACGGACCTTGTATCACCCCAGCGGCCAACGCCCTGGTTTGAACTGCACACAACGCTTGTTCAGCATGCCGAGCAATCTCGTCTACCCGACACCTCTCTGCCTCTCGTTCCAGTCGTTCAGGTTCCACTTTAGCAGCTTGTCGTATCCTGTCGGTTTCCGCTTTGGCTACCTTGTCCAACTCGATTGTTTTTTGCCGTGACGCTTCGTTGATGATGGTGGCGTCTTGATGCCATATTTCTTCGTTAGCTAGTTTGTTCAACCGGACTTGGTCGGCTTCAGCTTTGGCTAGTAGTTCATCCATCCGCAGCCTTTCAGCTTGTAACTTCACCGCTTCATTGAGCCGCAACATTTCGGCTTTCGCATCTTCTTGCCGTCCAACTACTACTTCTGCCTTGAATTCTTGGCTGAGTCTTTCTGCTTTCAGTTCAGCAGCGACTTGATTTAACCGACTTTCTTTCTTTCTTTGCTCGGCGTTTGCAACTTCCTCTTGTCGTCGTCGGTCAGCTTCTTGGCGTGCTGCTGCTGCTGCTTCGACCTTGACCGCGTCATCCCCTCGCTCCCTTTCCATCTCCAAAGTGCGTGCTTCAAGTTTACGGATCCGTTCGACTTCAGCTATGGCCGTTAGCTCCACCTGCAGTCGTTGTGCTTCCAATTGTTCAGCCTTCATAACTTTGTCCAGCTGCCGCCGCCGCTGTTCAGCCTCGTCCGCTTCTGCTTTTGCTTTGGCCGTAGCTTCGCCCAGTCTTCGTTCCTCTTGCTCGCGTTTCATCTCGCCTTCGAGCGTCACTCTTCTTTCTGCCTCAAGTCGGGCGAGTTCTGCCAAGCGCCGTTGTTCAGCTTCAGCATAAGCCTTGGCTTGCCTAAGTCTCTCCTCTTCCAAACGTGCCGTCTCTTTGCGCAGGGCTTCGAATTTGGCTATTTCCAGCTCTATCTCACGCTGTCTTGCTGATTCGTCTGCCCGTGCAGCTTCCTCCAGTTGACGCCTAGCCTGTGCTTGCCTTATTGCTTCTTCACGCTGGTGTTCCGCCAGTTCGCGTAGCTTGCGCTTGTCTGCCTCGAGTTTGATCGCTTCAAGCTCAAGCCGCGTGGTTTCAGCTTTCGTGGCCTCTTCCACTAGCTTCCGCTCTGCCTCTAGTCGACTTGCTTCTTGTCGTAACCGCTCTCTTTGCACAGTGGCATCCAGCAACCTCCGTCGTTCCAACGCTACTTTAGCTTTGTCTGTCGTGATGTCTCCCGTCGTAGCAAGAGCCGTCGTAGACTCAATGTCAGCTCTATCATCCATCACCTGACTTTGCCCTGTCGTGCGGCTACATGCCAAGTCTAGGCTCCAAGATGTAGGCTGATCATGGGTACACCTTCGTCTTCTCTTTCTAGACCCCCGCCACACCGCTTGCATTCGCGTGGCCGCCGTGACGTGTATCCTAGCCACCTCCATGTCCATTCGCGTGGTCATGAGACACAAATGCCGGTCTCCTCCCCCCCGAAGGCGAGCTTGCAATTGCCGGGCCGCTTCGAGCTCCTTGGCATGTTGTGCATCGCGCTGTTTCTGGGCGACCGCCGAGCGCAGACGGACCAAGTGGCCTCTGCACAGCGCTTGTAGCCGCACGGATGCCACCCGCCGCACACGCTGCACGTCCATTGCCAGCTTGTGGCGGCGTGTAATGTCCACACATGCCGTGGGCGATACATTTGCATCAATGGAATGCTTGAGTTGCTTCAAGTAGGCCACGTGTGAGACGCGTTCGGGGACTACTACTGGAACGTCCTCCTTCACGACAGCCACTGCATCGAATGTACACGGAACAGGTGGGGTTGGTTTGATCGGGCGTCGGACGTCCACTCGTTGTACTGTGTCAAACACTTGCAACACATCCTCCTCGTCTTCGTCGTCGTCAAACACTTCGACCACGTCGTCATCGTCGTTGTTTACGGGACTTCGGGAGGCTTGAACTGCATGGCGAAGACGTTGCGATGGCCGGGCGCTTTTGGGTCGAAGATGGGCAAATGTGGGGGCGATCTTGGGGGGATCCACTGGTTTGGCTGTCGGAGGACGAGTCCGATAGAGTTTGGAGGGGGGGGCTCGCGACGGCAAAGTCGATATGGGGGTTCGTTTTGGCGGAGAGGTTGCGATGGAGAGGGGAAGGCGAGAGGAATGGTCGGTATTGTGCAAGGCGGATGCGGTTGCCTTTGGGGCGGCCGTTCGGGGGCGAGCGGACGTGGGCCGCGCTGCCGTCATGGGAGGCTTCGATGGCTTGTTGTATACTTGTTGGGCAGCCCCGTACGATGTCTTGGAGGTACTTGGCTGGACTTGCTGTCGATGTGGTTTTCGATTTCCGGGGGGCGTTGGAGTCGTAATCGTGGAGGTACCCGTTGCAATCCGGGAATGTCTATCAGAAACGGACAGGATTGAATGTGCATGAGACTAATCTATTGATTTAAGAAGGTTTAACGTACTCGAATGAAAACGACGGGTGACTAACTGACGATCGAGATGCCCTGGTTGTGATGTGGGCTGCCGATGGCTTTGTTGGCGATACGTGCGTGGCGCGGTGAGATTTCTACAAGTAGCCACCACCAGTCAAATAAACACACACGGTTCAAATGTCATACCTGTTTTGCCGCGTCAAACGTAGCTTTGAACGTGTGCCACAATTCTGGGTTGGATGTTTTGTACTTGAAAATCAATTGCAGCGCTTTCTTATACCACTACACTAACAGATTCAACACCACGAAGGTAATAACTTTCCGTACTTGCAAGCTGGCGTCGGCCTTTTCGTTGTGTTCGAGCTCCACGCCCATGTTGTGGTAGGCTATGGCCAATCCAACAATCTTTTCCTCGGTCGTCGTGGGGGTGTCCAGCAGATCCTTTGTTTCGTCGTCGTCGTCTGCCTCCACTTTCTCCACGACGAGCTCCTCTTGGGCGTGGAAGATGGCAGACTGGGCATGCTCCAGTGCTGTGTCGTGCCTACTCATGTATATGTTAGGAGATTCATCATATGATTGTGTTTATGAAGTTGGCACGATTGCTAAGCCACGATGCTGTCAGCAACGTACCGCCCCATCTGCGAGTGGATCGCACACAGGTTGAGGTACGTAATGGACAAGTTCTTCACGTGAGTGGTCTCGGCGCCGATGGCGGCTGCAGCGTCGAGGTACTTGAGTGCTTTGGGTAACTTATTCAGCCTATTGGAGCCAGGTCATTATTGGTACCTTGAGGTGTTGCGAAGGTACCGTCGATAGCAACAGCCGAGGTTGTTGTACGTGAGAATGCGCAGGGATTCAGTGTATGTGAACTTGTCCGATGATGCCAACCGGTCTGCTTTTTGTAGCAGCTCGAGGCACCTGTCGACGTCGTTCGCGCTTAGCTGCTCCATGGCGTGCTGGTTGTACAAGGCAACAACCTCCTGCAATGACCGATGGACGTCCGCATGCTAAGGCCATCGTTGAGTGACCGAGCAACGTAATGACTTAAAAGAAGGAGCACCTGTGGCCCCAGCAGTCGCCACTTGAGCCACAACCCTTGCTCGAGACACCCGACAGCTTCGACGTCCATATGCTTCTGCTTGAGTCGGCTGGCCATGTCCTGGACCATCCCCAGCAATGACTCGTTGCTGTCACATGCATTCATCTGGCCGTCATATGTGGTCACGCAAGGAATCGCCGCGCCGTTGTCCGTTTCTGCTATGATCTACGAGGAGTAACTGTCAATTCGCACGGTTTCGAATTCATCAATAAGGCAATTTAAAACAGTGGATAAGTTTTTGATTGGACAAAATGCAAAACCATTTGAACCAATCCCTTCAATGGATGCTTTCGATTTGGCGGCACCTTTCGCGAACATGACTGGCGGCGTGAAGACAGGCCCTGTGTATGCGTTGGGGATTGAAGGCAGCGCGAATAAGCTCGGCGTGGGAGTGCTGATCCTCCATCCCGACGGTAGCTGCGAGATCCTCAGCAACCCGCGGAAGACGTACATTCCTCCGGCAGGCCAGGGCTTCTTGCCGCGCGAGACAGCGTGGCACCACCAGGTTCACTTTGCGCCGCTCGTGCGTCTAGCTCTCACGCAAGCCAAGATCAAACCGTCCCAGTTGCACTGCATCTGCTACACAAAGGGACCCGGCATGGGTGCGCCCCTTCGTTCCGCCGCCGTCGGCGCCCGCATGCTGTCGCTGCTGTGGAAGAAACCACTTGTGGCGGTCAACCATTGCGTGGGCCACATTGAGATGGGGCGCGCTGTGACCAAGAGCGACGACCCCGTCGTGCTATACGTGAGTGGCGGCAACACGCAAGTGATCTCGTACAGCACGCAAAAATACCGCATATTTGGCGAGACCATCGACATCGCCGTGGGCAACTGCCTCGATCGCTTTGGTACAACACAATGATGCCCCATCTATTCTAATGGATTCTCTCACTCGTATCGCTTGCCTAGCGCGGGTGTTAAACCTGTCAAACGACCCGAGTCCGGGCTACAACATCGAGCAACTCGCGAAATCGTACGCTTTGTATTTTCACTTTTTTTTCGCCTATTGTTTGCACCCTGTCTCATATTTTCACCATTTTTGATCAATTTTAAATATAGCGGCACCAAGTACATTGAACTGCCATATGTCGTGAAAGGAATGGACGTGTCGTTCTCGGGTCTGTTGTCGTTTATTGAAAAGGAAGCCAGGTACAGTAGTTAGTATGCATCACGTTTAGTTACTCCAACTAACGTTCCTATAGGCAGAAGCTGGCCACAGGTGAATGCACCAAAGCTGACCTGTGCTATTCGCTGCAGGAAACCATCTTTGCCATGCTGGTATCCTCCCCCCCTCAGTCCCCATATTGTGAATAGTATAAACTAACTTGAGTCGTACTTAGGTCGAGATCACGGAACGCGCGATGGCGCATTGCGGGCAGAGCCAGGTGCTGATCGTCGGCGGCGTCGGATGCAACAAGCGGCTCCAGGAGATGATGGAGCTGATGGCCGCAGATCGCGGCGGCAGCGTCTGCGCGATGGACCACCGCTACTGCATTGACAACGGCGCCATGATCGCTCAAGCCGGCGCCCTCCAGTTCCAATCGGTCGGCCCCACGCCCCTCGTTGACTGCACGTGCACCCAGCGGTACTTTACACCAAGGACAGGATTCAAAACCAGTGTTGATGGGGGATGTAGGTTCCGGACGGACGAGGTGGACGTGGTGTGGCGCACCACCTAGATCACATACTAACTAGTAGGGGCGCGACCAGGGTACAGTAGTTCAGGTTTAGAAGCGTTGAATAATCTACGCAATATACATATTCCCATACTAGTTTGAGCTTTTGAAAATCAGAATACGCCAAGTGTAGTACTGTACTACTGTATTAATAGTAGAAGTCGTGTGTGCTATCAACGAATAGTTGGATAATATTAATACTTCGAGTAGTACAGTAACGTTAGTGCAATGCTGGGACAAGGTCGTAAAATTTTAAAAAAGTGTATTTATATATTTTTTGAAAAAAATAATATATTGTTTTGAATTTACTTCTAAATCAAAACATTATTTAATAAGTTATTTGGAAAATATATCAAATATTTCTTACGATGATTAAGTAGTACTATACGTATAGTAGGCATGACATAAACATTTAAGTTAGTACGGATACTAGTACAGTCCGTAAAGAAATGATAGTCGCACCCTAAATTTTTCGAGTTTGCAAGGAGTACTGGGACAAGGTCGTAAAAATTTAAGAAGTGTATTTATATTTTTTAGAAATAATAATATAAATATACATTTACTTATACATTCAAAACAATATTTATCAAGTTATTTAGAAAATATATCAAATATTTCTTACGATGAATAAGTAGGACTATACGTATAGTAACCATGACATCAAAGTTTAGTACGGATATATATGTATTAGCTCGATAGATGTTTTAGAACGTGCGGCGATCGTGGGGGCCCAGTGGTCTGGTCGTTGCGTTCATTGGCCCAGTATCTGGCAAATCTCATTGCGGCGATCAGCTTGCTTGAAGCTGCGTCCTGTCGTTTCTCAGACGGTCAGCCAACCTCCGAGTCGGTGGTAGTTGAATGCGGACATTCGATGTCCAAGAGTCCACGTACGTTGCCAAGCCGGTCGTTGTGGCGGCGACGAGGCTTTGCTCGGTCTATGGTCTGATTGATGTGACGTCTCCTGCTGCCGTCGACACCTCAAGTCAAGGGGTGGCAACCGCTTAGCTCCACTAGCCAGAAACACACATATCGTCTATGGACGTACCAGTCCACGTTCGCCCCCACAGGCCCGTGAGAATAGAAAGATTGTTTAGTCGAGATTGTCACGAGGCAGTGTTGACCCACTTGACTGAACACTTGGCACTTGTGTGCGGTGTTCACAAGTGACGCGAGGACGACGCCGGTAAACGGCTCGAACGCCGCCCCGCTCATTTTTCGAGACGAGCTTGAGCTCGGTGGGTTGTTAAGTTAATGTGCTGGAAGATCTGAAATTCTCATGTGACACTGGGAATTCTGAAAAGCTATTAATAGAACTTACCAGCTACCTTACTGTAACAAGTACTTCGAAGTACTACCAGTAGTACTTGGTAGTAGAACACGTTCCGTTTAGACGGTGGTTTAATATGTGGCACTTTTGATGTAGTACATATTGTGTTATGACTGATATACTACCGGTACTTAGCTGCATCAATTGAGCATAGTGGAGCACGAAAAGGGCGAACTTGCGTGGCTTCATGTGAAAGTTCTCGTGCAATCGCATGAGGTTGAGCATGACGACTATACGCCTATCTTGCCGACCAAGGGCACATGTGTCGTGTTGAATCTACAAGTACATACACACACGTCCGAAATATACATTACGTTCGATGAGGATATATATATATTCTATAGTTGACGATATATATATATATTCTCGGTGTCGTTGCAATTGTGGAGGTGATGTTCCAAGTTCTTGCTACTCCCAAGGTGGGTGCACGGGAGAGTGCTGGATGCCATACACTTGCGGGTCGCGGCTGTTCGTCGGGTTCTTGGAGGAACGTGCGATTTGGTGGATATTGCGCAAGAAGGATTCTCGGCGCCGAGGTAGTAAGTATGCTTTGTCCATCCCCATTGCGCGTACTTGTATCTTCATTGACCAGGAAGCTCATCCCCCTCGAGGGTAGTGATCCCATGATGGATTATCGGAGCATAGCACCTTTGGTGCGTCATCACCATTGAAATCAAGTCGTTTCTATTATATTTTTTATATATTACTACAAGGTAAGACTTCAATGAACCAGCTAGAGATGGGTTTTGGCTATCTTGATGGTATACACAAGGTTCACTCGGGAAGTAAGTGGGTCTTTGATGGCGTTGCTTGGCAAGTTGCTGACTGTGGGTAGGTTACTTGACGTTACTGTGGACCCACATATCTTTGTGGATCTCGTTAAGAGAACAGAATCGATTCTATTCGACCATGGGGGAGTCACTACGCTGTTCATTCTACTGGCCAAGTACAGCCTAATGTCGTTTGGGCTTCAATAGTACGTTGGTTACGATGTTGCTATGTTTGGAGGGGCAACTTGGAGGCCAATTTTGTACGCCGATTGCTTGATCGGAGTTGAGTTGGCGTACAAAATGTCTGCCGTGGGAATGAACCATGCGGGCTGCTGGTCCTGCTGCTCCAACGTCGTCTGCGACACGGTATCAGGATAATGGGAATAATGGAGCAGATTTGTCGTACATGTTTCTTTTGGTTGGCGAAATAGACCTACAACGAAGCATGAGGACATGGAAGGAGGGGTCGAAACGAACGTACGCGGCGCAGGTCCGCGGCCGACATGGCGCGCGCTTCAAAGTCCCCGAGAACGATAGACGAGCCAAACTCGTGGTAATAGCGGGCATCTTGCAACTTGATCTCCTAACTCGTCCGTCGTCACAGCCACCTCATGAACTCGAGTGAAATACAGTATACCTTTTCATCGAGGCGAGCAAAGTACCTACAAAGGACAAGGAACCCGAACGGCATCACGCGCTAGAAGGATGATGTAAGGCAAGGTACTAGCTCAAGGGATGTATGGGCTCGTACAATTTTCACCGACAGCTCGACCTCCCCCAGGTCGCGGATGTCGTCTATGAACAACAATGGAAGTCAACGATGAATTCGATATGGTACATCATCACATTACCTTCGAAGAGGGATACGTGGTCATAGAACAAGATCGCGGTGTGCTCTCGCAGCTTCTCCAGTGGAATGTCATCGTGCGTTGGCTCGATCGTGCTAGTCGGATGATGGCCGTTCTGGTTGATCTCAGCGATCGAACCTTCATACTCGCACGAGTACATGACGTCGTACGATGTCAACGTGCTGTGAGCGTCCTGTCGTTGGTGTTGCGCCCAAGTCATCAATGCATCGTGGGCATTGAACGACACAGTCCATCCTGATGGTTCATGCGTGAGCCGAAGGTAGTTGTCGCCAAACACGATTTCGGGCAGTGGAATGTGGGGCAGTTCGCACGCTTCACTCAGGTGTGTGCGTCCGACGGTACTAAGCGCGGCTTTCTTCTGCGTCTCTACCTTCCATCCACGGAAGCGGAAGCATCTGCTGTTGCCATCGACGACTTCTTCTGGGACTTCCGTGGTCGTGTCAGTTGCCATGTTGAATGCGGAAGTGCACAATGGAATCCTCCGGATAAAAAAATGACATTTTAATCTTGAATTCATTTTCCAGTTGTGATCTCGAAATAAGAAAAATAGAATGGAATTATATAATTTAAATGCTGAATAATATATTTCTCGGAATACCTCGTATTAACCTAGATATTCCATGCTTCGTTTTCGTTGTTGTTTGATTCCTACATCTACTTTTCGCGTCAACAATATCTCTAGTTTAACGTAGGTACGTTATATATTTCCATTGGTCATTTCTTTCACATCTTCCAATGCAATCGTTTAACGTCATTTTGTAGAAACAATCCATTACGATTCCCACACTTCAAATCCATCGAACAACGCATGGGTGAAGTCGTTGGTCCAAAGTCAGAATGGCGTGCGACGATGGGGCTATTCCTCTTCTACTCGTCGTGGCTTGGCTCCATCGGCTTCTTCATCGCTTCTCTTGCTGCTCTTGCCATCTACCCACCGTCTCGTGTGCCCCTGGCGCTCTTCTATGGGGTCTACGGCGGCGCGCTGTACCTGCTTCCGTGGGGAACGTGGACACGGTTCTGCGACTGCGTTCGGTGGTTCAACAAAGACTCCGTTCCATACTTCCAAGGCCAGAAACTCGTGTTCGACGATGGCGTGACGCCATGTGCCGCCAAATCCAAGTCGCTCTTGTCGTTCCATCCCCACGGGGTCCTCGTGTGCGGCTGGTACTCAATCAGGTTCCGTCCTTCTGCACGTTTGAACTGTTCCATTAGGACTGTGAATGGCGCGGCCCATACGGCTTGGAAAGACAGCGCCGTGCGATGGCTCGCCACCGACCTCCTCTTTGTGCTGCCGGTGATCGCTCAGATCATGTACTGGGCGGGAGGCGGGCCAGCCAACCGCAGCAGCTTTGAAATGTTGGCCAAGGAAGGGACGAACATCGGGTTGCTTCCTGGCGGATTCGAAGAAGCATCTCTCTTCACGTACAAGAAGCACCGCGTCTTTCTCAAGAACCGCAAAGGGTTCATCAAGCTTGGCTTGCAGTACGGGTACAAGGTACTACATCCTCCTCTCTCGGCTAGTACTACTACTACTACTACTACTACTAGGTCCACCCCGTCTACACGTTTGGCGAAGAAGACACGTTCTGGACGCTACCATACTTTGCATCGTTGCGGTTGTTCCTAAACCAGTACAAGATCCCGACGGTCGTGTTCTGGGGCCAGTGGTGGTGCCCCTTCATGCCCCATCCGTCGGCGAAGCTCGTGACAGTGGTCGGCCCGCCCCTGGCGCTTCCGTTGACGCCGTCTCCTACGAAAGAAGACGTGGACAAGTACCATGCGCTGTACGTGGACGCATTGCAGACCCTGTTTGACAAGTTCAAGGCCGAGTATGCATCTACTCCAGACGCAACGCTCGAAATATGGTAACTTAAGAGGGTTCGCAGCTTTTTATATCCTGGGACACCTCACTGTGATTAATACCTGGCACAAGAGGTCACGGCTGATATTACAAGCGCACGTAATATATATATATATTATTGTGTTTTTTCTAAATTGGAGCGACATGGAGAATGATTATCGACACAACCAAATCAATGTACAGAAGAATCATTGGCCGAAGAATTGAGCCAATCCGATTGCAGGAAACCATCACCAACATCGAATTAGTGTGTTCCCGAAATTAGTGTGATTCACCAAACACCACAAGCAAGAAATATTCGTACACGATACAGTAGTGCGATATATTACCGAGTAATAAAGATATATTATTCGGCCTCGTTGATGCTAACCAAGCTCGTCTAGCAGCAGTACATATGCTCTGGGAATGCTCGTCAGTATATTATATCGTACCGGCGTTCCGATATCGATTTGATTATTATTGCATATAATATTTTCTATAAAGATGATAGTGCACCGTTACGATATTATATAACTTTTGGACATGCGATTCTATTAATTCTAAATATACATCCTTCGGTGGTAGTATATGACTGTACATGAACGATATACATCCGATATCGATGTAGTAGTATACTTTTAATAGCGACGTGTTGTCCTACTGGTATAAAAAATAGACTGGGTCCATGTAGGACTTGATTATTTTTTGTTAAAACGAAATATGTTTGACATTTCCGGGCGCTTTCTTGCGCGACACGTCGATGCCACGTGAATTCCGAGGGCTGTAGAGCAGCGCAGCGCTTTTCAATTGGTCCACGGCGGTCCTAGTCACAATATCTCAGTTTCCACACACTGTCACACATGTATGCAATGTACTTTTGACCCGCGAGGTCGCTTTGCAAATCGCGAACGAGGTGTCGCAAGCGTTTCGTTTCAATCTACACACACGACTCGGGAGGTTGAGTTCATGTTTGGCATATCGTGTAAGTGTACCGTATACTGCAGCGGCATGTCGCGCACTTGCTCCTGCAGCCGCGCCAGTTCTTTCATGGCTTGTGTAAGGGTGTCTTGGGCAAGTTTGGTCTCTTTGCGAGCCTCGTCCACGGCTGCCTCCACACTTTGAAGAGGATCATGTGTACTATGCTGGTGTTTCGAGTCGCTGGCGTTCCCACCCCCCATCTACCCCACCGGCAATTGGGTGATTATATGCTTATTGTCAAATCGCATCTAAGCCAATCAAATCACGTCCTGTCGAATTTCTGCCAATACAAACGCTTTGATTCAGCCCAGTTGCTCCGGATTGGGTAAAATCAATGTACGAATCTATCTATAGTAAGTATAGTGTGTGCAAGCTTACATGGATTCGAATATTTCTAGTGTATATTGGCGAAAATGACAAGTCCAAATTCGGTGAAAAAATGCACCATACTACGTTGTGTACGACAACCAAATTCATGAAGGTAGGACACATACGACGGTACCTGAAGATGACGTTCTTCCAGCGTCGCTACCGCTTGCTTGAGCCGCGCAATCTCGCTGTTGGCCTGGTCCAGGGCCATTTCCGACAGCTTCCAGTACTCTGCTCGCTGCATCGCTAGCGCCTAAGTGTTGCCGACTACAATAACACCAAAGAACCTGTGCATGTCCAATCAAGGGATACCTTGTATTGCTGTAATTCCGCGGATTGTTTGGACGGCGAGTTGGAGGGAAACCCAAACGGATTGATCGACGACAACGGCGGCGCGTCCTTGTTGCCGCTGCTCCCAGAACAAGATGCTGCCTTGGCCTGTTGTAGGTGGGCTTTAGCTAGCGTTTGGGATTGGAATCGTTCCGACTGTAGGTCAAACTTGAGCTGCATCAGCTGCTCCTCCCACATGCGGCATTCCACGCGAATGGCCGACAACTCTTCTTCTTTCGCGGTCAACTTGCCCAGCACCGTTTGAAAGTCCGTCATGTCTTGCGATGTTGTCGTCGTCCTCGCCACGGACTGCGGATCTCCAGCGTGTAGTGGCACGCTCTGCATGGCGTCCAGCATCCCTTTAAGGGCCCGCACCTGCTCCTTCAAAGCCACGTTGTTCTCGACGAGCTCGTGGATGTCGTCCTGGGTGGTGATCGCGTTGGCCGCCGCAGCGACGGTCAACTCGTACTCCTTCTTGGCCAGATCCCGCTCCAGCATCTTCACGCGACTCATGAGCTGCTTGTTCACTTCCTGCAGCTCGAAACGCTCGTTGCCTTCCTTCAGGAGCTGCGTCTGCAGCGCTTGGAACTCGCGCACATTGATCATCACCCGACTCTCAAAATATCATCCAACACCAAAATGCCATAATCTCGAACCCAAGGTAAAACCTACATTCTTTCACACTCGAGTGAAATGGCACCAACTTGGGCTAATGGCAGTGTGGTGACCATAACCCATGGCGAGACTGGCTCGACGTTCAGAGCGCTGGTCGAGAAGGACAAGGCAGGACAGATCGTCACGCTCTGTAACATAGACACCCCGTACGAGAAGCTCAAAGTCTCCCAGCATGATGGCGAGACGTCATGGGGCGCCGGCGGCGGCAAGTTTGCCGCCTTCGCGGCGACCCCCGTCGATTCCATCAGCAACAGCACGTTCACGTTTCAACTGTGCGCCAACCAAAAGAAGTTAAACGTGGATGGTTCAGAGGGATGGTACTTGGGCGTGTCGTCATCCTCTGCTGCCTCTCGTGGCATCCTGCTCACACCAGATCACGTCCTCGTCGGAAATGGCGCGCCGTGCACGTTCGTCGTGTCGGAAGTCACGTCTCGCGCACACATGCAGCTCTCCTCCGCGACCGCATGCAACCTGCCACCGCTCACGCCGTCCCAACTCGAATCGTTTTGCCGAGAGGGGTATCTCGTGCTGCCGCGCGCGGTGCCGCTGCCCCTCGTCCACGACGCCCTTCGGCGCATCAACCACGAGCTTGGGAAGCCCGGCATGATGATCGATGGAGGTGTCGAAGGCACAGCCAAGCTCGCGGGGAACATCTCCAACCACCCAGCGATCCTCGACTTGTATCGGCCTGTGCATACCGCCGTCGAGAGCATTGTCGGTCAGGGGTGTGTGGTGCCGCCTCTGGGCGCCCAACTGGCCCTTCGGTTTCCCGAACTGTGTGCGCCATACGAGCCTCTCGGCAACGAGTGGCACACCGATGGCATGCGACAAGGTAACCCACGTTGTCTCATTTTAGCATGTCATAGTTGTTCATGTCTAGGCAAGTGGAATCCATTCTCGCTCTTGGTGGGCATTGCGCTGTCGGATACGGCGACATCTGCTGAAAACGGCAACCTCCTCGTCTTCCCCCGAACCCATCGGACGCTCCACAACATGCTGCAGTCTCCCACCGACAAGGAGGACCTGTTGCGCGCGTGCGTCGCCGCCGACAAGGCATGGGGCCAAGGCCAGCATCTGCCGAACCTCGGTCCTCCGCTGGCACTAAAGCTCTCGCCAGGAGACGTTGTGTTGGCGCACCCAAAGACTGCCCACCGCGGAGGCCCCAACTTTTCCCCCCGTGCGTTGCAACTACCTACACTCGTCCTTGTGGTTTCATGATGCATATATATATATATATGTATATATATTATTGTCCTTTTACACCCAAAATGTGGACTTTAGTGCTGATTTTTCGCCAAATCTATAGATCGATTCTTTGTCCTGATGCTTTTGTATGTAAAGGTCGTCCAGTATCACACTAGTGTTCAGTCACACACTAATTCGATGTTGAATTGGTCCAAGAGCGGATTTGATTGGCTAGTTGATTCGTGATCTGGGTTTTGATTGGTCGTATATTGATTGTCTGGTTTTCTGTTTATTCGATTGAAGCATACACTCCAATTTCGAATCGACTTGACAAATATATATATATTAATAAAGTGGTGATGGGTAGACATCCGGTATCAAGTGTATTTTCGCATCAAGCACAAAGATCATGCGAGACTGGAGACGCAGTTGGAGACAGATTTGTATGCCGACTTGACTGGATGTTGCCACGTCATACTCTAAACGACGTGGACACTACTACTGTATGTAGTGCACACTCTATAACCACATTAAACGTGGTTATAGAGTGACATTAAACGTGATTGTCGATTTGATCACGCCGACCAAACCGATCCACAATCGATCTGATTGGTTGAATTTCATTGAGAAGGTTTTGATTGGCTAATAATGTTGAGCTCATCTGAGGTAGCCAATCAAATCGATTTAAATTCATACGCCACAACACAATGAAATTTCACTCGAAAGCACAATATATGTCTAGTTATTTACTCCATGAAATCCAGCTGCTGCCGCTGACGACGATGTGTGCAGGGACGGCAACGTCATCGTTCCTCCGCCGCCGCTACCTCGTCGCATAAAGCTTCCATCTGGATGATGGTTGTTCCAGTCTGAAGGCGATGGGGTTGCATTGAGCACATCTTGAAAGTTCATGCGATTTCGGCGAAAGTGCCCCATGTCCAGCGTGTGCGACCTCCCTTCTCGAGGGGCCATGCCCGTGACCTGTGACACTGGGGCCCGTGGGAACGGATACCTCTGCGACGACGTGAACGACGACGGAACAGAGTCCGGTCCTCCCACGGGGGGTCGAGCTAGGTTTGCATTCACGCGGAACGTTCGTTCCGACTTGAACCCTGTGACACTGTTGACTGACGTGGCAGTCTGGTAGTTGGCTGGGTGGTGCGATGCAGGAGGTGGGTGGGACGACGAAGCCGCCGAGTTGTGGTCCGTCTTGTAAATGAGATTCCGAATGTTCTACCCAACAGAAATATATATATATATATATTGTCAAGTCGATATATTCGAAATTCGAGTGGTATATATTTGGGTGCTCAATCGAGTATGACCAGAACCACCAAATCGCCAGACAATCGATAGATACATCGACCAATCAAAACCCAACACAACACGAATAATCCAGTAGCCAATCAAATACTCCACTCACATTCGACCAATGCAACATTGAATTAGTGTGTGATTGAAATTCGTGTGACATTATTTTTCCATACAAAAGTCAAACATGGATAGATTTGGCAAAGAATATCAAATGTTGGGGTAAAAGAAACACAATATATTGTCGATTTGATACAAATTTGGGGAGGGAGGGTGCAATCGAATCGCGCCGACCAAACCAATCCACCATCGATCTGATTTGTTGAATTTCATTGAGAAGGTTTTTTTTGGCTAATAATTTTGAGCTCATCTGAAGTAGCCAATCAAATCGATTTAAATTCCAACGAGAAACCACAACACAATAATGAAATTTCACTCGAAAGCACAATAAAAGTTGCAGAGTACCAAGCATATATCGTTACCTCGTTCGTGTACAATGCTTTGGACCGATTCGCCATGGTGGGCTTCCACAATCGCTTGCGGTTGTTGGCAAACCAGTTGTTCAATTGGCACAAATCCAAGCCCGTTTCGTCGCACAGCTGCTTCTTCTCCAAATCTGTCGGGTACGGGTGCTCGACATGCTCTGGCGATAGCATCCAGTCCTTGAGGATCTATATATATATATATATTAAATATATACATGGGTCAACAAGGTCTTGTGATGTTGCGAATCAGTACGCTACAAGGATGACTTTGCTACAAAATGTCCACATTCTTTACAAAGCTCGGCTTGACATTTGATTGGCTGTCCCACGTTAAATGAAATAAAAATAAATATGTAGCCAATCATCAACGACACAAGCGTTTTCGACCAATCGAATCGATCGCCAAAAAACACTCGAAATTTGAGTGTTTTTTGGGTGGTCAATGACCAGAAGAACCAAATCGGCAGAGAATCGATATATCGACCAATCAAAACACAAAACATGAATCAACTAGCCAATCAAATCAATCACTTTTCGAAGAATTCAACATCGAATTAGTGTGTGATTGAAATTCGTGTGATACGGGACCATCTTTATAAAAGTCAAAGAATCACAATCGATAGATTTAGGCAAAAATTCAAAAGTCAACCACATATTGGGTAAAAGGAAGACGATACTATATGTGTACTACCTTGATGACATGGGGAGGTAACAGCGCACTGCGACGAAGGCGCTTAGTGGTGGTGTCCTTGCCTGGATCATCGACGTTTTCCGCGTCTCCAGTCGACGACGGGCGGGTTCGTTTCTGGGGTGGGGACGGCGCATCTTTGGTGCGTTCGAGTCGAGCGGGAATAGGCGGCGGGGGGGGTTGTTGTTGGGTGGACGATCGGGAAGTGGGCATGGCAAACAACGGAGGCGCGTGGCGATGGGCCACAGACTCGGACGCGCTGCGGCTGCATCGAGGTGGGAAGAATGAAGACGAAGGAGGAAGCATGCGGGGAAGGGCGTAAGGCGACATTGGGGCCGTCGATGGGGTCGGGTACGCCTGGTGGCCATGGTACCCTCCTGGGGTCGAGATGGACGCGAGGGGGTGCTGGTGGCGACGCATTGACGGTGTGTGATGGTGCTGGACCTGTGGATGGTGTCGGGGGTCAAACTCGGCAGAGGATGACGGCATCGACAACCGCCGCTCCTGTGAACAATCACATATGAATACACAACAGCCGACATAAGAGAGACCAGCTGACAAAGTAATCCAGGAATACATGTGGGCACACATCACCCATACAGGGAGAGACAGAACTGGACAAAGTAGGGTGTATGTACCATCATGGGATGTGGGGAGTGATGGCCTTGGTCATATGCAAACTCGTTGTAGCCACGGTGGTGGTGGTGGTGGTGGTGGTTGTCATATGGTGGTTGCCTAGACATGTATTTGGTTAGGTGCATGAACGAAGAGAGGAATCGGGTACGAGTAGGATGCCGTGGAATCGGTAGCAACGGGCAACGCAGCGGTACCAGACGAGGCTTCGATGTCAAGCGACGTCTGGAGTTGACGGGAATGCTCGCGGCGCATCATGGGCTTCCAAATGCGCTTACGGGCGTTTGTGAACCAGTTCGTGAGCTGCTTCATGTTGATGCCGGTGGTCTCGAGCAACTTCTTCTTGTCGTCGTCCGTGGGGTACGGATGCTTGATGTGTTCCGTGGATAGCATCCAGTCTTTGAGGATCTTGACGGTTGCAGGGGGTAGTTCGCGACGCGGCTTGCGATCACCGCCGCTGGCCTGGGCATCGTCGTCGGGCGTCGCGTTCTCGTCGTTTACATCCATGTCGTTTTCGTAGTCTTGCTCTTTGTCGGGTTCAGGGTCGCTCGACTGCTCTGCGTCCGAGTTGGCTGCAGTCCCACCGCCGTTGATGCTGTTGTCGTGGCCTACATGGGATCCGTTGCTTCCTGTGGGTAGGAACTGTAGCGTGGATGGTGCTGCCTCCGTAGCATGTAGCACTAGCACAGGAGGTAGCGCTTCAGTTTGGACGTAGCCATCAGCCACCGCTGCCATGACGACGAAGGTAGATGGGTTCGACAACAGAAATGAATGTCTCCCGATCAGACACCCTTCACGACAGATAGCCGGATAATTATCCGGACGATCCCATCCCGCCAATCACATGCCGACATAAGATGGCCCACCCATCGGTTGGACTGTTTCACGTGTCAGTGGAAGGTTTTACTTAAACTAGCAACGCTAAACCATTTAACGTGAAATAGAGCGCTACAAAACCATAGTCATGGTGAAATATTGAACGACGCCAAAACGTTTAACCTATGGAAGTTGCATATGGAGTGGACACATTCAGGTCAAGTGGCGTCATCGAGAGCCAGTGCGTCGGGTGGATAAACCAAATATCCGCCAAACGGACAGCATGACGGGTATGTAGCTGTCCGAGCGTCATATAAGTCGACCACACCACATGATATGTAGAGTGGTGATATTGCTAGCCCAGTGAGGATATGCGCGACAGAGAGAGTGGTGCGTTACTCGTGTGCAATTCGTGAGGATATGCATGACAGAGAGAGAGAGTGCTGCGTTAATCGTGTGAACTTACGTCAAAGTTGTTCGGTCTTTCGTACAATCAACGACATCCCTGTGGTCCACGTTTGGAATACTGTACAGGCACCACGTGAATTATCGAGCCCCAGACTGCGATCTTGCTCGAGAGCCCCAGCCTTCTCTTGCCATCCAAACTGCATGGCGTCCGTAGCTTACTGCATGGGAATGGCGTCCGTAGCTTACACGGACGTGTGAAATCGCCACTACCGATCAAATACCCGGTATTTGCCTGGTGTGATTGGTAGTGTTTTCCAATAACAACGAGACTGTAAATCGTTGAATTCTCAGCATTCCAAGCTGCGTGGCTGACTGTGTGACTCCAAGGGAGATCTTTAGACAAAATGAGCAGGTACTCTTACTTTCGAATGCCATCTTAAAGCTGAGCCCCTCACAACGAGCAAGCACATCCAACGTCGGGATCTGCTAAACCAAGGCATAATCCCACGTCTATTTTGCCCCGGCCGTTCCAGTTCAATGCGGACATGCGAAACACGTTTAAGACGATAAAAAATATCGGCAAATTGCGTTCGGAATACAGTCGGAACGTTTCGAACGTTTCGAACGGCCGAACCCAACCTCTGAGTTATCTTGGTCGTCGAGATGACTACAGTGCGCGGTGTCGCTTGATTGCGCTGGTTCCCGTGGAAGGGCCACAGAGAGACGCATGAGAGGCAACAAGAGATGTCGCCTCGAGCACCTCATATAACATTGTTTACTGCAGTATCATCCTTACCCAAGGCAATGCAGCAGCCACACTCAGGTACTGTATTGGCGGCCACTGCCATGGTGCGATGTACCTGGTACAGTGCGCACCTTCCTGAGGTGGAGTGTATGGGCATTACTGTACAGGCTCAGGACGGGCCGGATGAGTTCATGGATTGTCGTCGCCATATCCCGCACACCTCCTGCGGCGCCAATCCAGGTGGCATGCATGACATGAAATCCGACATCCGCGGCGCAACACCTCTGGAAACTGTCACGTTGTTGATGGGCCGGATGAGTTCATGGATTGTCGTCGCCATATCCCGCACATCTCCTGCGGCGCCAATCCAGGTGGCATGCATGACATGAAATCCGACAGCCGCGGCGCAACACCTCTGGAAACTGTCACGTTGTTGATGGGCCGGATGAGTTCATGGATTGTCGTCGCCATATCCCGCGCATCTCCTGCGGCGCCAATCCAGGTGGCATGCATGACATGAAATCCGACATCCGCGGCGCAACACCTCTGGAAACTGTCACGTTGTTGATGGGCCGGATGAGTTCATGGATTGTCGTCGCCATATCCCGCACAT